TTTGTGTGTTGGTTTATGTGCGATGTTTATTTTGAATGGTCGGAGTAGTCTTGATGTCATTTCTGATGTTCCCTTTATATATGGTAATGCTACTATTTTTACTGGTTCGTCTGTATCTTCGTTAGGTTTTTCAGTTTGTGGTTTCTTGTGTATTTTGTTTAATACTTTGTTGATAAAGTTTCATGGGTAATTGTTGTTTATGAATGTGGAGTATAAGTAGTTGCGTTCATTCTTCTTGGCTTCTTCTGTATTGCAGTGAGTTTTAATCCTGTTAAAGAGAGTTCGTATGCAACTAATTTTGTGTTGTGTTGGGTGATTGCTGTTAAAGTTGAGTATTTGGTCTGTGTGTGTATTTTTGCGGAAAACTTGCGTGCTTAATGTGCCGTCATGTGATCTGGTAAGTAGAATATCTAGGAAGGTAAGTTGTTTGTTCTGTTTTTTGTCCATGGTGAAGGTTATGTTCTGTGTGGTTTTGTTTATTGTGTGTAGAATGTGTTCTGTTTTGTCTTTTTCGACAATAGCAAAGATGTCGTCAACAAATCTTCTCCATAGTCTGATGTGTGTGTTGTTGGTGACTGACTGCTTTTCAAGGTGTTGCATAACAGCTTCTGCAAGGAAGGTGGATAAAGGAGAACCCATTGGTGTTCCTGAACCCATTGCAGAATAATCGCAATAATATCAACTCAACTACTAACCAACCAATCAGACGCTCCAAACGCCTACAAAATCTTTGTAAATAATATATTCTTACATTCTGACGAAGGCTCGAAGCACCGAGTTGAAAGCTTAATAAAAAGCAAAAAGTTTTTGTGTATTTTGTTCTTCTCATCAATATATATATTTTATATATATATATAATAGACAACCCACCACCAGTCAGACTTCAGGGACCGAGAAGTTCAAATGGAACTGGTCGTGTGGAAGTATACTATAATGGAGAGTGGGGAACAATTTGTGATGATAGCTGGGATTTAAGAGATGCTGAAGTTATTTGTCGTCAACTTGGTTATGACTATGCTGTCAGGGCTTTAAAAGGAAGTAATGTTCCTGATGGCAGTGGACGAATATGGTTGGATGATGTTCGTTGTGTTGGAAATGAAAGTAATATTTCAAGTTGTTCACATAGAGGATGGGGATCCCATAATTGTGGACATCATGAAGATGCTGGTGTACAATGTTCAGGTTTGTATGTGCATGCTTTATCTTTTTATACAAAGATGATAAGCTGGATTATTTGGGGGATACTCGATGATTAATTTAAATATTTAATATGATTTTATCATAAAGTAAATGGTTTGAACCCGGGAGTATCGTTACATGTTTGTAGATGTAGATTGTCCAGGTTAGTATAGTCCTGAGAAGGACTGTTTTTGTTGTTGTTGACTGATGTTTGTTGACAACCTTAGCGGTAGTCATATTCAGAGTCAAATGACTGCCGCTAAGGTTGTCGAAACGTCTGTCAACAACAACAAAAACAGTCCTTCTCAGGACTATACTAACCTGGACGATCTACATCTACAAACATGTAATGATTTTATCATATTGAAACAGATATTGACAAATGCCTGAAGAAAAACGCAGCTTCGGTTTAGATTAAAATTTCTTAAAGGTTTAAAAGGAGCAATTCCAAATTCACACAACAAAGTAATTACTTTTAATTCAACCCTTTCTTCCACCGAAAATTTAAAACTGAGAATGTCTTTATGTCTTGTATTGGGGTGTTGTCTATCTTCAAAAATGCATTTTTACATTCGTTTTCTCAATGACCGTTTGAGTTTAGTTAATAACATGCCTAGAGAGCACAGGAAATGTATTTTTCAATAAATAAAAAGACAATTATTTTAAAAATACCTTAAAGAGATTCCCACTGGGTGAAAGAACGGTCAATGTGAACAATTTGTTTTTATTTCCTTATATGAATAAAGTAAGTAACGCCTGGTCTAAATAAACAATTTAGGGAATCATAAGAGTCAAATACGTCTAATTATTCCTAGACTTTTTGATATTTGTACTTATGTAAGTTTTTTCCTAAGTATAATTAAGTTCTGTCATCAATTATAAAACATTCAATTTCGTCCCAGAATATTTTACAATATGATCCAACCACAATTGGATCCTCTATTTGTTTACATGTAACTCAGACAATTTTAGAATTGAGATTTCTATAGATCGCACTATCTATATATTTTCTTTTTTATCAGTTGTCAACTCTGTTAGACTTCGAGGACCAAAACGTTCTAGTGGCAGAGGTCGTGTGGAAGTATTTTACAATGGAGAATGGGGAACAATTTGTGATGATAGCTGGGATATAAAAGATGCAAAAGTTGTTTGTCGTCAACTTGGTTATAAGTATGCTGTCAGTGCTTTACAAGGAGGTAATGTTCCTGATGGCAGTGGAAGAATATGGTTGGATGATGTTCGTTGTGTAGGAAATGAAAATAATATTTCAAGTTGTTCACATAGAGGTTGGGGATCACATAATTGTGGACATCATAAAGATGCTGGTGTAAAATGTTCAGGTTTGTATGTACATAATTGGAAATAAATTCAACACAGATAATAAACTGGATTATTTGGTGGAGGGTCGTCAAAGAAAAAATCTAAACACTTAAAATGATTTTATGTTATTCAACAAATATTGACGAACGCCTCAATAATAAACATAACTGCAGATTTAGGATAACTAAATAAACATAACTTGTTTCATGATGGCACATGAAAAGATTAGCTAATACCGAAGCTAGAAGGCAGCCCATAGATTAAACTTTCCGTGGAAGGATGTGATAATCTTTATTATCAGTTTTGTAACGATAGTCTACATTCATCACAAATTTTTGAAGCTGTAGCTTATGAAGCACCGTTTAAATTAAAAAATATTTTTGCAGGTTTAAAAGGAGCATCTCCAAATTTACACTATAATGTAAATAATTTTTATTCGACGCTTTCTCCCAACGAACAATTTATTACGTATTTTACAAAGAATTTACAATTACGCATGTCTATATATTATGTATTGGCGTGTTGTATATCTTCAACAATACATTTTTAATTTCGTTTCCTCAATGACCACTTGAGTTTAATTCATTAAGTGCCTACAGAGCACCGGAAACGTATTTTTTAATTATTACAAAGATAGTGCTTTTACAATATAAGATAGAGATTCCTAGGCGGTGAGAAAACAGTCTATGTGAATATTTTATTTTTATGATGTCCTTGTTTCAACCTCTTTCGAGGCAGTGTTGCCATATGGCAACATTATCAAACGATTGTTTGGAATACCAAAGGGGAAAAATTTCCCAGTTAAAGGATTATAATTGATTGAAGAAATAAGGCTGGTTTAAATAAACGATTTTTAGACTTAAGATAGTCAATGAGTGTCTAATTATTCCAAAACTTTTTGATATTGGTAATTTTGTAGGTTTTTTATTAATATAATTAAGTTTTTCTGTTACTAATTTAAACCACCAATTTCATCAAAGAATATTTTAAAAAGGGATCTAACACAATGGGATACTTTATATGTATATGTAACTCAGAATATTTTAGAATTGACATTCTATAGTTCGTGCTAATAATATATTTTTTTATCAGGTTTCAACTTTGTTAGACTTCGAGGACCAAAAAGTTCTTGTGGTAGAGGTCGTGTGGAAGTATTTTATAATGAAGAATGGGGAACAATTTGTGATGATAGCTGGGATTTAAAAGATGCCATAGTTGTTTGTCGTCAACTTGGTTATGACTATGCTGTCAGCGCTTTAAAAGGAAGTTCTGTTCTTGATGGCCGTGGAAAAATATGGTTGGATGATGTTCGTTGCGTAGGAAATGAAAATAATATTTCGAGTTGTTCACATAGAGGATGGGGAACACATAATTGTAGACATCATAAAGATGCTGGTGTACAATGTTCAGGTTTGTATGTGCATAATTTTTATTAAAAATTGAAAGATTTTTACACAAAGATGACAAGCTGGATTATTTAAGGAACCTCAATGATTAATATAAACATTTAATATGATTTTATAATTCTGAACCAGATATTGACAAATGCCTGATGAATAAACACAGCTTCGGACGTAAAATAACTAAATAAACATATTTTGTTCCACTTTGGTTTTATAAAATGTATTTAAAGCGAGTGACATTTCGTTTTGAATCAAAACATCTTCAGAAGGAAGTTTATAAAAAATACATTCATTATTATTTACATTCCTTGACCAGACGACAGTTTCATTAAATATAAAATAAAGCACAATCCGAAAAAGGACTTCTTGTAAACTTAGATTCAAGTTATCAAAACACGACAATTAGAAGTGTAATATTTCGGTTTTATTTCAAATGATCATTTCACTGATGAGGGTTTAGAAATAAAACCGAAACATTATACTTCTAATTGTCTTGTTTTGATAACTTGAACCTAAGTTTACAAAATGACCTTTTTCAAATTGTGCTTTATTTTACATTTTTTATTTACATAGTTAAAGGTATCAGATTACTGTGGATGTCCAATACGCTGTGGTGTATAGCAAAGGGGAGATAATAAGTCTAGCTAAAGGGATGGAGCTTCCGTTGGCGTTAAAGAATGACTTTAGTTTAGAGATAAAGAGGCTTTGCATATCAAAAGGTCGAATGTACCAAGGCTGTGTCCATGTGTCAAGAAAGCACCATCCCTCTCGAGTATTCTAGTCTTAACACATCCGCCTAGCTAAATACCACATCACACTTGCACATCCATACCAACCTGATATCTTTAACTATTTAAATAACTATAAATACAATTTTTGTAAACTTCCTTATTAGTCTGAAGATGTCTTCAGTCAAGACGAAACGTACGTCGCTTTTAATAAATTTTATATAACCAAATTGCTTATGGCTATTTTAAAAATGACCAGTTAGGCTCTAATATTTGCATTAAGATATCTTACATGTACATGTAACCCCGAATCTTTTGAATTTGAGATTTGTATGTCTTGCAATATCTATATATTTTCTTTTTTTATCAGTTGTCAACTCTGTTAGACTTCGGGGACCAAAAAGTTCTAGTGGCAGAGGTCGTGTTGAAGTATTTTACAATGGAGAATGGGGAACAATTTGTGATGACAGCTGGGATTTAAAAGATGCTAAAGTTGTTTGTCGTCAACTTGGTTATGACTATGCTGTCAGTGCTTTACAAGGAGGTAATGTTCCTGATGGCAGAGGACAAATATGGTTGGACGACGTTCGTTGTGTAGGAAATGAAAATAATATTTCGAGTTGTTCACATAGTGGATGGGGATCGCATGATTGTAGACATTATGAAGATGCTGGTGTACAATGTTCAGGTTTGTAAGTACATCACTTATCTTAAAATTAGGAAGATTTTTATAAAAAGATGATGAAATGGATTATTTCGAAATGTCAATGATTAATTTAAACATTTAATATGATTTTACAATACTGAAACAGATATTGACAAATGCCTGATGAATAAACACAGCTTCGGCGTAAAATAACTAAATAAACATAACTTGTTTCATGAGGACATTATTAAACATTACCTATTTCATGATGGCCCATAAAAAGATTAGATAATGCCAGAGCTAAAGAGCAGCCCATAGACTAAACTTTCCGTGGAGGGATGTGATTATCGTTATAATTAGTTTTGTTACGATTGTTTACATTCATTAGAGCTTTTTGAAGCTGTAGGCTGTAGCCTATGAAGCTCCATTAAAATTTTTCTTTTTGCATACTTAAAAGGAGCATCTTTAAATATACACTACAGTGTAACTTTATGAGTTGTAATGGCGTGTTGTCCATCTTAAAAAATGAATTTTTAATTTCGTTTCTTACTGACCGTTAAGGTTTAGCAAAAGACATGCCTAGAGAGAACTAGAAACCTATTTATGAATAATTAAAAATACGATAAAGATTCTCACGTTGTCAACGAAGAGTCTATGTGAACAATTTACTGTTTATTATTTGCTTGTTTCAACAAGTTATGGGGCAGTGTTGCCATAAGGCAACAAATCAAACGATTGAGTGGAAAACAAATGGGGAAAATTCACAAGTTAAAGAGTTAAGAAGTGATATTACATAAAGAAATAAGGACTGGTCTAAATAAAAATTTAGTAATACTTATGAAAGTAAAATATTGTCTAATTGTCCAAAACTTTTTGATATTGGTACTTATGTAAGTTTTTTTATCATTTTTTTGTTACTAATTTAAATAATTAATTTTGCCAGAGAAGAGTTTACAATGGCATCTAACATAACAGGATACTTTACATGTATACATGTAACTTAGAATATTTCGGAATTGAGACTTCTATAGATCACACAATCTATATATTTTCTTTATTTATCAGTTGTCAACTCTGTTAGACTTCGGGGACCAAAAAGTTCTAGTGGCAGAGGTCGTGTGGAAGTATTTTACAATGGAGAATGGGGAACAATCTGTGATGATAGCTGGGATTTAAAAGAAGCTAAAGTTGTTTGTCGTCAACTTGGTTATGACTATGCTGTCAGTGCTTTACAAGGAGGTAATGTTCCTGATGGCAGTGGACAAATATGGTTGGACGACGTTCGTTGTGTAGGAAATGAAAATAATATTTCGAGTTGTTCACATAGAGGATGGGGAACACATAATTGTGGACATCATGAAGATGCTGGTGTACAATGTTCAGGTTTGTATGTGCATAATTTTTATTAAAAATTGAAAGATTTTTACACAAAGATGACAAACTGGATTATTTAAGGAACCTCAATGATTAATTTAAGCATTTAATATGATTTTATAATATTGAAACAGATATTGACAAATGCCTGAAGAATAAACACAGCTTCGGACGTAAAATAACTAAATAAACATATTTTGTTCCAGTTTGGTTTTATAAAATGTATTTAAAGGGAGTGACATTTCTTTTGAATCAAAACATCTTCAGACTAATAAGGAAGTTTATAAAAAATACATTCATTGTTATTTACATTCCTTGACTAGACGACAGTTTCATTAAATATAAAATTAAGCACAATCCAAAAAGGACTTCTTGTAAACTTGGATTCAAGTCATCAAAACACGACAGTTAGAAAAAAAATATTTCGGTTTTATTTCAAATGATCATTTCACTGATGAGGGTTTAGAAATAAAACCGAAACATTATACTTCTAATTGTCTTGTTTTTATAACTTGAACCTAAGTTTACAAAATGACCTTTTTCGAATTGTGCTTTATTTTACATATTTTATTTACATAGTTGAAGGTATCAGATTACTGTGGATGTCCAATACGGTGTGGTGTATAGCAAGGTTGAGATAGTAAGCCTAGCTAAAGGGATGGAGCTTCCTTTGGCGTTAAATAATGACTTTAGTTTAGAGATAAAGAGGCTTTGCGTACCAAAAGGTCGAATGTGTCAAGAAAGCACCATCCCTCTCGAGTTTTCTAGTCTTAACACATCCGCCTAGCTACATACCACATAACACTTGCACATCCATTGCAATCTGATATCTTTAACTATTTAAATAACTATAAATAAAATTTTTGTTTACTTCCTTATTAGTCTGAAGATGTCTTCAGTCAAGACGAAACGTACGTCGCTTTTAATAAATTTTATAAAACCAAATTGCTTATGGCTATTTTAAAAATTATCAGCTGGGCTCTAATATTTGCATTAAGATATCTTACGTGTACATGTAACCCTGACTCTTTTGAATTTGAGATTTGTATATCTTGCAATATCTATATATTTTCTTTTTTTATCAGTTGTCAACTCTGTTAGACTTCGGGGACCAAAAAGTTCTAGTGGCAGAGGTCGTGTGGAAGTATTTTACAATGGAGAATGGGGAACAATTTGTGATGATAGCTGGGATTTAAAAGATGCTAAAGTTGTTTGTCGTCAACTTGGTTATGCATGCTGTCAGTGCTTTACAAGGAAGTCATGTTCCTGATGGCAGTGGACGAATATGGTTGGACGACGTTCGTTGTGTAGGAAATGAAAATAATATTTCGAGTTGTTCACATAGAGGATGGGGATCACATAATTGTACACATGATGAAGATGCTGGTGTACAATGTTCAGGTTTGTATGTACATCACTTATCTTAAAAATAGTAAGATTTTTATAAAAAGATGATAAAATGGATTATTTCGGAATGTCAACGATTAATTTAAACATTTAATATGATTTTATAATACTGAAACAGATATTGACAAATGCCTGATGAATAAACACAGCTTCGGACGTAAAATAACTAAATAAACACAACTGGTTTCATGAGGACATCATTAAACATAACCTATTGCATGATAGCCCATAAAAAGATTAGATAATGCCAGGGCTAAAGGGCAGCCCATAGACTAAACTTTCCGTGGATGGATGTGATAATCGTTATAATCAGTTTTGTTACGATTGTTTACATTCATTTGAGCTTTTTGAAGCTGTAAGCTGTAGCTTATGAAGCTCCATTAAAATTTTTCTTTTTTGCATATTTAAAAGGAACATCTCCAAATATACAATACAGTGTAACTTTATGACTTGTAATTGCGTGTTGTCTATTTTAAAAAATGCATTTTTAAATTCGTTTCTCACTGACCGTTAAGGTTTAGCAAAAGACATGCCTAGAAAGCACCAGAAACGTATTTATGAATAATTAAAAATACGATAAAGATTCTCACGTTGTCAACGAAGAGTCTATGTGAACAATTTACTGTTTATTATTTGCTTGTTTCAACAAGTTATGGGGCAGTGTTGCCATATGGCCACTAATCAAACCATTGAATGGAAAACAAATGGGGAAAATTCGCAGGTTAAAGAGTTAAGAATTTATTTATATTACATAAAAAAATAAGGACTGGTCTAAATAAAATTTGTTTAAGACTTATGAAAGTCAAATAGTGTCTAATTGTCCAAAACGTTTTGATATTGGTACTAATGTAAGTTTTTTTATCATTTTTTTGTTACTAATTTAAATCATTAATTTTGCAAGAGAAGATTTTACAATGGCATCTAACATAACAGGATACTTTATATGTATACATGTAACTTAGAATATTTCGAATTGAGACTTCTATAGATCGCACTATCTATATATTTTCTTTTTTATCAGTTGTCAACTCTGTCAGACTTCGGGGACCAAAAAGTTCTAGTGGCAGAGGTCGTGTGGAAGTATTTTACAATGGAGAATGGGGAACAATTTGTGATGATAGCTGGGATTTAAAAGATGCTAAAGTTGTTTGTCGTCAACTTGGTTATGACTATGCTGTCAGCGCTTTAAAAGGAAGTTCTGTTCCTGATGGCCGTGGAAAAATATGGTTGGATGATGTTCGTTGCGTAGGAAATGAAAATAATATTTCGAGTTGTTCACATAGAGGATGGGGAACACATAATTGTGGACATCATGAAGATGCTGGTGTACAATGTTCAGGTTTGTATGTGCATAATTTTTATTAAAAATTGAAAGATTTTTACACAAAGATGACAAACTGGATTATTTAAGGAACCTCAATGATTAATTTAAACATTTAATATGATTTTATCATATTGAAACAGATATTGACCAAGGCCTTAAGAATAAACACAGCTTCGAACGTAAAAAATTTAAATAAACATATTTTGTTCCACTTTGGTTTTGAAAATGTATTTAAAGCGAGTGACATTTCGTTTTGAATCAAAACATCTTCAAACTAATAAGGAAGTTTTATAAAAAATACATTCATTGTTATTTACATTGCTTGACCAGACGACAGTTTCATTAAATATAAAATTAAGCACAAGCCAAAAAAGGACTCCTTGTTAACTTAGATTCAAGTTATCAAAACAAGACAATTAGAAGTAAAATATTTCGGTTTTATTGCAAGTTATCATTTCAGTGATAAGGGTTTAGAAATAAAACCGAAACATTATACTTCTAATTGTTTTGATTTGATAACTTGAACCTAAGTTTACAAAATGACCTTTTTCGAATTGTGCTTTATTTTACATTTTTTACTTACATAGTAAAAAATGTAAATTTTTTACTATGTAAAATGTAAAATGTAAAATGTAAATTTTTTACTTACATATAAGGTATCAGATTACTGTGGATGTCCAATACGCTGTGGTGTATAGCAAGGGTGAAATAGTAAGCCTAGCTAGAGGGATGGAGCTTCCATTGGCGTTAAATAATGACTTTAGTTTAGAGATAAAGAGGCCTTGCGTATCATAAGGTCGAATGTGTCAAGGCAGTGTCCATGTGTCAGGAAAGCACCATCCCTCTCGAGTTTTCTAGTCTTAACACATCCGCCTAGCTACATACCACATCACACTTGCACATCCATTGCAATCTGATATCTTTAACTATTTAAATAACTATAAATACAATTTTTGTAAACTTCGTTATTAGTCTGAAGATGTCTTCAGTCAAGACGAAACGTACGTCGCTTTTAATAAATTTTATATAACCAAATTGCTTATGACTATTTTAAAAATTATCAGCTGGGCTCTAATATTAGCATTAAGATATCTTACGTGTACATGTAACCCCGAATCTTTTGAATTTGAGATTTGTATGTCTTGCAATATCTATATATTTTCTTTTTTTATCAGTTGTCAACTCTGTTAGACTTCGGGGACCAAAAAGTTCTAGTGGCAGAGGTCGTGTGGAAGTATTTTACAATGGAGAATGGGGAACAATTTGTGATGATAGCTGGGATTTAAAAGATGCTAAAGTTGTTTGTCGTCAACTTGGTTATGACTATGCTGTCAGTGCTTTACAAGGAGGTAATGTTCCTGATGGCAGAGGACAAATATGGTTGGACGACGTTCGTTGTGTAGGAAATGAAAATAATATTTCGAGTTGTTCACATAGTGGATGGGGATCACATAATTGTGGACATGATGAAGATGCTGGTGTACAATGTTCAGGTTTGTATGTGCATAACTTATCTTAAAAATAGGAAGATTTTTATAAAAAGATGATAAAATGGATTATTTCGGAATGTCAATGATTAATTTAAACATTTAATATGATTTTATAACACTGAAACAGATATTTACAAATGCCTGATGAATAAACACAGCTTCGGCGTAAAATAACTAAATAAACATAACTTGTTTCATGAGGACATTATTAAACATAACCTATTTCATGATGGCCCATAAAAAGATTAGATAATGCCAGGGCTGAAGGGCAGCCCATAGACTAAACTTTCCGTGGAGGGATGTGACAATCGTTATAATCAGTTTTGTTACGATTGTTTACATTCATTTAAGCTTTTTGAAGCTGTAGGCTGTAGCCTATGAAGCTCCATTAAAATTAATTTTTTTTGTATATTTAAAAGGAACATCTCCAAATATACACTACAGTGTAACTTTATGACTTGTAATGGCGTGTTGTCCATCTTGAAAAATGCATTTTTAATTTCGCTTCTTACTGACCGTTAAGGTTTAGCAAAAGACATGCCTAGAGAGAACTAGAAACGTATTTATGAATGTTTAAATATACGATAAAGATTCCCACGTTGTCAACGAAGAGTCTATGTGAACAATTTACTGTTTGTTATTTGCTTGTTTCAACAAGTTATGGGGCAATGTTGCTATAAGGCAACAAATCAAACGATTGAATGGAAAACAAATGGGGAAAATTCGCAGGTTAAAGAGTTAAGAATTTATTTATATTACATAAAAAAATAAGGACTGGTCTAAATAAAATTTGTTTAAGACTTATGAAAGTCAAATAGTGTCTAATTGTCCAAAACGTTTTGATATTGGTACTAATGTAAGTTTTTTTATCATTTTTTTGTTACTAATTTAAATCATTAATTTTGCAAGAGAAGATTTTACAATGGCATCTAACATAACAGGATACTTTATATGTATACATGTAACTTAGAATACTTCGGAATTGAGACTTCTATAGATCGCACTATCTATATATTTTCTTTTTTATCAGTTGTCAACTCTGTCAGACTTCGGGGACCAAAAAGTTCTAGTGGTAGAGGTCGTGTGGAAGTATTTTACAATGGAGAATGGGGAACAATTTGTGATGATAGCTGGGATTTAAAAGATGCTAAAGTTGTTTGTCTTCAACTTGGTTATGACTATGCTGTCAGCGCTTTAAAAGGAAGTTCTGTTCCTGATGGCCGTGGAAAAATATGGTTGGATGATGTTCGTTGCGTAGGAAATGAAAATAATATTTCGAGTTGTTCACATAGAGGATGGGGAACACATAATTGTGGACATCATGAAGATGCTGGTGTACAATGTTCAGGTTTGTATGTGCATAATTTTTATTAAAAATTGAAAGATTTTTACACAAAGATGACAAACTGGATTATTTAAGGAACCTCAATGATTAATTTAAACATTTAATATGATTTTATCATATTGAAACAGATATTGACCAAGGCCTTAAGAATAAACACAGCTTCGAACGTAAAAAATTTAAATAAACATATTTTGTTCCACTTTGGTTTTGAAAATATATTTAAAGCGAGTGACATTTCGTTTTGAATCAAAACATCGTCAAACTAATAAGGAAGTTTATAAAAAATACATTCATTGTTATTTACATTTCTTGACCAGACGACAGTTTTATTAAATATAAAATAAAGCACAAGCCGAAAAAGGACGCCTTGTTAACTTAGATTCAAGTTATCAAAACAAGACAATTAGAAGTAAAATATTTCGGTTTTATTGCAAGTTATCATTTCAGTGATAAGGGTTTAGAAATAAAACCGAAATATTATACTTCTAATTGTTTTGATTTGATAACTTGAACCTAAGTTTACAAAATGACCTTTTTCGAATTGTGCTTTATTTTACATTTTTTACTTACATAGTTAAAGGTATCAGATTACTGTGGATGTCCAATACGCTGTGGTGTATAGCAAGGGTGAAATAGTAAGCCTAGCTAGAGGGATGGAGCTTCCTTTGGCGTTAAATAATGACTTTAGTTTAGAGATAAAGAGGCCTTGCGTATCATAAGGTCGAATGTGTCAAGGCTGTGTCCATGTGTCAAGAAAGCACCATCCCTCTCGAGTTTTCTAGTCTTAACACATCCGCCTAGCTACATACCACATAACACTTGCACATCCATTGCAATCTGATATCTTTAACTATTTAAATAACTATAAATACAATTTTTGTAAACTTCGTTATTAGTCTGAAGATGTCTTCAGTCAAGACGAAACGTACGTCGCTGTTAATAAATTTTATAAAACCAAATTGCTTATGGCTATTTTAAAAATTAAAAGTTGGGCTCTAATATTTGCATTAAGATATCTTACATGTACATGTAACCCCGACTCTTTTGAATTTGAGATTTGTATATCTTGCAATATCTATATATTTTCTTTTTTTATCAGTTGTCAACTCTGTTAGACTTCGGGGACCAAAAAGTTCTAGTGGCAGAGGTCGTGTTGAAGTATTTTTCAATGGAGAATGGGGAACAATTTGTGATGATAGCTGGGATTTAAAAGATGCTAAAGTTGTTTGTCGTCAACTTGGTCTTGGCGCAGCTACTAGTGCTTTACAAGGAAGTCATGTTCCTGATGGCAGTGGACGAATATGGTTAGACGACGTTCGTTGCGTAGGAAATGAAAATAATATTTCGAGTTGTTCACATAGAGGATGGGGATCACATAATTGTGAACATGATGAAGATGCTGGTGTACAATGTTCAGGTTTGTATGTACATAAATTATCTTAAAAGTTGGAAGATTTTTACTTAAAGATGACCAACTGGATTATTTAAGGAACCTCAATGATTAATTTAAACATTTAATATGATTTTATAATATTGAACCAGATTTTCACAAATGCCTGATGAATAAACACAGTTTCGGACGTAAAATAACTAAATAAACATATTTTGTTACACTTTGGTTTATAAAATGTATTAAAAGCGAGTGACATTTCCTTTTAAATCAAAACATCTTCAGACTATAATAAGAAAGTATATAAAAAATACATTCATTGTTATTTACATTCCTTGACCAGACGACAGTTTCATTAAATATAAAATAAAGCACAAACCGAAAAAGGACTCTTTCTAAACGTAGATTCAAGTTATCAAAACAAGACAATTAGAAGTGTAATATTTCGGTTTTATTTAAATTATCACTTCGCTGATAACGGTTTAGAAAGAAAACCAAAACATTATACTTCTAATTGTCTTGTTTTGATAACTTGAATCTAAGTTTACAAAATGACCTTTTTTGAATTGTGCTTTATTTTATATTTTTTATTTACATAGTTAAATGTATCACATTACTGTGGATGTCCAATACGCTGTGGTGTACAGCAAGGGTGAAATATTAAGCCTAGCTAGAGGGATGGAGCTTCCATTGGCGTTAAATAATGACTTTAGTTTAGAGATAAAGAGGCTTTGCGTATCATAAGGTCGAATATATCAAGGCTGTGTCCATGTGTCAAGAAAGCACCATCCCTCTCGAGTTTCCTAGTCTTAACACCTCCACCTAGCAGCACACCACATCACACTTGCACATCCATTGCAATCTGATATCTTTAACTATTTAAATAACTATAAATAAAATTTTTGTTAACTTCCTTATTAGTCTGAAGATGTCTTCAGTCAACACGAAACGTACGTCGCTTTTAATAAATTTCATAAAACGAAATTGCTTATGGCTATTTGAAAAATTATCTGTTGGGCTCTAATATTTGTATTAGGATATTTTACATGTAAATGTAACCCCGAATCTTTCGAATTTGAGATTTGTATGTCTTGCAATATCTATATATTTTCTTTTTTTTTCAGTTGTCAACTCTGTTAGACTTCGGGGACCAAAAAGTTCTAGTGGCAGAGGTCGTGTTGAAGTATTTTACAATGGAGAATGGGGAACAATTTGTGATGATAGCTGGGATTTAAAAGATGCTAAAGTTGTTTGTCGTCAACTTGGTCTTGGTGCAGCTACTAGTGCTTTACAAGGAAGTCATGTTCCTGATGGCAGTGGACGAATATGGTTGGACGACGTTCGTTGTGTAGGAAATGAAAATACAATTTCGAGTTGTTCACATAGAGGATGGGGATCACATAATTGTGGACATAATGAAGATGCTGGTGTACAATGTTCAGGTTTGTAGTTACATCACTTATCTTAAAAATAGTAAGATTTTTATAAAAAGATGATAAAATGGATTATTTCGGAATGTCAATGATTAATTTAAACATTTAATATAATTTTATAATACTGAAACAGATATTGACAAATGCCTGATTAATAAACACAGCTTCGGACGTAAAATAACTAAATAAACATAACTTGTTTCATGAGGACATCATTAAACATAACCTATTTCATGATGGCCCATAAAAAGATTAGATAATGCCAGAGCTAAAGGGCAGCCCATAGACTAAATTTTCCGTGGAGGGATGTGATAATCGTTATAATCAGTTTTGTTACGATTGTTTACATTCATTAAAGCTTTTTGAAGCTGTAGGCTGTAGCCTATGAAGCTCCACTAAAATTTTTCTTTTTTGCATATTTAAAAGGAACACCTCCAAATATACAATACAGTGTAACTTTATGACTTGTAATGGCGTGTTGTTTATCTTAAAAAATGCATTTTTAAATTCGTTTCTTACTGACCGTTAAGGTTTAGCAAAAGACATGCCTAGAGAGAACTAGAAACCTATTTATGAATAATTAAAAATACGATAAAGATTCTCACGTTGTCAACGAAGAGTCTATGTGACCAATTTACTGTTTATTAGTTGCTTGTTTCAACAAGTTATGGGGCAGTGTTACCATATGGCAACAAATCAAACAATTAAATGGAAAACAAATGGGGAAAATTCGCAAGTTAAAGAGTTAAGAAGTTATTTATATTACATAAAGAAATAAGGACTGGTCTAAATAAAAATTGTTTAAGACTTATGAAAGTCAAATAGTGTCTAATTGTCCAAAACTTTTTGATATTGGTACTTATGTAAGTTTTTTTTAACATTTATTTGTTACTAATTTAAATCCTTAATTTCGCCCAAGAAGATTTTACAATGGCATCTAACATAACAGGATACTTTATATGTATACATGTAACTTAGAATATTTCGGAATTGAGACTTCTATAGATCGCACTATCTATATATTTTCTTTATTTATCAGTTGTCAACTCTGTTAGACTTCGGGGACCAAAAAGTTCTAGTGGCAGAGGTCGTGTGGAAGTATTTTACAATGGAGAATGGGGAACAATCTGTGATGATAGCTGGGATTTAAAAGATGCTAAAGTTGTTTGTCGTCAGCTTGGTTATGACTATGCTGTCAGTGCTTTACAAGGAGGTAATGTTCCTGATGGCAGTGGACGAATATGGTTGGACGACGTTCGTTGTGTAGGAAATGAAAATAATATTTCGAGTTGTTCACATAGTGGATGGGGATCACATAATTGTGGACATGATGAAGATGCTGGTGTACAATGTTCAGGTGTGTATGTACATAAATTATCTTAAAAATTGGAAGATTTTTACTTAAAGATGACCAACTGGATTATTTAAGGAACCTGAATGATTAATTTAAACATTTAATATGATTTTATAATATTGAACAAGATATTGACAAATGCCTGATGAATAAACACAGTTTCGGACGTAAAATAACTAAATAAACATATTTTGTTCCACTTTGGTTTATAAAATGTATCAAAAGCGAGTGACAATTCGTTTTAAATCAAAACATCTATAGACTAATAAGGAAGTTTATAAAAAATACATTCATTGTTATTTACATTCCTTGACCAGATGACAGTTTCATTAAATACAAAATAAAGCACAAACCGAAGGACTTCTAGATTCAATTAAAAGACAATTAGAAGTGTAAAATTACGTTTTATTTTAAATTATCATTTCACTGATAAGGGTTTAGAAATAAAACTGAAACATTATACTTCTAATTGTCTTGTTTCGATAACTTGAATCTAAGTTTACAAAATGACCTTTTTCGAATTGTGCTTTATTTTATATTTTGTATTTACATAGTTAAATGTATCACATTACTGTGGATGTCCAATACGCTGTGGTGTATAGAAAGGGTGAGATAATAAGCTTAGTTAGAGGGATGGAGCTTCCGTTGGCGTTAAACAATGACTTTAGTTTAGAGTTAAAGAGGCTTTGCGTATCATAAGGTCGAATGTGTCAAGGCTGTGTCCATGTGTCAAGAAAGCACCATCCCCTCTCGAGATTTCTAGTCTTAACACATCCGCCTAACTATATACCACATCACACTTGCACATCCATTGCAATCTGATATCTTAAACTATCTAAATAACTATAAATAAAATATTTGTAAACTTCCTTATTAGTCTGAAGATGCCTTCAGTCAAGACGAAACGTACGTCGCTTTTAATAAATTTTATAAAACCAAATTGCTTACGGCTATTTTATAAATTATCTGTTGGGCTCTAATCTTTGTATTAGGATATTTTACATGTACATGTAACCCCGAATCTTTGGAATTTGAGATTTGTATGTCTTGCAATATCTATATATCTTCTTTTTTTTTCAGTTGTCAACTCTGTTAGACTTCGGGGACCAAAAAGTTCTAGTGGCAGAGGTCGTGTTGAAGTATTTTACAATGGACAATGGGGAACAATTTGTGATGATAGCTGGGATATAAAAGATGCTAAAGTTGTTTGTCGTCAACTTGGTCTTGGTGCAGCTACTAGTGCTTTACAAGGAAGTCATGTTCCTGATGGCAGTGGACGAATATGGTTGGACGACGTTCGTTGTGTAGGAAATGAAAATAATATTTCGAGTTGTTCACATAGTGGATGGGGATCACATAATTGTGGACATGATGAAGATGCTGGTGTACAATGTTCAGGTGTGTATGTACATAAATTATCTTAAAAATTGGAAGATTTTTACTTAAAGATGACCAACTGGATTATTTAAGGAACCTGAATGATTAATTTAAACATTTAATATGATTTTATAATATTGAACAAGATATTGACAAATGCCTGATGAATAAACACAGTTTCGGACGTAAAATAACTAAATAAACATATTTTGTTCCACTTTGGTTTATAAAATGTATCAAAAGCGAGTGACAATTCGTTTTAAATCAAAACATCTATAGACTAATAAGGAAGTTTATAAAAAATACATTCATTGTTATTTACATTCCTTGACCAGATGACAGTTTCATTAAATACAAAATAAAGCACAAACCGAAAAAGGACTCCTTGTAAACTTAGATTCAAGTTATCAAAACAAGACAATTAGAAGTGTAAAATTACGTTTTATTTTAAATTATCATTTCACTGATAAGGGTTTAGAAATAAAACTGAAACATTATACTTCTAATTGTCTTGTTTCGATAACTTGAATCTAAGTTTACAAAATGACCTTTTTCGAATTGTGCTTTATTTTATATTTTGTATTTACATAGTTAAATGTATCACATTACTGTGGATGTCCAATACGCTGTGGTGTATAGAAAGGGTGAGATAATAAGCTTAGTTAGAGGGATGGAGCTTCCGTTGGCGTTAAACAATGACTTTAGTTTAGAGTTAAAGAGGCTTTGCGTATCATAAGGTCGAATGTGTCAAGGCTGTGTCCATGTGTCAAGAAAGCACCATCCCTCTCGAGATTTCTAGTCTTAACACATCCGCCTAACTATATACCACATCACACTTGCACATCCATTGCAATCTGATATCTTAAACTATCTAAATAACTATAAATAAAATATTTGTAAACTTCCTTATTAGTCTGAAGATGCATTCAGTCAAGACGAAACGTACGTCGCTTTTAATAAATTTTATAAAACCAAATTGCTTACGGCTATTTTATAAATTATCTGTTGGGCTCTAATCTTTGTATTAGGATATTTTACATGTACATGTAACCCCGAATCTTTCGAATTTGAGATTTGTATGTCTTGCAATATCTATATATCTTCTTTTTTTTTCAGTTGTCAACTCTGTTAGACTTCGGGGACCAAAAAGTTCTAGTGGCAGAGGTCGTGTTGAAGTATTTTACAATGGACAATGGGGAACAATTTGTGATGATAGCTGGGATATAAAAGATGCTAAAGTTGTTTGTCGTCAACTTGGTCTTGGTGCAGCTACTAGTGCTTTACAAGGAGGTAATGTTCCTGATGGCAGTGGACGAATATGGTTGGATGACGTTCGTTGTGTAGGAAATGAAAATAATATTTCGAGTTGTTCACATAGAGGATGGGGATCACATAATTGTACACATGAGGAAGATGCTGGTGTACAATGTTCAGGTTTGTATGTACATCGCTTATCTTAAAAATAGGAAGATTTTTATAAAAAGATGATAAAATGGATTATTTCGGAATGTCAATGATTAATTTAAACATTTAATATGATTTTACAATACTAAAACAGATATTGACAAATGCCTGATGAATAAACACAGCTTCGGACGTAAAATAACTAAATAAACACAACTGGTTTCATGAGGACATCATTAAACATAACCTATTTCATGATGGCCCATAAAAAGAATAGATAATGCCAGGGCTAAAGGGCAGACCATAGACTAAACTTTCCGTGGATGGATGTGATAATCGTTATAATCAGTTTTGTTACGATTGTTTACATTCATTAGAGCTTTTTGAAGCTGTAAGCTGTAGCCTATGAAGCTCCATTAAAATTTTTCTTTTTTGCATATTTAAAAGGAACATCTCCAAATATACACTACAGTGTAACTTTATGACTTGTAATTGCGTGTTGTCTATTTTAAAAAATGCATTTTTAAATTCGTTTCTTACTGACCGTTAAGGTTTAGCAAAAGACATGCCTAGAAAGCACCAGAAACGTATTTATGAATAATTAAAAATACGATAAAGATTCCCATGTTGTCAACGAAGAGTCTATGTGACCAATTTCTTGTTTATTATTTGCTTGTTTCAACAAGTTATGGGGCAGTGTTGCCATATGGCCACAAATCAAACGATTGAATGGAAAACATATGGGGAAAATTCGCAAATCAAAGAGTTGAGAAGTTATTTATATTACATAAAGAAATAAGGACTGGTCAAAATAAAAATTGTTTAAGACTTATGAAAGTCAAATAGTGTCTAATTAACCAAAACTTATTGATATTGGTACTTATGTAAGTTTTTTTTATCATTTTGTTGTTACAAATTAAATCATTAATTTCGCCCAAGAAAATTTTACAATGGCATCTAACATAACAGGATACATTATATGTATATACGTAACTTAGAATATTTCGGAATTGAGACTTCTATAGATCGCACTATCTATATATTTTCTTTTTTTATTAGTCGTCAACTCTGTTAGACTTCGGGGACCAAAAAGTTCTAGTGGTAGAGGTCGTGTGGAAGTTTTTTACAATGGAGAATGGGGAACAATTTGTGATGATAGCTGGGATTTAAAAGATGCTAAAGTTGTTTGTCTTCAACTTGGTTATGACTATGCTGTCAGTGCTTTACAAGGTGGTGATGTTCCTGATGGCAGTGGACGAATATGGTTGGATGATGTTCGTTGCGTAGGAAATGAAAATAATATTTCGAGTTGTTCACATAGTGGATGGGGATCACATAATTGTGGACATGATGAAGATGCTGGTGTACAATGTTCAGGTTTGTATGTACATAAATTGTCTTAAAAATTGGAAGATTTTTACTTTAAGATGACAAACTGGATTATTTAAGGAACCTCAATGATTAATTTAAGCATTTAATATGATTTTATAATATTGAAACAGATATTGACAAATGCCTGAAGAATAAACACAGCTTCGGACGTAAAATAACTAAATAAACATATTTTGTTCCAGTTTGGTTTATAAAATGTATCAAAAGCGAGTGACAATTCGTTTTAAATCAAAACATCTATAGACTAATAAGGAAGTTTATAAAAAATACATTCATTGTTATTTACATTCCTTGACCAGATGACAGTTTCATTAAATACAAAATAAAGCACAAACCGAAAAAGGACTCCTCGTAAACTTAGATTCAAGTTATCAAAACAAGACAATTAGAAGTGTAAAATTACGTTTTATTTTAAATTATCATTTCACTGATAAGGGTTTAGAAATAAAACTGAAACATTATACTTCTAATTGTCTTGTTTTGATAACTTGAATCTAAGTTTACAAAATGACCTTTTTCGAATTGTGCTTTATTTTATATTTTGTATTTACATAGTTAAATGTATCACATTACTGTGGATGTCCAATACGCTGTGGTGTATAGCAAGGGTGAGATAATAAGCTTAGCTAGAGGGATGGAGCTTCCGTTGGCGTTAAACAATGACTTTAGTTTAGAGATAAAGAGGCTTTGCGTATCATAAGGTCGAATGTGTCAAGGCTGTGTCCATGTGTCAAGAAAGCACCATCCCTCTCGAGTTTTCTAGTCTTAACACATCCGCCTAACTATATACCACATCAAACTTGCACATCCATTGCAATCTGATATCTTAAACTATCTAAATAACTATAAATAAAATATTTGTAAACTTCCTTATTAGTCTGAAGATGCATTCAGTCAAGACGAAACGTACGTCGCTTTTAATAAATTTTATAAAACCAAATTGCTTACGGCTATTTTATAAATTATCTGTTGGGCTCTAATCTTTGTATTAGGATATTTTACATGTACATGTAACCCCGAATCTTTCGAATTTGAGATTTGTATGTCTTGCAATATCTATATATTTTCTTTTTTATCAGTTGTCAACTCTGTTAGACTTCGGGGACCAAAAAGTTCTAGTGGCAGAGGTCGTGTTGAAGTATTTTACAATGGAGAATGGGGAACAATTTGTGATGATAGCTGGGATTTAAAAGATGCTAAAGTTGTTTGTCGTCAACTTGGTCTTATGACTACTAGTGCTTTACAAGGAGGTAATGTTCCTGATGGCAGTGGACGAATATGGTTGGATGACGTTCGTTGTGTAGGAAATGAAAATAATATTTCGAGTTGTTCACATAGAGGATGGGGATCACATAATTGTACACATGATGAAGATGCTGGTGTACAATGTTCAGGTTTGTATGTACATCGCTTATCTTAAAAATAGGAAGATTTTTATAAAAAGATGATAAAATGGATTATTTCGGAATGTCAATGATTAATTTAAACATTTAATATGATTTTACAATACTGAAACAGATATTGACAAATGCCTGATGAATAAACACAGCTTCGGACGTAAAATAACTAAATAAATACAACTTGTTTCATGAGGACATCATTAAACATAACCTATTTCATGATGGCTCATAAAAAGATTAGATAATGCCAGAGCTAAAGGGCAGCCCATAGACTAAACTTTCCGTGGATGGATGTGATAATCGTTATAATCAATTTTGTTACGATTGTTTACATTCATTAGAGCTTTTTGAAGCTGTAGGCTGTAGCCTATGAAGCTCCATTAGAATTTTTCTTTTTTCCATATTTAAAAGGAACATCTCCAAATATACACTACAGTGTAACTTTATGACTTGTAATGGCGTGTTGTCTATCATAAAAAATGCATTTTTAAATTCGTTTCTTACTGACCGTTAAAGTTTAGCAAAAGACATGCCTAGAGAGCACCAGAAACGTATTTATGAATAATTAAAAATACGATAAAGATTCCCACGTTGTCAACGAAGAGTCTATGTGACCAATTTACTGTTTATTATTTGTTGTTTCAACAAGTTATTGGGCAGTTTTGCCATATGGCAACAAATCAAACGATTGAATGGAAAACAAACGGGGGAAATTCGCAAGTTAAAGAGTTAAGAAGTTATTTATATTACATAAAGAAATAAGGACTGGTCTAATTAAAAATTGTTTAAGACTTATGAAAGTCAAATAGTGTCTAAATAACCAAAACGTTTTGATATTGGTACTTATGTAAGTTTTTTTTATCATTTTGTTGTTACTAATTTAAGTCAATAATTTGGCCCAAGAAGATTTTACAATGGCATCTAACATAACAGGATACTTTATATGTATACATGTAACTTAGAATATTTCGGAATTGAGACTTCTATAGATCGTACTATCTATATATTTTCTTTTTTCATCAGTTGTCAACTCTGTTAGACTTCGGGGACCAAAGAGTTCTAGTGGTAGAGGTCGTGTGGAAGTATTTTACAATGGAGAATGGGGAACAATTTGTGATGATAGCTGGGATTTAAAAGATGCTAAAGTTGTTTGTCGTCAACTTGGTTATGAATATGCTGTCAGTGCTTTACAAGGTGGTGATGTTCCTGATGGCAGAGGACAAATATGGTTGGACGACGTTCGTTGTGTAGGAAATGAAAATAATATTTCGAGTTGTTCACATAGTGGATGGGGATCCCATAATTGTGGACATGATGAAGATGCTGGTGTACAATGTTCAGGTGTGTATGTACATAAATTATCTTAAAAATTGGAAGATTTTTACTTAAAGATGACAAACTGGATTATTTAAGGAACCTCAATGATTAATTTAAATATTTAATATGATTTTATAATATTGAACCAGATATTGACAAATGCCTGATGAATAAACACAGTTTCGGACGTAAAATAACTAAATAAACATATTTTGTTCCACTTTGGTTTTGAAAATGTATTAAAAGCGAGTGACATTTCCTTTTAAATCAAAACATCTTCAGACTATAATAAGGAAGTTTATAAAAAATACATTTATTGTTATTTACAATCCTTGACCAAACGACAGTTTCCTTAAATATAAAATATAGAACAAACCGAGAAAGGACTCTTTGTAAACTTAGATTCAAGTTATCAAAACAAGACAATTAGAAGTGTAATATTTCGGTTTTATTTCAAATTATCATTTCACTGATAAGGGTTTAAAAATAAAACCAAAACATTATAGTTCTAATTGTCTTATTTCGATAACTTGAATCTAAGTTAACAAAATGACCTTTTTCGAATTGTGCTTTATTTTATATTTTTTATTTACATAGTTAAATGTATCACATTACTGTGGATGTCCAATACGCTGTGGTGTACAGCAAGGGTGAGATATTAAGCCTAACTAGAGGGATGGAGCTTTCATTGGCGTTAAATAATGACTTTAGTTTAGAGATAAAGAGGCTTTGCGTATCATAAGGTCGAATGTATCAAGGCTGTGTCCATGTGTCAAGAAATCACCATCCCTCTCGAGTTTCCTAGTCTTAACACCTCCACCTAGCAACACACCACATAATACTTGCACATCCATAGCAATCTGATATCTTAAACTATTTAAATAACTATAAATAAAATTTTTGTTAACTTCCTTATTAGTCTGAAGATGTTCTCACTCAAGACGAAACGTCGCTTTTAATAAATTTTATAAAACCAAATTGCTTATGACAATTTTAAAAATTATCTGTTGGGCTCTAATATTTGTATTAGGATATTTTACATGTACATGTAACCCTGAAGCATTTCAATTTGAGATTTGTATGTCTTGCAATATCTATATATTTTCTTTTTTTATCAGTTGTCAACTCTGTTAGACTTCGGGGATCAAAACGTTCTAGTGGCAGAGGTCGTGTTGAAGTATTTTACAATGGAGAATGGGGAACAATTTGTGATAATAGCTGGGATATAAAAGATGCTAAAGTTGTTTGTCGTCAACTTGGTCTTGGTGAAGCTACTAGTGCTTTACAAGGAAGTCATGTTCCTGATGGCAGTGGACGAATATGGTTGGATGACGTTCGTTGTGTAGGAAATGAAAATAATATTTTGAGTTGTTCACATGGAGGATGGGGAACACATAATTGTACACATTATGAAGATGCTGGTGTACAATGTTCAGGTTTGTATGTACATAATTCATCTTAAAGATTGCAAGATTTTTATAAAAAGATGATAAACTGGATTATTTCGGAATGTCAATGATTAATTTAAACATTTAATATGATTTTATAATACTAAAACAGATATTGACAAATGCCTGATTAATAAACACAGCTTCGGACGTAAAATAACTAAATAAACATAACTTGTTTCATGAGGACATCATTAAACATAACCTATTTCATGATGGCCCATAAAAAGATTAGATAATGCCAGAGCTAAAGGGCAGCCCATAGACTAAACTTTCCGTGGATGGATGTGATAATCGTTATAATCAGTTTTGTTACGATTGTTTACATTCATTAGAGCTTTTTGAAGCTGTAGGCTGTAGCCTATGAATCTCTATTAAAATTTTTCTTTTTTGCATATTTAAAAGGAACATCTCCAAATATACACTACAGTGTAACTTTATGACTTGTAATGGCATGTTGTCTATCATAAAAAATGCATCTTTAAATTCGTTTCTTACTGACCGTTAAAGCTTAGTAAAAGACATGCCTAGAGAGCACGAGAAACGTATTTATGAATAATTAAAAATACGATAAAGATTCCCACGTTGTCAACGAAGAGTCTATGTGACCAATTTACTGTTTATTATTTGCTTGTTTCAACAAGTTATGGGGCAGTGTTGCCATATGGCAACAAATCAAACGATTGAATGGAAAACAAATGGGGAAAATTCGCAAGTTAAAGAGTTAAGAAGTTATATTACATAAAGAAATAAGGACTGGTCAAAATAAAAATTGTTTAAGACTTATGAAAGTCAAATAGTGTCTAAATAACCAAAACGTTTTGATATTGGTACTTATGTAAGTTTTTTTTTATCATTTTGTTGTTACTAATTTAAATCATTAATTTCGCCCAAGAAAATTTTACAATGGCATCTAACATAACAGGATACTTTACATGTATACATGTAACTTAGAATATTTCGGAATTGAGACTTCTATAGATCGCACTATCTATATATTTTCTTTTTTTATCAGTTGTCAACTCTGTTAGACTTCGGGGACCAAAAAGTTCTAGTGGCAGAGGTCGTGTGGAAGTATTTTACAATGGAGAATGGGGAACAATTTGTGATGATAGCTGGGATTTAAAAGATGCTGAAGTTGTTTGTCGTCAACTTGGTTATGACTATGCTGTCAGTGCTTTACAAGGTGGTGATGTTCCTGATGGCAGAGGACAAATATGGTTGGACGACGTTCGTTGTGTAGGAAATGAAAATAATATTTCGAGTTGTTCACATAGTGGATGGGGATCCCATAATTGTGGACATGATGAAGATGCTGGTGTACAATGTTCAGGTTTGTATGTACATAAATTATCTTAAAAATTGGAAGATTTTTACTTAAAGATGACAAGCTGGATTATTTAAGCAACCTCAATGATTAATTTAAACATTTAATATGATTTTATAATATTGAACCAGATATTGACAAATGCCTGATGAATAAACACAGCTTCGGACGTAAAATAACTAAATAAACATATTTTGTTCTACTTTGGTTTATAAAATGTATTAAAAGCGAGTGGCATTTCCTTTTAAATCAAAACATCTTCACATTATAATAAGGAAGTTTATAAAAAATACATTCATTGTTATTTACATTCCTTGACCAGACGACAGTTTCGTTAAATATAAAATAAAGCACAAACCGAAAAAGAACTTCTTGTAAACTTAGATTCAAGTTATCAAAACATGACAATTAGAAGTGTAATATTTTGGTTTTATTTCAAATGATCATTTCACTGATGAGGGTTTAGAAATAAAACCGAAACATTATACTTCTAATTGTTTTGTTTTGATAACTTGAACCTAAGTTTACAAAATGACCTTTTTCAAATTGTGCTTTATTTTACATTTTTTATTTACATAGTTAAATGTATCACATTACAGTGGATGTCCAATACGCTGTGGTGTATAGCAAGGTTGAGATAGTAAGCCTAGCTAAAGGGATGGAGCTTCCTTTGGCGTTAAATAATGACTTTAGTTTAGAGATAAAGAGGCTTTGCGTATCAAAAGGTCGAATGTGTCAAGGCTGTGTCCATGTGTCAAGAAAGCACCATCCCTCTCGAGTTTCCTAGTCTTAACACCTCCACCTAGCAACACACCACATCACCCCTGCACATCCATAACAATCTGATATCTTTAACTATTTAAATAACTATAAATAAAATTTTTGTAAACTTCCTTATTAGTCTGAAGATGTCTTCAGTCAAGATGAAACGTACGTCGCTTTTAATAAATTTTAAAAAACCAAAATGCTTATGGCTATTTTAAAAATTACCTGTCGGGCTCTTATATTTGCATCAAGATATCTTACATGTACATGTAACCCCGAATGTTTTGAATTTGAGATTTGAATGTCTTGCAATATCTATATATTTTCTTTTTTATCAGTTGTCAACTCTGTTAGACTTCGGGGACCAAAAAGTTCTAGTGGTAGAGGTCGTGTTGAAGTATTTTACAATGGAGAATGGGGAACAATTTGTGATGATAGCTGGGATTTAAACGATGCTAAAGTTGTTTGTCGTCAACTTGGTTATGACTATGCTGTCAGTGCTTTACAAGGAGGTAATGTTCCTGATGGCAGTGGACGAATATGGTTAGACGACGTTCGTTGTGTAGGAAATGAAAATAATATTTCGAGTTGTTCACATAGTGGATGGGGATCACATAATTGTGGACATAATGAAGATGCTGGTGTACAATGTTCAGGTTTGTATGTACATAATTTATCTTAAAGATTGCAAGATTTTTATAAAAAGATGATAAACTGGATTATTTAGGAACGTCAATGATTAATTTAAACATTTAATATGATTTTATAATACTGAAACAGATATTGACAAATGTCTGATTAATAAACACAGCTTCGGACGTAAAATAACTAAATAAATATAACTTGTTTGATGAGGACATTATTAAACATAACCTATTTCAAGATGGCCCATAAAAAGATTAGATAATGCCAGAGCTAAAGGGCAGCCCATAGACTAAACTTTCCGTGGATGGATGTGATAATCGTTATAATCAGTTTTGTTACGATTGTTTACATTCACTAGAGCTTTTTGAAGCTGTAGGCTGTAGCCTATGAATCTCTATTAAAATTCTTCTTCTTTGCATATTTAAAAGGAACATCTCCAAATATACACTACAGTGTAACTTTGTGACTTGTAATGGCGTGTTGTTTATCTTAAAGTCAAATAGTGTCTAATTAACCAAAACGTTTTGATATTGGTACTTATGTAAGTTTTTTTTATCATTTTTTTGTTACTAATTTAAATCATTAATTTTGCCAGAGAAGATTTTACAATGGCATCTAACATAACAGGACACTTTACATGTATACATGTAACTTAGAATATTTCGGAATTGAGATTTCTATAGATCGCACTATTTATATATTTTCTTTTTTTATCAGTTTTCAACTATGTTAGACTTCGGGGACCAAAAAGTTCTAGTGGCAGAGGTCGTGTTGAAGTATTTTACAATGGAGAATGGGGAACAATCTGTGATGATAGCTGGGATTTAAAAGATGCTAAAGTTGTTTGTCGTCAACTTCGTTATGACTATGCTGTCAGCGCTTTAAAAGGAAGTTCTGTTCCTGATGGCAGTGGACGAATATGGTTGGATGATGTTCGTTGTGTAGGAAATGAAAATAATATTTCGAGTTGTTCACATAGAGGATGGGGAACACATAATTGTACACATTATAAAGATGCTGGTGTACAATGTTCAGGTTTGTATGTACATCACTTATCTTAAAAATAGGAAGATTTTTATAAAAAGATGATAAAATGGATTATTTCGGAATGTCAATGATTAATTTAACATTTAATATGATTTTATAATACTGAAAGAGATATTGACAAATGCCTGATGAACAAACACAGCTTCGGACGTAAAATAACTAAATAAACATAACTTGTTTCATGAGGACATCATTAAACATAACCTATTTTATCATGGCCCATAAAAAGATTAGATAATGCAGAGCTAAAGGGCAACCCATAGACTAAACTTTCCGTGGATGGATGTGATAATCGTTATAATCAGTTTTGTTACGATTGTTTACATTCATTAGAGCTTTTTGAAGCTGTAGGCTGTAGCCTATGAATCTCTATTAAAATTTTTCTTTTTTGCATATTTAAAAGGAACATCTCCAAATATACACTACAGTGTAACTTTATGACTTGTAATGGCATGTTGTCTATCATAAAAAATGCATTTTTAAATTCGTTTCTTACTGACCGTTAAAGCTTAGTAAAAGACATGCCTAGAGAGCACGAGAAACGTATTTATGAATAATTAAAAATACGATAAAGATTCCCACGTTGTCAACGAAGAGTCTATGTGACCAATTTACTGTTTATTATTTGCTTGTTTCAACAAGTTATAGCAGTGTTGCCATATGGCAACAAATCAAACGATTGAATGGAAAACAAATGGGGAAAATTCGCAAGTTAAAGAGTTAAGAAGTTATATTACATAAAGAAATAAGGGCTGGTCAAAATAAAAATTGTTTAAGACTTATGAAAGTCAAATAGTGTCTAAATAACCAAAACGTTTTGATATTGGTACTTATGTAAGTTTTTTTTATCATTTTGTTGTTACTAATTTAAATCATTAATTTCGCCCAAGAAAATTTTACAATGGCATCTAACATAACAGGATACTTTATATGTATACATGTAATTTAGAATATTTCGGAATTGAGACTTCTATAGATCGTACTATCTATATATTTTCTTTTTTCATCAGTTGTCAACTCTGTTAGACTTCGGGGACCAAAAAGTTCTAGTGGTAGAGGTCGTGTGGAAGTATTTTACAATGGAGAATGGGGAACAATTTGTGATGATAGCTGGGATTTAAAAGATGCTAAAGTTGTTTGTCGTCAACTTGGTTATGAATATGCTGTCAGTGCTTTACAAGGTGGTGATGTTCCTGATGGCAGAGGACAAATATGGTTGGACGACGTTCGTTGTGTAGGAAATGAAAATAATATTTCGAGTTGTTCACATAGTGGATGGGGATCCCATAATTGTGGACATGATGAAGATGCTGGTGTACAATGTTCAGGTTTGTATGTACATAAATTGTCTTAAAAATTGGAAGATTTTTACTTTAAGATGACAAACTGGATTATTTAAGGAACCTCAATGATTAATTTAAGCATTTAATATGATTTTATAATATTGAACCAGATATTGACAAATGCCTGATGAATAAACACAGCTTCGGACGTAAAATAACTAAATAAACATATTTTGTTCTACTTTGGTTTATAAAATGTATTAAAAGCGAGTGGCATTTCCTTTTAAATCAAAACATCTTCACATTATAATAAGGAAGTTTATAAAAAATACATTCATTGTTATTTACATTCCTTGACCAGACGACAGTTTCATTAAATATAAAATAAAGCACAAACCGAAAAAGGACTTCTTGTAAACTTAGATTCAAGTTATCAAAACACGACAATTAGAAGTGTAATATTTTGGTTTTATTTCAAATGATCATTTCACTGATGAGGGTTTAGAAATAAAACCGAAACATTATACTTCTAATTGTTTTGTTTTGATAACTTGAACCTAAGTTTTACAAAATGACCTTTTTCAAATTGTGCTTTATTTTACATTTTTTATTTACATAGTTAAATTTATTACATTACAGTGGATGTCCAATACGCTGTGGTGTATAGTAAGGTTGAGATAGTAAGCCTAGCTAGAGGAATGGAGCTTCCTTTGGCGTTAAATAATGACTTTCGTTTAGAGATAAAGAGGCTTTGCGTATCAAAAGATCGAATGTGTCAAGGCTGTGTCCATGTGTCAAGAAAGCACCATCCCTCTCGAGTTTCCTAGTCTTAACACCTCCACCAAGCAACACACCACATCACACTTGCACATCCATAGCAATCTGATATCTTTAACTATTTCAATAACAATAAATAGAATTTTTGTAAACTTCCTTATTAGTCTGAAAATGTCTTCAGTCAAGACGAAACGTACGTCGCTTTTAATAAATTTTAAAAAACCAAAATGCTTATGGCTATTTTAAAAAATATGTGTTGGGCTCTTATATTTGCATCAAGATATCTTACATGTACATGTAACCCCGAATCTTTTGAATTTGAGATTTGTATGTCTTGCAATATCTATATATTTTCTTTTTTTATCAGTTGTCAACTCTGTTAGACTTCGGGGACCAAAACGTTCTAGTGGCAGAGGTCGTGTTGAAGTATTTTACAATGGAGAATGGGGAACAATTTGTGATGATAGCTGGGATTTAAACGATGCTGAAGTTTTTTGTCGTCAACTTGGTTATGACTATGCTGTCAGTGCTTTACAAGGAGGTAATGTTCCTGATGGCAGTGGACGAATATGGTTAGACGACGTTCGTTGTGTAGGAAATGAAAATAATATTTCGAGTTGTTCACATAGTGGATGGGGATCACATAATTGTGGACATAATGAAGATGCTGGTGTACAATGTTCAGGTTTGTATGTACATAATTTATCTTAAAGATTGCAAGATTTTTATAAAAGGATGATAAACTGGATTATTTGGGAATGTCAATGATTAATTTAAACATTTAATATGATTTTATAATACTGAAACAGATATTGACAAATGTCTGATTAATAAACACAGCTTCGGACGTAAAATAACTAAATAAACATAACTTGTTTCATGAGGACATTATTAAACATAACATATTTCATGATGGCCCATAAAAAGATTAGATAATGCCAGAGCTAAAGGGCAGCCCATAGACTAAACTTTCCGTGGATGGATGTGATAATCGTTATAATCAGTTTTGTTACGATTGTTTACATTCATTAGAGCTTTTTGAAGCTGTAGGCTGTAGCCTATCAATCTCTATTAAAATTTTTCTATTTTGCATATTTAAAAGGAACATCTCCAAATATACACTACAGTGTAACTTTGTGACTTGTAATGGCGTGTTGTTTATTTTAAAGTTAAATAGTGTCTAATTAACCAAAACTTTTTGATATTGGTACTTATGTAAGTTTTTTTTATCATTTTTTTGTTACTAATTTAAATCATTAATTTTGCCAGAGAAGATTTTACAATGGCATCTAACATAACAGGATACTTTACATGTATACATGTAACTTAGAATATTTCAGAATTGAGATTTCTATAGAACGCACTATCTATATATTTTCTTTTTTTATCAGTTTTCAAATCTGTTAGACTTCGGGGACCAAAAAGTTCTAGTGGCAGAGGTCGTGTGGAAATATTTTACAATGGAGAATGGGGAACAATTTGTGATGATAGCTGGGATTTAAAAGATGCTAAAGTTGTTTGTCGTCAACTGGGTTATGACTATGCTGTAAGCGCTTTAAAAGGAAGTTCTGTTCCTGATGGCAGTGGACGAATATGGTTGGATGATGTTCGTTGTGTAGGAAGTGAAAATAATATTTTGAGTTGTTCACATGGAGGATGGGGAACACATAATTGTACACATTATGAAGATGCTGGTGTACAATGTTCAGGTTTGTATGTACATCACTTATCTTAAAAATAGGAAGATTTTTATAAAAAGATGATAAAATGGATTATTTCGGAATGTCAATGATTAATTTAAACATTTAATATGATTTTACAATACTGAAACAGATATTGACAAATGCCTGATGAATAAACACAGCTTCGGACGTAAAATAACTAAACAAACATAACTTGTTTCATGAGGACATCATTAAACATAACCTATTTCATGATGGCCAATAAAAAGATTAGATAATGCCAGAGCTAAAGGGCAGCCCATAGACTAAACTTTCCGTGGATGGATGTGATAATCTTTATAATCAGTTTTGTTACGATTGTTTACATTCATTAGAGCTTTTTGAAGCTGTAGGCTGTAGCCTATCAATCTCTATTAAAATTTTTGTTTTTTGCATATTTAAAAGGAACATCTCCAAATATACACTACAGTGTAACTTTGTGACTTGTAATGGCGTGTTGTTTATCTTAAAGTCGAATAGTGTCTAGTTAACCAAAACTTTTTGATATTGGTACTTATGTAAGTTTTTTTATCATTTTTTTGTTACTAATTTAAATCATTAATTTTGCCAGAGAAGATTTTACAATGGCATCTAACATAACAGGATACTTTATATGTATATATGTAACTTAGAATATTTCGGAATTGAGACTTCTATAGATCGCACTATCTATATATTTTCTTTTTTATCAGTTGTCAACTCTGTTAGACTTCGGGGACCAAAAAGTTCTAGTGGTAGAGGTCGTGTGGAAATATTTTACAATGGAGAATGGGGAACAATTTGTGATGATAGCTGGGATATAAAAGATGCTAAAGTTGTTTGTCGTCAACTTGGTCTTGGTGCAGCTACTAGTGCTTTACAAGGAAGTCATGTTCCTGATGGCAGTGGACGAATATGGTTGGATGATGTTCGTTGTGTAGGAAATGAAAATAATATTTCGAGTTGTTCACATGGAGGATGGGGAACACATAATTGTGGACATTATGAAGATGCTGGTGTACAATGTTCAGGTTTGTATGTACATAATTTATCTTAAAGATTGCAAGATTTTTATAAAAAGATGATAAACTGGATTATTTCGGAATGTCAATGATTAATTTAAACATTTAAAATGATTTTATAATACTGAAACAGATATTGACAAATGCCTGAAGAATAAACACAGCTTCGAACGTAAAATAACTAAATAAACACAACTTGTTTCATGAGGACATCATTAAATATAACCTATTTCATGATGGCCCGTAAAAAGATTAGATAATGCCAGAGCTAAAGGGCAGCCCATAGACTAAACTTTCCGTGGATGGATGTGATAATCTTTATAATCAGTTTTGTTACGATTGTTTACATTCATTAGAGCTTTTTGAAGCTGTAGGCTGTAGCCTATGAATCTCTATTAAAATTTTTCTTTTTTGCATATTTAAAAGGAACATCTCCAAATATACACTACAGTGTAACTTTGTGACTTGTAATGGCGTGTTGTTTATTTTACAGTCAAATAGTGTCTAATTAACCAAAACTTTTTGATATTGGTACTTATGTAAGTTTTTTTTATCATTTGTTTGTTACTAATTTAAATCATTAATTTTGCCAGAGAAGATTTTACAATGGCATCTAACGTAACAGGATACTTTACATGTATACATGTAACTTAGAATATTTCGGAATTGAGATTTCTATAGATCGCACTATCTATATATTTTCATTTGAATTTGAGATTTGCATGTCTTGCAATATCTATATATTTTCTTTTTTTTATCAGTTGTCAACTCTGTTAGACTTCGGGGACCAAAAGGTTCTAGTGGCAGAGGTCGTGTGGAAGTATTTTACAATGGAGAATGGGGAACAATTTGTGATGATAGCTGGGATTTAAAAGATGCTAAAGTTGTTTGTCGTCAACTTGGTTATGACTATGCTGTTAGCGCTTTAAAAGGAAGTTCTGTTCCTGATGGCAGTGGAAAAATATGGTTGGATGATGTTCGTTGCGTAGGAAATGAAAATAATATCTCCAGTTGTTCACATAGAGGATGGGGATCACATAATTGTACACATTATGAAGATGCTGGTGTACAATGTTCAGGTTTGTATGTACATCACTTATCTTAAAAATTGGAAGATAATTCAAAAAAGATGACAAAATATATTATTTGGGGTTCGTTAATGTTAATTTTTCAAAATTACTTTATGTCATTTATACAGGAATTAATGAGTGCCTGCAAAATAAACATAACTGTGGAAATAACTCAAACTGTATAAACACAATTGGTAGTTTCATCTGTGTTTGCCATCATGGTTTTTCAGGAAACGGAGAAAATTGTTCAGGTAGGAACCTTTTTTATTCTTAGCCATGCTTAAGTGGTAAAACATAGCCTAATTTGAAGCCGTGGGTGTTTCGTTTGCTGACGTATCTGTTTTTCTTTCGTCAAGATTAATTGTTTTTTAAAAGGTTGACATTTACAGTTGATGAAATATAAATTTAGCAATTTGACTTTTACTGCGATGTCGATGAAAAAATGGATGTATTATATTATGATCCTTGTTTATGTTTAAGATGCACAATAAAGAAGCGTGCTCTTATGCCAGCAAATTAACTAAACATGCTATAATCATGTAGAAAAATTTTTTACATAAAAACCTCAATTTAAATAAAAACACACTTTCGACAGTTGTATTTATATTTAGCAAACTGCAACTTTGATAATGGAAACATTTGCAACTTTAACAACGGCGCAGGGGAATTCAACTGGACGATTAACACTGGACCAACATTGAGCTATGACACAGGTCCCAGCAATGACACAAGTGGATCTGGTATAAAATATCCCTTTATCTATTACTTAAGAGTATTAAAGGTTTTCATCAAAACTTAATTGCGCATTTTGATAACTATCAAAAACTCCTAAATGATTGCGAATTCTTCAAACTTCTTTACGTCTTACAAAATTAATTTAATTCTGTATGATTGATATTAACAATCTTTCTGTTGCAGGTTACTATCTCTACATTGAAACATCAAGTCCACGTCAACATGGAGATAAAGCAACTGTTTTAACACCATACTTAAATGGTGAACAATGTATGAAGTTTGCCTATCATATGTACGGCAGCAGTATTGGTTCTCTCAACATTTACGCTGGTAGTCAAATGATTTTTAAGAAATCAGGAAATCAAGGCAACATATGGGTGTTTGTGGAAAAATTCATTCGTCTAAATGGAAGTTATATGGTATATCTTAATTTTATCTTGAAAGTTGTGTAGTCTAGCTGCATTTTAATGCACTTTGCTTTTTCTTTTTAATAACAATAAGCTTTTTAGAAACTAGTTCAAGCACATATAAATAATGATAAAGTCAAGGCGTACAATACATCTTATAAAAAATGCTGCTGTTTACGTAGAGGTAGAACAAGTACTAACTTGAAGGCAAATTATAAACAATTACAACTTAACGTTATGTCAAGACTATCAACTAACTCATACACCAGAACACATAAGTATGTAGTGTTTGGTTTATTTGATCAGTTAGGGCGAGTTTGCACTCAAACAATAATTCCTACTCCTTAAACCTGTTTTACATTGTTTTGTTTACATAGGTAAAATTTGAAGGTGTTCGCGGTCTCAGTTTCCAAGGTGACATTGCAATCGATGCAATCAGTTTTAAACCAGGCAGATGCTCTTTGAAAACACCAAAGCCAACAACACAATCTACATAAAAACCTAGGAAACTTTCGGTACAAACGTGTTATGCAAAAATTAAAATTAAAAATTAAAATGTGAAAGTTTTCTCATACTTTAATATTTCTTAAAATGCATCGTTCTTGTAACTTAACAAAAAATAAACATATATTCTGAAATAAATATTTTTGCTCAAAATAATTTTATAGACTCTTTCATTTTTTTAAGCTGGAACAAGTCAGCTTACGTAGCAATTTTTGCACCTAATAATGATGGTAGAGTCAGAAATGTAAGAAATGGATGAACCCAAAAAATCTGGTGAAAACATTAAACTAGCTCAAATTAAGACACCAAGGGAAATTGGCACCCAAGCCAATTAATCTATTAGAAATAAAGTATGAAGATAACCTAAGTAGAGGCACTTCTATACTAGTACAGTGTTCATTGTGGCATTATGTAGATAACTTGATTTAGCTGAATAGAACATGATATTACCTACTGTACTTCTATAGTACAGCATATTACCTAACAGTGATACTATGTAGGTGACTTGAAGTACCACAGTAGTACAGCATATTTGTTAACTGTGATACTACGTAGGTGACTAGAGGTACCTCTATAGTACAGCATATTACCTAACTGTGATACTATGTAGGTAACTTGAAATACCACAGTAGTACAGCATATTTGTTAACTGTGATACTACGTAGGTGATTAGAGGTACCTCTATAGTATAGCATATTACCTAACTGTGATACTATGTAGGTGACTTGAGGTACCTCTATAGTACAGCATATTAGTTAACTATGATACTATTTAGGTGACTTGAGGTACTTCTACAGTACAGCATATTAGCTAACTATGATACTATGTAGGTAACTTGAGGTATCTCTATAGTACAGCATATTACCTAACTGTGATACTGTGTAGGTGACTTGAGGCACTTCTATAGTACAGCATAATAGCTAACTGTGATACTGCTTAGATAACTTGAAGTACCTCCATAGCAAAGCATATTTGCTAACTATGATTATTTGAAGTCTAATAAGTTGAAATTGGTTTGCATTCATAGTCAAGTTTTGCACAACTGTGATAGACAATTCAAAAAAAAACTGTACGTAAGTAACAACTCTTGTCAACAACTCAAATGTAAATGCATTGAAATTTAATGCCGTAAATGGGTACATTACGTGTATTTTTCACTGATTTTGAATCTTCTTTTTTCCAGCATTTTCCATAAAATACGTATCAATCGAAGATACTATCCATATATCCTACTCTACACATATTCACAGATGTACTTCACATATTCAACTCAAAAATTCAATTGCATGCATGCAGGTGAAGCCAAACTCAACATGCACTGATCATAGCGCAGTTTTAGCATTATTATGTGAAATTGCCTGTGTCCCAATCTTGAAACACCAAGTGATCATGTTCGTTCAAAAATATAAGTCACGAATACAAAAAAAAAACACTTGCCATGTCTTAGCCATGATTTTTGTGATGTTTTCAACATTGAATATAGAATTAATTATAACTTACGTACTTGCAGAGAAATAATTTATAAACATATTCTACTCACGTAGTTGTGTCCATTGAACCAATTTCTTCTTCGTTGTAATCATCCTCACTGTTTTCACCAGCGTCATTATTTGAAAAGAAATCTTTGTGGTCGTTTAATTTCTCCTTCACCTCCAGTAACAGTTCATTAATATGCTCTAGCAATGGTTCATCATCACATTCAGATTGACTGAAAAGCTTGAAATGAAGGTGAATTAATGCATTGGCGGATTTGGTGTTGGACAAAACACGTGAAAACGGCATGGTGAATTAATGCATTGGCGGATTCGGTGTTGGACAAAACACGTGAAAACGGCATGTTCATTTTCAAATATAACTGTATTTCAAAAAAGTTTTTCAATCGGTAAGATTTTTATTCCTAGGAAAATTAAAACCAGTAGCAATGTTGCGCTGGGATGAATCCAGGAAGATTTTGCAAATCGGTCACTCCAATTTAGATTAAAATTTGGTGACCACTTTGTGGGTGTCGCCATGTAATGTCAAACTTTTTTGATCAGTTACATTTATAGCATGGAGATAATACTGTAAAAGTGCTCCATTAAACACAAATCTCCATAGCTTTTCCTTAATTGTTTGGTAGCTATATCACTTTCGTAGGGAGATTGCCACCCTTCTTGGACCCGAGTAAATCCATTCCTGATGCTAAGAGAGTTGAAATATAAAACGCTATAAAAGACAGCGTCTGTTATTTGCATTTAGATTTGAACAAGGAATTCAAGGACATAAAAGCCTTTTGCCATCACAAGATATAATGGAATTCAACACTCGTCATTTCATGCAGTGCACCGTTCTACTCATGTACTGGGAGTGAACTTTTACTACACTTACAATGTACAATTTAAGGAAACTATGATCACTTTGTGATAAATTATTGTAAAAAAGTCTATTAAATCTTTTTTCACAACTTACACTAACTACATAGATGACTATCGAAATATCATTACATGGAAAAATATAACTACCTTCTGTGCCATTTCTAAGTAGTAAACAACAGAATTGTAATCCTGCTCCTTGAGATATTCATTCCAGCCAAGTAAATACCAAACCTAAAGATTTCAAAGTCCAGCCTTCATTTAATAGTTTTAAGGTAAAAACTGACAGGAAAAATAATAATTGAAAAAAAATTTATACACGAATCAATCGCCAAAACATTAAAGCATTCAGGACGGTTTTTTGTCAGCTCACTATCGTAAATCACCCACTGAAGTCTTTAAACTTTGTAAAATAATCAAATAGCAAAAACTTTCTATTTTATTTGTTTTCCTCATAGAAAACAAAGACTATAAAAGATCATAAAGATTATTGGAGTATAAGGACTATGAAAATAAGAATATGTTCATACAAAGTTTCTATTCGTAATTTCCGGTTTTTCTTTTGAATACCCCAAATGATACATTAAATGCCCCTGTCAAATAAACACCTCGTATCTAATAAACGCCTCCTGCCTGAGTTTTTCACACTAATAAACACTTCGTCTCTTATGAACGGTAAATTTTCTCATTTTTAAGGCTATCAAATTGTATGAAATAGTGAGCAAATATTGAGTTTTCAACAAAAAAGAATGGATAAACAGAAGTTTTAATGAGTTCATATAGAATTAAGAAACACGATGGCGTTATAGCCTTGAGAGTTATCGTAGAAACTAAAATAAAATGAAGAAAGTGTCATGGAAAATCCATAACCTGAACAACTTCATCATCTTCAGAAAGAAGTTCCCCAAGCACATCAGCAGCAGTCTAATAATAACAAATTGTTGGTATCTTCTTAATTCAGATGATTTTTATGCAACGTAAAACAAAATAAACAACAGATTGGCTACGTGCAAGTTGAGTTGAATTTGGGTTCGACTAACAAAGCAAATGAAAGAACAGTGTAAGATCGTTTTGTCCGTCTTTCATGCACAAATAATTCCTGAATGTATCCAGGCATTAATTCATTTAAATATACCTACATCAAATTCATTTATTTCAATCAGCATCTTTGAGAGCGATATTCTCGAATCGTACGACGGAATCCGTGATGACTAAATCATTAATTCAAAAGTCAGTTCCAGCATTAAATACATAGCTAATGGCATTACACAGTCTTTCGTCACTATGGCCCCGTCCACACGTATCCGGAGTTTTTTGAAAACGGAGGTTTTTTCCTCCGTTTTGCACTTGCATCCACACGTAAACGGCGTTTTCGCCTACCAAAAACGATGCTTTTTAAATACGGCTTCCAGAGTGGATTTTTTTTGAAAACGCCGGTTTCACAACTACGTGTGGACGGTTAAAACGGAGGTTGTCTAATCAACCTCCGTTTTTAAAAAACTCCGGATACGTGTGGACGGGGCCTATGACTACTTCAAAAATATGCAACACAAATTCAACCTTCAAAACTGGATCGTCAATACCACGCCACAGATTCATCCCTTTTAACAAAGCCTCTCTGGCTTCCTATTAAACCCGAGAGCCAATAAAAGTTAATAATGCTAAAGTTGACTAAACTTCAATGCAAAACGTTAAATAACTTTGAGGTTTTAAAACGTTATAAAGCAGTGAAAGTGGCCGCAAACGTCAATACTAGCGTGTTTAGCATTCATATCTTCTACATGTAAATGGTCAAAACCAGCGGTCAAATGCGTGTAAAACATTTACAATACCAGACCTCGTTTTTCTGCTCGCTAAGTAAACAATTAGCCATAACTTGATAGGCATCGGGATTATTTTGATCATGTTGTATTGCTTCATTGCAGTATGATTTACAGGACGCTTCTGCATCCTCAGCCAAACTAGAAAATAAATAATTCAACAGAATATACACACGAAATACGATGTTTGTCAGTAAGTACAAAAAACAAAACAAAAACAAAACAAAAAAATGTTTTTGGACATACCAAAAATCAGTGAGATATATCTCAGCTAACGAACAGAATGCGTTTGAAATATCTCGATCTGTTATTTTTTCAATGTCGCTATTTTCACAAGGATTGTCAGTATCTTCCTAAAGAAATCGCAATGTGAATCAGATATGATGCGCAAATTTAGTTGGTAACGAAAACGAAATCATGAACGAAATATCGGACTTTTCCTAAATCTAAAATGCAACAAATCGTTTCTCTCTTTTTTATAGTACTTTCTTATGCGCTTGCTCGAAAACAAATATTTCGTCCATAAGTTTATTTTTCTGGTTGAAAACCAACATCACTTTTTCTAGGTGTCTTTTCTAAAACTTTCTCTCAGTCCAAACTCAAACGCACAGAAACATTATTTCTCTGAAATTGTTGCACTGCAACTGTCGTCTTTCTCTTTATACTTTTTATCAGAAAAGTCTTATCCAAAACAGAAAATTCGTCTTCTTAAAGTTGTATTAAGAAACATTGTTAACCACTCAATTTCTTGAACATCCAGTCACTCAAACTTCTACTTCTTCATTCGTAGTTTCGTACTTCTGCTATAAGGCTTGTTGCTTGCTTTCGCACGAATCAAATCATTTCAGTTTGAATCAATAGTCGTGTATATGTACGTCATGCATAGCATCCATTTTTGTCCAATCAGAAACCGTCATATAAAGCTGAGATCTTCTACCTCACAGCAACATTGGGTATGTCGGCTCTTATGACAGGCGAGGAAACATAGGTGCTATTTTATACCAATGCTGAAAGTTTGATTAACTTGCACTCTACTACAGAACAACGTTAAACAGAATATCACAATCTTTAACTACGTACGTAATCTTATTTATTACAAACTACAATCAGGAGCCTCTAATGCAGTTACACGTGCATACTAAACTCTCTGAAAATTCATAACCCACTGGCTACACACAGAAAATCTTGTCCATATATCTTCCTATCAATATGTCACAGCACGAAAATGAGCTTTTCATGAAGTAAGAATAAAAATTACATGCATTTCAAAACAATTTACTCTTTGTTTTGATAATTGATCATGTATGCGTTTATGATCATAACATACGTCATCATTACTTCCATAAATATGTACCTTTTCAAAACATTTCTTTTCATTTATCATTAATTCAACACCTTTCTTTAAGTATTCAACAGCATGCTGTCCTTCAAGAAGTTCACCAAGCGTCATGTATTTGCTGAAACCTTTGTCAGGTTCAATTTCTACAGCACGCTTCAAGTACTTAATTTGATGAAGGAACAAAACTTGCCAAAAACATCCGCTACATAGCTGGCAAAAAATTAAATATAAAAATTCACATGCACAAGGACAGATTTTTCATATTTTTCGTCGGGGTGCCCGAAATTCGTGGTGGCTGGGAAGGTGATAATTATTTTATCTCAAGTTTGTGCCTTCGCAGTTTGTAGCTTTACCTCAAGTCAAATTTTACTGCTTTATACATTTCCCTTCACCTGAAAATTTAATGATCATAAAAACAGAACAACATTTTGCCTGATGTATCGACTTCTGTTGCTAATGCGTAAGCAATAGAAAGTAACACAACCAGAGGAAGATCCAATGTATGTAAAATACTCCTCAAACCTAAGTATTCCTAAAATCTCCAAAACAACAATGTTGATTATAAACTTCGAAAGAACAAAATTTAATCAAGTGGCCTTTCTGGTATTTGAAAATGTAAATATATCGAAAAAGCAGCTGTGAGTAACTTATTTGATGTACTCTAGATCTGCCACTGAATATAACTGGTAAACAAGCGTGGTGTATAATGAACGAAACTAGCTCTTTTTGTAAAGAGCAGGCACACAAAGCTATGACCTTTTTTCACAGTTTACTTCTGTGAGCAGTGCACACCCTCGTCAAGGGAGATTTGAAAGTTTCGAGGGGAGTTGACAAGTTCAAAACATTCTAGAGAGAGAGGTAGTGCGCACCCCCAATTCCCCTCTGAAGAAAATCTGTCCTTGCACGAACATAAATAGACATACTATGTATATTAAACTCATGTGCCCATATTTTATTTTTTACTGCACAAAAGATTAAATGAAAGGATACGCAAATGGCTTCGTCTGTTTTACCAATTTCCAAACAAGCTGCAGCAACCATGTTTAATGCACGAACATTGTTCGGAGATGTTTCGAGAATTCGTACGCAAAATTTTTCCGCCATCTCAAAATTAAAGTTTTCTATGTATTCCTCCACCTATGGAAAAAAGTAAAATATGCGATAAAGTAAAATTTGCGAGCAAAGTTCAGTGAAAAAAGGTTACTTGAACATTGCACAAATTTTTGTAAAGGGGAGAGTAGTAGGCGACTGACTGGAACTTTTGCAGTTCATCAATCAGGTAAAACTAACTTTTTTATGCATATTGAGCTGGAATCCAAGGACAGTGCAAAGTTTTCAAATCCATGCATTTTGATCTCTTTGCACTACTGGTAACTAGCTTGCTTGGTCAAAAATTTATAGGAAAATCATCTGAACTAGCACTACAGCGCAGTAAGGCAGTCCACTTAACTAACTGTTCAAGTTCATACTTCATACTCCATGGTCGTAGCAGGACACACTGAGCTATGGTCACCTTTTTTAATCATATAGCTACGTAGAATTTATCTTAATTATTGTAAAATGCAATAAAAGCTGCCAAAATATTTTCCTGGTGGTGTAAACAATGAATAAACGTTCGCGTTAAATCGTCAATTCCAACAACTACCTCACTAAAACATTTTAGAAGTTATTTCTACTTTTCTTGTTACTTTTCTACTTGCAGTGAATTCAAATTCATCATGGACACTAAATTGAATTGGAATTGTCTTAAATTTTATGTTTTAAGTTTATAAAAAACTGCTGTCTTCTTGCTTTAGGCTAAATAAAACAAGTTCATATCATTCTGTTCATCCAACCAACTGTTGATGACAATGCGTACCTTTTGAATAAGATCATCTATAGTGAATTTTTGTTCACTGTGCTGCTTTGATTCTTCTTCATTGTCTTTTGAAGCATTAACTTAAAAACATAAATTTTTCCTTTAAAGAACACCACCTCAGACAAAAACTCATAAAAAATCTACAAAATCCAGAATGCAAATTTAAATATATTTCCTCCTGCTTCACTATTAAAGACACTGCTAAGTCTCCATTCACCCTTAAACTAAAACAAACAATGTTATAATACGCAAACACAAACTTGAACTGAACAAACAAGTTCAACATTCTAACACTATTTTCAAACTTCCTAATTTTATCATCACTATACACATTCTGTCACCAATCTCAAAAAAATATAAATAATTAATCCAGGTATTCATTGAGTATCACCTCACTTGTACAGTAACATATCTCTATATTATATATATTACATTGTGTATAACATATTCATCACACTGAAGATGACTAACAGTTAAGTCAAAACTCAAAACATGTTTTTGATCAAAAATATAAAACTGAGAAACACTATCAATTATGTCAAACGCTTATATTGTTATAAGCTTTTATTTCTAAAGATTATTTGTTAGATAAGGTCGTTATTGTTTGTAGTTGTTGGATAAAGCATTATGCTATAATTCGATTTGCTTAAAAGCAACTTTATTGGTAAAATTCTATCCTTTAGCAATTGAAAACAAATAGTTTTGTTTAGAAAGTACAAATAGTTATATTTGATAATAGTTACAGATAATTATAGTAAGATATGTATATACCTTTCATTCTTGTTTTCTTTCTTTTACCCATAATTCTAAATAAATTCTTCTTTTTTGTGTTCAAAGTTCTAATCCTCCAGCTGCAATTTTATTTTAATTTAATTTAAATTTTATTTTCCATTTATTTTCAAAGGACTATTTTCTAATTTCAGTTTTCACGTGTACCCCTAGCAATTTGTTAGCCGCTGACCAAATTTTTATAAGCTTGAGGACTCAGTTAGACAACTCATTGCCCTAAACTGAAGTGGCAACCAGCAACCAGAGTTGGCAACTGTTGTGCTGTAAGAATTTATCACCAGACTATATAATTATTTACCAAAAGACACTTAGTAAATTTCTTCCAAGCGTCGTCAGTGCAGGGGTAAATGCATGAAAACTGTAAAGATGTTATTCTATAAGGGTTATGTCAGCTACTAGAATTTTGCTAATATCTTCTGCAGCTTATGTTATGACACTTGTTGTGCGGAATCTACAAAGGTCAGTTACGTTTAGTTTGAAGAAATTAAGAAATCACGTGCAACTTCTGATGAATTTGTTGGAGATGGAAAGTTACAGTTTAGGAGTTATCTTTGTTGGTGAATCTTGCATCAAGCAAATGAATAATGAGTATTGCAATATCAACAAACCAACTGACATCTTGTCATTTCCAAATCATGTAAGTCTTACTATGTGACTATTGTCTATTGAATCATGTAACATTGTTAACATTGTATAGATTTACAAGGTGATAATTTACAAAAGTTCATCCTTGTACTTGTTAATTTGTTTCTGCATAAATTCTTTAAGAGGATCAGACAGGAGGCAAAGTCATTAAACAGTACATAGTGTCAAGCTATTTAGTCATTTCATGCACATTTCCTGTCTGCCCAGCAACTTGTTGTGCTTTCTGTGGAAGTTTATTTCATTTTGTTATTTTTACCCTCTCCAATAGGCAATAGTCCACTTCTACATGTAAGATCAGGGTTAGATTTAAGGAAGGCCTGTGAAGGGTGCACTGTTCAAGTGTTGGTTAGAGGGGATGTAGGAGGGGTGAATATTTACCTACAAAGTAGAACACATGAAGAATTAAGCCAAAGCAATTGTAATTCATGTTTAATGGAGCACATTTCCAAAAAAACTCCCATTCATAATATAAAGGTAACAGAATTCAACAAAAAATGTATGGCATGATATGGCATTGAAATCTAATCCACAAGCACCCCTAACAAAACCATTGTGGATCCATTCCTGTGTAAGGTGCTGTTTTCTTAATTATTCAGATAATTATGCCTGGTAAATTACATACAAATGAAGCATTGAAACTGGATGAGAACCTTGGTGATATCTTTCTTTGCCCATCAGTCATCAGGAACCACTGTGTTGATGATGAAACAGATTTTCAAAATTCTCTTCCTGTATGTTTATTTATCTAACAATAAAGAACTATATTAAACCTAACACGGTTTTTATATTCACATGATAAACATGTGACTTGGACGAGATTTGAACTCGCACTGGATACTAGTCCGCTGCTAAATTTATGTATGAATTTAAGCATCTGTATTTTATTGACAGGTTTATGTTACACATGGGATATGTCACTTGATGGGTTACACACATCATACCAGTGAAGATTGGACTCTGGTAATTTATTTGTAAACTTGCTTTTGGACTTTTCTTTTTATTTATCAGTACCACCCAAATGCGTTCGGCTTAAGATGGAACGTGTATCAAAACGCGTTGTTGGCCGCATCTGATCATTGATCAGTAATCATCATTTATACTCGCTTTAGAAATTTTCGATGTTATACCGAGTTTATTTCATTATTTGAACAATCGGCAACGCGTCCAGAACGTGTCCCCTAATTTTTTGGAACGCGTTCGAAACGCAAATGAACGTGAACGCAGTGTTAAGTTACTGCTGAGCGGTACTACCTTGACTCCATTTTATCCTGTCTTGCTCAGTACCTTTGTTTTCTCATTGAAACTTTCCACCTTACAAGGTATCACGTACATTCTTTTTCCTTCTCATTACTTTGAAAGGAAGTTGCAATCATGATCAATTACATCCAAAAGTCCACATTCTTACAATGCATTTGTGTGATTTTGTATGTGCAAGCATTGCTGATTAAAATGCCATTGACTGAAGTTAATCGTGTGTTCTAATTTGCTTCAGGTACTTCGGACTTAGAGGCAGCGAATTCTCCTTTGCTTTCAAGTGCGTAGTCCGCAGTCGGGGGGAGCTAAGAGGCAATTGCCCACCCTTTTTTAATTACAATTTCAAATTGGTAGCACGTTTTTTTCAGCACGACGTAAGTGTCTTGCCCCCCTGATAAATTCCGCATACGTTTATTACCTGTATGCAAAATGAACATTTGAGGACATACCTTGTTAACTTACGTTCTTCCGTCTACCTGTCCACTTAATCCTCTTTATCTGAAGAACCAGTAAACTACATCTACTGGAAGCGTTCTTATGCTTTTTTCTGCCTTTGATAACAACCGCGTACATACAACGGGAGTCATTTCATTTGGTTTAAACAATTATTTTTGGTACACATTATAGGAAGAAAAAAATTAGTTACGTATAACTCACACTCATGTCAGTAACATTTTATTTCAGATGTTTTCGAAGGAAAAAGAAATTTTATCGGCTTTTGCAGAAAGAACTGGAATAATCTGTTCCCCATTGACTGCTCAGTCAAATTAATATAAGTGAAAAATGTGCAAATATCAAGACTGTTGGTTCCATAGAGTTGTACTATCAATGATGAAATAAACGTAGATTTGTGTGAACCATGACCATGTTATGTTCGTTTGCAGCTGTAATCACTACATCATCTGAAACTGATCCAGCAGGACTCGCAATATATTCCACACCACTCTAAAGAAAAAAACAAGTTGCAAACACTATTCAAACTATATTCATTGAAATCAATGCACCTAGAAATTACTGTTGAGGCTGCCGAAAAAACAAACAAAACAAATACCATTAATTTTAGAGCTACATGTGCTTTGCTTGGAAACTGACATGGATGATAAAAGGAAGGCTCGGCGTTGACATTATATGCTTGAATAAGCTGAACTCGATGTTTCAGTAGGCTATGGTGAACAATCATTTCTTGCTATGACTTGCTAATATACCAATTATGTAGTGAAAGGAATTGAATAATTGTAAACACTGTGAATATGCATGTATAACAATAAAGAAACAAAGTGGTTATATGTCCTTTTCATTACACGAAGATCATTTCCGTTTGTTTGGTGAACACATTAACTGTACTTAGAGCAGAAAAATATGAGGTACCTGGGCTGCGCGATCAATGTTGTCGCGAAATGGGAAAAATGCATCAGAACTTAAAGAAACTTCTTTTAGCTCCTTTAACCAAGAACTTCTTTCTTCCTGCAACATGAAACGTTTCAAAAAGTTCTTAAGATAAAACTTACGCGACATTTGCAGCTAAAGACATTAATAAGAAGTAGCTACTTTAGTAAGATCTGAAGGTGGATCTTCAAGCATCGATTCCCAAGTACTTCTACTCATATCCTTAACATAAAGCAAATATTTATCAATGTCAAAACATTGTAGGGGATGTAAGAAAACGCAATCAGTGAATGAATAAATTACAAGCACAGCGATAATTGTTAAAGTGATAAAACTGTGTGTATGGAAACAGTTTAAATTCCCAGGTTTATCACACGTGATATTACACGGCTGGAGTCCCCCGGGAAATGATTAAATAAAATACAAATAGCACCTGTCCCACTGTTCCGTTGACAAACACGTCAATAACGTTAGATTTTTCTGCTCGTTTTACTCCCTAAAGTATGCAAAGCAAAGTATTACTTAATAAACTTGCCCGATGTGATGGCTTAGTGTAGAATATCACGTCTACTACAAGGTCAATTTACTCTACTTACCGTTCTGAATTTCATTCCAAGAACCTTGGGATGTTGTCGAAGCCACCTAAAACATTAAATAAAACGATTCAATCATGTCCGTATCAATTTGACATGGATTAACAGTCGTATTTTACCAAATACCAACCAATTATTACTTTTATCACCAGCCAGACGAGTGCAGTGAATACGTGATTGTTGACCAGCTCCAATTCCGATGACCTGAAGAAATAAATAGAGGTTGGGCTCATCATTGCAACAATATTCGTACGTTTCATTATCGAGCAAAAAAGGCAAAGAGCAGTTGGGCAGTTTAATTTTACGTATGGTTATGGTAAGTTTTATAGGAAAAATCAGTCGTTACACTTAATCTTAAGTTGGTTAAAGAAAAATAGACAAGTACATTATGAAGTACCTGGCCATTCTTAGCATAGCAAACAGAATTAGATTGTGTATACTTGAGCGCTACTGTTGCCACGACCAAGTCACGTAATGCTTCGTCACTAATCTGGGCAAGAACACAAAGCCAAGAACAAATAAATAGGTATTTTACATGATTACACAATATCCCATCTATACAGGCTTAAGCCTGTAACTGACAGAAACTGATTACCTCGCATCTTTTTGTCTTCACATTTTCAAACAATTTCTTGTCAATCTTTCCATTATTCCTGATTTGCTCCATTTTCAAGCCAAATAGCGTTCGAGTTTCTGACAATGGTGGCTCATAGTTTGGGTTCATCTAAAGCACAAAACATGTATAATCATGTCATGTTGGTCATCTCCATTGATTTTTGTGCAAGCGTAATACACAATTAATTCGCCACTACATATGCGTCTGTAGTATTTTTATTAAATGTGCGAATGTAGCAAAGTTTCTTAATTATCAACAAAATTGATCAGAAAAGTCTACAGTATGCTTCTTTTGATCAGCATTACCGTCAATTTGTTGAATGAGTCTCAAATTGATGAAGATGATTTGGTGTTTTATTTTTATCTGTTGGGAACGATATAGAAGCTAAGTTGATGGCCAACACACTCATAAGTTTGATATATTTTATTATTCACGGTTTCACATACAGATACGTATACTCGACTAAAGACTCGAAATTACTGCTCATCCATAGCGAATATAGTCTCTAAATACCCCTTACTCACGTGATTGTACACTACTAATGATTAACTGTATGATTGCGTAATTCAAGTCGTCCAGTTCCTATACATAATCTAAGTTTATGACTCATCACAAACGTCAAACAAAAAGAACTAGGGATCCAAGGATAGTGCAAAGTTTAAAAAAACACACCTTTTGACTTGTACATTGTATCAACCGTAAAATGTTTCATAATAGTTACATATTATTACAGAAATTATCTTCATGAGCATGCGCACTCCACTCGACCAATTGTTCGAGTTCATAATCATAGAAACGACCAACTGGATCTCCTTACACAGCTCTGGGAGTAACTACTTGCGCGCTCAATCACAAACTATTAGAAGTATCAAGGGAATTTGCAGTCAACTGAACCAACTGTCTGTTTAAACCTAAGGCTAAATACATATACATATAGTATATGTCAAATGGCTGCAGAGACTAGGTGTTATAAGGTTGCAATTGAAAGCACTCTCTGCATATCCCCTGGATGGTCTGAAGCTTTCCTATAGAAAGCACAGTCGAACAGCGTACTAGGAGCCAAAATCTCACACCAAACGTTACCATGCGACGCTCTAGTATTCAACTGCATCTGGAGGCATGGACCGAACATAATTTTTTGATTTTCAAAATAAAAATTTTGTCTGCACGAGTTCTTCCCACAAAAATAAACTGCAATATCCAAGGATTGTACTGCGAGCTTCTGTCTTTTTTACTTAAAAGTTAATGCAACCTTAAGCGTAAATACATTTTTGATTGGTTTATATCTTTTACGATTTAACTTTCGCAAAACAATTGACACTCCGCATAAAGTAAATCAATACGAGACCATTAACTACAGGTTTGACAAAAAGTTACGTTTGTAAATTGTTAGATGATCCCACCTCAAGCACGCAGTATTTTCCTCCTTTTTTTCTCTTTAAAATTTCGAGAGCGTCTTCGCTGTATCCCGGAGCAATGATACCATCTGAAACCTTTAAAATATCCGTATAATGATGGAAAAAACATTCACAATACAAAGTTCAGTCATGGATACAGATGGACAGTTAAGGTACATAGATACATATGCAGATATTTCCCATATAAATGAAAGAGATAATGCAATCCACTATGCGTCATATCCAAGTTCAAAAAAAGTTACACTTTGAATTATTAATGAGTTTTCAGGCGTCCAAACCGACGCGGTGAGAGCTGCGATTACTAATTTCAAACACATTTTACTCGTGGCACAATTTATAGCAAATATACGGTGATCTGTCAACCTGTTTTACAGTTGATCAGCACTACGTGTTTACAGGTAATTAGTTTTGTACAAATATATTGTGCGTATGCTGATGGAGAGCAAGCAAAGCGTGCAGTCAGCAATAGATATTTTGAATCATGTTATTTATTGAGCTTGTGAAAGTCACAATAAGAATCTCAAAAAGAACTTTTCTTCACAATACGTACCTCTCTAGAAAGAATTCTTGCTGTAGTTTTATCACACTCGTGCGAGAGTGCAACCCAGTCTCCAAACGATGACATACGATCAGCACCTCGTGCTCTAGCGTAAGCAGTGGATATTGGAGTGAGATCATTGTACAAATCATCTACCATGCAGAGCTTGGCTTGGTTCATGCTTAACGGGACTGCAACTGCTGCACCAGCCGGGCTCACGTGCTTGAAAGATGCTGCGGCAGGAAGATCCAAAGCTTCTTTTAATTCCTGGATTTTTTGAGAGAATTTAAGTGCAATAAAGCAAAATCAACAACAACGTACTTTAATTATTCATTAAGTGTAAAAACAATCAAATAGTTATCATTTCTTACTTTAACAAGTTGCCAGGAATTAAATGCATCACAGAGGTTGATAAAACCAGGTGAACCATTCACAACCTTTACAGGCAACTTGGTATCGGTAGTATAAAGCTGTGCTGGGTTCTGATGAGGATTCATGCCATATCTCAGGGGAATATGAGACACACCAAGACTGTATTCTTTTCTGAAATAATCTGCAATGGCATTGTCGTATTCTGCAGTATGGGTGAACGCCTACATGTCAACAAAAAGTTATAAAAGTAAAAAATATTCAAGAAATGATAAAATGATCACTTCTTCATCTTTACTCTCTTACTTTCAAAGCAAGCATTTTCCTGGTCTCCTCTTTAACTGTATGAGATGTACTTTCAGCCATTTCATCTGCAATTCTATTTACATGAGATTTAGAAAGCTTATTGTATATGGAAAACACAAAATGATTTTAATGCAAATGCTGACACAGGAAAATAAAATGGATTCATCCAAAAGCATTAGTGCTGGTAGATACGCTTAAGCTTGAGTTGCTTTTGCAATTTTGACGACTGTAAACCTTGTTTGAGTTAGGGTTTGTTTACACTGATGATTGTTCAAAAACATTAATCACATCAAACAATGGACAAAGTGCATAGTTTGTTCTAGTATGTACGTATGTATGTCTGACCGATCATAATCACTTGGATCACACACAACCACAACTCTTGAGTGATTCTTTGCAGCTGCTCGTAACAAAGTTACCCCACCTACAACAACAAAAAAAACATGCTTGTACACTAATACATATTTCGCACAGCTTGAAATAAATGTAAGTATTTCATGTTGTAACAGTTTATATACCAATATCAATTTGCTCAACAGCTTCTGGTACAGAAACGTCTTGTTTTGATATGGTATCTTTAAATGGGTATAAGTTGCAGACAACCACGCTGAAATGAAAAAATTAATGGAATGTACAGCAAAATAAAAGACTAATAAACTCACAATGCTACCTGTAAATTGAAAGCTGTGAAAGACTGTTGCAATGATTTAAGACTTTGCTTTAGAGACATTAATAAATATCAATACCTGATTAACTGAAAATTTTGTGCTTTCATGTCAGTTTCATCTGCTTCAGTTAACCTTGCCAAAATTCCTAAGAAAATGTACATGAATGACAAGAGCCACATCAGCAAAAATTTTCAACAATATATATTTGATGTTTCATCGTAAGTAAAATGTTCAAAAAATACATGCCTGCATGGACTGCAGGATGAAGGGTTTTGACCCTTCCGCCCAACATTTCTGGTGCTCCAGTAAGTTCAGATACATCCCTTTAAAGAACAACACAAGTTTCTTGCAAAATTATTATAAGTTTGTCAAAATTCACACGAATTCATTATAACACAATCATCAAAAAGGTTGAAATTACATACTTTACAGGAATATTGGCATTTCTTATGGTCTTTGCAGTTCCACCAGATGCGACCAACTGCAATCCAAAACTGTGAAGCTTTTGGGAAAATTGAACCAACCCACTTTTGTCAGACACACTCAAGATTGCTAAAAAATCCATTACATTACAACACAGATTGTATAAAACAAGTGAAACAGTATGCTGGCCTTATGGGCAAGACCGCAAGTAATATGTACTTTAGATAAGTGGTACAAAAAACTGCTAGGTTCAAAGCACATATTTTTATCAGAATCATAATTTTAAGAATGTTCCAAGTGTTTCTAGTTTGGAAAGTACATTGTTTTCACCAAATATACGTACGTACAATGACATGGGAGTGCCTGTGTGAAAATTAAGTAGTGTACATATTTGATATTGCAGACATTGCAATCAATAAAATCAAATTTTCTGTAAACACAAACAGTAAATACATTTTAATTTTTCAAATCATACAATAAAACAAAAAAACAAAACTTTCCAGAATAATTTAAGGCAACTCATTATCAGGTATACCATGCCTCATTACTCATTGAGTTACCAAGTCACACAATCAAGTGCTGTAGGTGTCAAATGAACGGTATTATGAAAAGAAAATATTTGATATGAAGAAGTCATTCTTTCCAGAAGAGCAAACATTGGTATGTCGCAGCCTGCCAGAGTAACTGTGTTCAGATTTTGCCCATTTAACAATTTGCAGTGTTAAAGATGAGTATGTAAATGTTTTTTATGCTTAAAATGGTACAAAACTTTCGCGCTTTAAAACTTTATGAAAATATTTTAATAATAATACTCATAATGTACACATTTTGTACATGACAAAAATAAATTCGATCTATGTCTGGTTAGGCTTTATTATTTTATATGATGCAGAAATGAAATAGAAGTTAAACAAAAATATTGAATGCGACTATTTTAATCAAAAGAAAACGTAAATTTACCCAAATTTCCCTTCATGGCCTTCTTTTTAGATTCTTTGTTCTTCCCTCGTGTTCAGCTCGATCGGCTTGACAGAATGGTCATTGCCGCTATTATCACTAATCGTCACCAATCAAATGGTCTCCCCGTGTTTCGCGGGCTTATTTAAATTAAGGGAAAAAATTGTCGACAAAGTGTCGTTAAATAAGAAGCGGAAAAATTCAAATTTTGAATTTTGATCAGTATTTTGATTTGAATTTTGATTTTGAATCTTTGATCAATGTAAATAAAGACATGGCTTCTTCTGGGAGTGAAAATAACGAATCTGACCAAGGAAAGGTATATGATTGGCAAGAAAGCTCACAGGTATATATTATTTGGGATTCCTTACTATTTCTTTAGGAGTACTGGGAGTAAAATTTGAATTCAAATGTACGCCATTTGTCAAAGAGAAAAAGTTTGTTTACTACGTTTCGTAAACAAACAGTCCGTCCGTAATTCTGTTCGTTTGTGCGTCTTGACCGTTCAGCTACGTATTAATCCCGACACATGTATAAAAAACTGTCCATGGTTTAATGGTTTCTTCTAAATTCAAGTTTATCTGTTTATGCTAACCAGGGATTGCCAAGTGGCTCCAATTGTCCATTTATAAAAGTTGCATTACTGCATTTTCATCTTCATATTTAAATTTAAATTGTGGCATATTTTTGGTGTATTGTTTACATAAAATGTACCTTGCCAGCATTTTCCTACAAATATCAGAGTCGGAATTAAAATATTTGCGCACATTTGGCCTTGCTGATGGCCTAGTTTTATAATAGTTGTTCTAGTTTGGGCAACGTACCTTGAAAAACCAGATGGCCAAAGTGTCTGAGGCAAATTTTTGCAAATGTCATGATGTTGACATTAATTCCTTATATGTTACTAGACAACTTCAAACTTAGCTGACGACTATGAACATGTGCATGGCACAGGTAACACTAACATTAAAATCATTATTACATGAATATTAAATTCAAACTGCAGATTTTATCACAATACCATTATCTTTTTTTCATGTCATGAAGAAACTTCAAACCAAGATGAAAAGGAATATGTGAGTATAAAAGAATACATACATACTTAGGAATAAGTATGTACATGTGGGGCCATAGCTAGAACATTCATTGGGGGTGGGGGTCACTATATATTCAGTTGTGCCTGACTGATTTCTTTTGAAAGGGATTTTGCCTGAAGAGCTGTGTTTGGCACAACTGAATATATGAATAAATACTCCCTCCCCTCGTAATGTTCTAGCTACAGCCTTGCCTAGAAGCAGCACAGTTGTATATACACATGGCACTTCAAATCAAATATTTTTCTTCAATCACTGGAAAACAATGAAAAGAAGCAATTTCTTAAGAAAATGAATTATAGATTTGCTGAAAATTTTGAAATTGTAGAAGTTAGAATTTGCACGATTTAGGAATGGAAATCTAGATAAAAATAAAAAATCTCTAACATCGTCATTTTATTTACAAGTGGCGTAACAATGTGTTGATGAGTTTCTGATTCATTTGTCAAAACAAGCTTCAGAAGACAAAAAGCATGCCAAAAATTTATTATTGAAAATTTGCTAAGCACATGTACAAGCATCAAGTTCAGAGCTTAATCTGTCACAAATTAATCTAGAATTAATCTAAGCATGTGTAGTCAACTCACCAACTCTTCAAGTTCATGCTCTGACAATGGGAGTAAGTAGCTCGCTCAGTCACAAATTTTCAGAGAAATAATCTGCGCATGCGCAGTCGAAATTTATTGACCAGCTGCCTAAATTCATGGTCATGGCAACAACTAACTGCATGTTTTAGCACTGATTTTGAAGTAAATAGCATGCTTTGTAACAATTTAATGAAGAAATCATCTGCGCATGCGCTCAAACTTGTAGCTTTCTCATAACTCTCATAATGAACGAGAGTCTCCTTATACAATATAACTCTCTCATCATGAACGGAAGCATCCATGGGCTTCATGGAAAAAAGGGATTACATGTAACTGTTTTCCATGGAGACATAAGATATCATGCTTTGCAATGTACAAATTTGTGCAATATTGTTTTCAATTGCATTTACAATCCTTTTATGTCTCCATGGGAATCAATTTATTCAATTACTGCTGAATTAAATTCATGCACGCAGTGTTTTCTTCATAAACAATGACATAATTTCAGTAGAGTCACTATTTTTGTGGGGACACCCTACAAAGTCCCGTATATTCTAAACTAGTTGGCATATATAAAGTAACCATCGTCCTGAGGCATATATAAAGTAACCATCGTCCTGAGGCATATATAAAGTAACCATCGTCCTGAGGCATATATAAAGTAACCATCGTCCTGAGGCATACATAAAGTAACCATCGTCCTGAGATATTGAGTTCACTTAGTGTGGAACTTTATGTGCTATAGTTTGATCAAACTTTAAAACTTTTACATGCCTTTTATTGATTGAAGGAGTTCGAAGAATGGATAAATGTGAATAATCGTTTGAAGCAACATGGTTTTCGTTCTATTAGACCGTCACCTTTACCCCATGTTACAAAAGGATTAATAGGTATGTAGCTATATGTATCATAAAATAGATACGCAGTGCGTACAAGTGGGTAGCCTGTTTATTCCTAAGATTATACTTGTACAAAGTTTTGCCCTATCAAACTACAAACTTTATAGGTCATACAGTACATTGAGTGACGACATCAAACGTTAATAAAAGTAACTCATTTTAACGAACGACAATTGGTACCAAACAACTGTTTGCAAAAAATTTAATACGCTCTACAACCATCCCATCTCCAAGAAGTTTGAGTACTTCAATTTCAATGTCAATTTCAATTTAATAAAGACTAATCTGAATTGCAGCTTAAATGTGCAGAATTAATTACATAGAAACATGTAGTACTTAGTATTATTTGGATGTACAGAGAAAGCACTTTTGAAACAGCTTGCGCACGAAAATGACCAAGCTAATATGCAATTGGAACACTTAGTGTTAAATATGACACATAAGTTATGATACATGAAGACACGTAAAAAGGAATTTCTAAATCTTTGCAATCAATGAAACTCATGTGTTTATCATTACGAAGAGTAGTTAACTGAGAACGTGCGCTAGACGTCGTGCAGTTTGTGATTTTTAAATATGATACACATAAATTATTATTACGTACGTCTTTTTCGGTCCAGTAAGTAGCAATGCTTCATGGTATGTCAATCCAGAAAGTGTTATTTGCAAAGCGCATTTTTGTACTTTTTGATATCGTGTCTTAAGTTGTCTGAGATGATATAATTTCCCAAACCTGCTTGTCATGCGTATTCGAGAATAGGTCTAATACATGTAAAGTTATCTGGATTAAACAAGTCTCTCCCACACCGTTTATTTTAAGAACACTAAGGAAATTAAGCAATTTTTATAGTTCAGTAACGATGTAATTGATAGGTAACATCCACCAAAGAAACATGGAAATGTAACTTACTACTTGATTCACATTTCAACTTAACTCGAGCACACTGAATATAAAATGTGCAGGATAACATATTTTACTCACAAAACAATTGTTATGATTATATCAAGTGTACGCTGCGTGAAATGTTGTTCAAAAGTATTCTAAAATAGGTGGCAGAAGTCTTTTTTGGAATACGTGCATCAACATTCCACAGAACTTCTTTCCTAAATTAGTGAGCGAGGGAACTCTCTAATTTAGTTAGAATAATTTCGTGTTAATGTGTTTAGATGGGATTTCGCGCAGATATTTTTAGCTACTTTTGGCGCAATCAAAATTTTCAATCGATCATCTGCAAACACCGATCAAAGAATTGAAGTCGAAGATTTTGCTTTTCTAAGAAATGCCTTTTTTAACTGATAATGCTTGTCTAAAAGCGAGTAAAAATAATTGGTTACACTTACCGTAAGAAACGTTAGTTGACCATGGTATGCTACGTCGTTCTAAAGGGGACATAAGCAACAAAATTGTTAGATTTGATGAATTATAGAAACACTTACAGCCCTGACTTTCACTTCTTAAATCTCCTCGTCCTCCGCATCTGGAAAATACTGAACAAGTGAGTGGTTTGACAAAACAAACAAACAGACAAACAAACATACCAACAAACACATACCGCAGGTTTCATCTGCAACTGTTGCCATGTAACGATGACTGTAAAGATAGTAGTAAAATACAATCATGACAAGTCAAAGTTTGTTTATTTCATAAAACCAGAGTTTGCAGAAGATCTGTTAAAATTTTGGTCGAAACAGACAGCTGTAAACTGAAAACATTTGCAGGCCAGGCTTGCTTCGATGTTAACGTTAAATTGCAGTCAGAAATTTCAAATAAATTTATAAGAAAATGTTTGTGCTCACTATGTTTTAACTATGAAGACACTGTAATAACATCCCTCAATGTTATAACAGTGTGCCAGTTATATGTGCAATAAAGCGACTAGATATTAAACGTGGACAGCTTGTTTGATTAATACGGTAATCACTTCAAGTTCAAATAGATCAATTATAATTTAAAGATTTTGCAATACTCTGCCAGCGTATTGCAATTTTTTTTGTAACTTTAATAAATCAATTGCAAATTAAATTTATTTTAATTTTGAACATTCACAAGACGAACCTTCATAAAACATGCATCAACAAGCACTTAAGTGCTAATTTATATGTTCTAACTTCTATAACATTACTCAATGGTATAGAAAAGCCAGTCAGTTAACATGCTGGCAACACATTCCTTTAACCCCAAATTTCTCAATTATTTTTAACGTCGATAGCAGGATATACAAATGAACTTTCAATTATGAAATGAAAGCATTATTTCATGGAGGTGTAATTCCTTGATGGTCAATCCGAAAAAAATGATGTGGAGATTGAGTAAGGATGTATTGTGTCGAAGGATGATCTTGTTTTATCCATTTGTCACATCTTGATGAAATCTTCATAGTCTAAAAATCTGGAATAATGGAGATATCGTCATATTAACGACTTTAAATATGTCCGTCATTAAAGCATTAACCGTCTGTATTTCCTACACATATTTCCTGTATGTATTTTGACTCTGAAGATGACTACCGCTAAGGTTGTCGAAACGTCAGTCAACAACAACAAAAACAGTCCTTCTCAGGACTTTATTAACCTGGACGATCATCATTTACAAACATATAACGATACTCCCGGGTTCAAACCATTTACTTCATATTTCCTTCATATTGCATTTGATCAAATATTTTAGCATGTATGTTCAACGTCATAGTTTTTGTTGTGTTTATCCGTTCTTATTTTAAGAGTTGTTGTGATAGTACTCACTTTGCTGCCATCTTCCCTCTTTATCTTTTGCGATTCTCAACCGTTCATTATGCATGGTGTCCACTAAATTATTTGGTTTAAACTGATTTTCTGAACTAGTGGTTGCATTTGAAAGCACGGACATCCAAAATTTGATTTTCATTTCATGATGTTGCAAAACTCGTGGTAATAACGCAGTAAAATACTTAATTAAGTTCACAAAATGAAATATTGCACCTGCGAAGTGGCGATAAAGTATTATACAAAGACAATAAACAAAGTGTGGAATCGTAGCTTTAACATAAACACAAGTTTTAACAAACCGAACAATAAACAAAAAAAGTCTAGTTTGTCTTTTTAAGTATCACGATGATAAAAGGTTTCTCGCTCATGCTCATTTTACTAGTGGAAACGAGGCATTGATGTCCCTAGTTTTTAACGATAGACCATAGGGCATTACAATCTTAATTACTTAACAATCATGCACTTTCTTTCATTAGAAGTTTAAAACGATTTATATTCTTCCATTTAACTACACAGATTATCGTAATCTGGTATTGCCGCCACGAATCAATGCTTCGATTTTTCAAACGAACCATCAACTATCATTATCCACCTTCTATTGGTTTGAACACAGAACTTCACAAGTTCTCTTCTCTTTGACCAATTTAAAAACCGTGGAATAATTTCATTTACAGCTGATCTTTTCAAAATTCACTGAGACAGTATCATTTGCCCTAACGTCACTACCAAGAGCTTTCCCAAACTTTTCATTAACACAACGAATATCTTACCTTCCACAGCGAATATCTTACCTTCCGAATATCTTACCTTCCACTCACTCGACAAATATCTACCAGAAAACAGCATGCAGGCAAAGTATAGTGAATATAAAGTAGAGCCACAGTTTTCGTAAAACGCATATCTCATTGCTCATATTAATTACCATAGTGGCAACTAGTAAATTGCTTTTTTGACCAATGGGAATGATGAAATGGCTAACCACGCATTAATATAATTATATCTACAGCAACCATTTGCACACGAAGTGGACCTACTGTAGCTATGATTGAAAAGTATTGAATGAAATTATATACATGATTTCGAAGTGCAATGAAAAACAATACACTACAAAAATGATAAGAGGTCTAAAACAGATTCATACAGGTAGTGTGCAACCATTCTCCCTGAGAGTAAGAAAGAAATGGAATGTTCGCCATGTTGGATATGACATTTGCATTGTACATTAGGAAAATGCTAGTACGTGCAAATGAAAGATCTTTAATTAATTCGAATCAATTTGATTAATGCTGATATTTTTTGTAAGTGATATTTTCAAAAGAAATTAGCCAGGTATAGAAAAATATATGAATATGGTCTCCCTAAGGGGCTGTTTACATAATCCCGTCTAACTGGGTTTCAGTGAGGCATGAAATGATTTCAAGGTATTAAAAAGAAGCAAAACTTTGAGCGTGACATTCGCCACAAGGCATTCCTGTTTTAATTCTCAATTTAGGCCAGATTTCATGTTTTGATTTTAAATGTTTTGCGTAGTTATTAAAACAGAATATTGTGAAATTGCTTGGGAAGATTTATCGCATGATAAGTATTGAATCGTTTCCATCTGTCAAAATCATTTAACGCTTGAATCCCGGCAACCCGTGCTCATGTAATCAGCCCCTAAATGAACGTTCGATTAACTGCGTATTGACCATTGACTTGTCATATTATTTTCAATGTTAATGACTTACACATTTGAACGATTTTAACATTGTGATTAGCCCCGCATGCCCAGTGGCTTCTTACAGAACTGGAAGATGAAAAAACACTATGAGTTAAGGTTTTTGAAAAAAACGAACATAACACGAAAACTGGGAATGCAGAAAATTAATCGTCACTAAATGAAATAGAAAATGCCACAATAGATGATTCCCTATGACATCATCTAACCAAATTTAGTTGTTATTTCAGCGTCGGACTGCGGGGAAACTAGAACGATTGGGGAATCATCATATATTCACCTCTGCCCTGCTGACTTCTTTTGAAATTAACATCGTAAACAAAAGAAATCAGCAGGGCAGAGCTAAATATATGAATATATACCCCCTCCCCCCAAGTTAACGTTCTAGTTTCGCCCCTGACTGCGTATTATTCATACGTTATAAGAATTTAGTGTTCACTAACTGGAATTACGCCTTTTTATTTAAAGCTGAGCTGTGTCTCTCTTCAATCCTGCGCTTGTGAAAAATGTTTAGTTGTCGTAGAAATACGAAATATAACAGCACACTTTGAACTTCTAACTTCTAACGTAACGTTATCTGTTAGAGCAATAGTCAGACTAATATTTTTACTAGTCAATACGTTACAAAACCTCGAGTTTTTTCTTTACTGTTTCCTTTTTAGTTATCTTCCTTCAACTGCCCTCATCCCAGCCTAATATTACAGCGTGTAACCTGTGAACTGCTACATTATATTTTATGTGTATTTTAGGGATTTTTTTGGATGAAGCTGAGGCTCACATGTTGAGAAATACAATTGAAAAGCTTTTAGATGATTGTGAGCGTAGACAAGCATTAGTACAAGAACTCATCACTTCTTCAAATAAACTTCAGTAAGTACAAAGTTATCAGTATCGCATTACAGAGGTTAATTTTTATAATTTTCCAAGTTGAAGATCTATTTGCAAAATCACTTGAACGATCACTTCATGTGTAAATCTTTTCTTTCCTTGCATGATCTTACCTATACCCTGTAAGATTATGCAAGTGCTTCCAAAATCCCGAGAAAAAACTTTTCATTCACTTTCCATTTTCATACCATGATCTGATTATCATGCCATGTGGATGCATGTCTTGTCATGCTAGGCGATGCTTCCTAAATATCTCTAATATGGCTGCCACACATCTTGGTACTATTTCACACAACACATCTTGGTACTTTTTCTTTTTTAATGTCTTCATTAGAATTCTATTGAATTTTTCACTTGTAAAATCTTTTGAATTTTAACATTCGTAAACGTCCTTTGATACACTTCATTGGAAATCTTTATTGAAACTTTTGTCGTTGCTTCTTGCAACCAGTGGCAGGTTACTGATTACGAGGACTGTAGGCTCAGACCAAGTACGCTGGGCCTGTGGCCTTTACATGATATCTACTCCTCCCTCTAAGTTTAGTCTCTTGACGACGTTTGCGTTCCTCGCGCTCCTTTGCTTTTGCATTTCCCGTCTTGTGTTTGTAATTCATAGTGTAAACACTACGGAACAAATTTAAAGTTATAAAACTGGGAAAACCCACTATTTTATGAGTTCTGAGCAAAGTGCATTTAAATAGTAGATCGTACAATTTTCAACAGCATAAATAGTCTAAATGAAGAACATATATCTACTCTGGAACGGCAAAAATAAAACTAATTATACCTAGATACCATAGTCCTCTCGAAGCCCGAGCTTCAGACTTTCAGCTTATTTAGCCTACTGGATAACCTCCCACTGTTTTGCAACTTTAACTTTTTTATTTGCTATTTTCATGAACTAGTTTAACAAAATGATGTAATCTTTAGTAAAGGTGTCTTTGTTAATTGTAGACAAGAAGTGAACGACAAAAGTGATAAAGCGTATCGTTATGACCGAGAGGTAAACATTCTCATTTTTTTACATAACGCTTTCTGTTGAAGGTATCAATCCATTAATATTACACTTTGTTAATGCAGGTTGGTCGTTTAAACAGAGATCTCAAAGCTCAGCAAAGACAAATTCAGGTTAATTTTAATACTTGCAAAATTTCACACGGTATACAGCAACATTTTTCATTGCAATCAATTGATGTGTCGTTTTTCATGTGTAGAACCTAGATGTGTCGTTTTTCATGTGTAGTACCTTGATGTGTCGTTTTTCATGTGTAGAACCTTGATGTGTCCTTTTTCATGTGTAGAACCTTGATGTATCGTTTTTCATATGTAGAACCTTGATGTGTCGTTTTTCATGTGTAGAACCTTGATGTGTCGTTTTTCATGTGTAGAACTTAGTTGTGTCGTTTTTCATGTGTAGTACCTAGATGTGTCGTTTTTTATGTGTAGAAACCTTGATGTGTCGTTTTTTATGTGTAGAACCTAGAACAGAAACGTTTAGATGAAGTTCGATGTCATGGTGAAGAAATACAAGCGATAAGCATTGCTAAAGCTGATCTACAAACAAAATGTGATCTTCTTGAACAAAAATGTAATGAAATGGAACAGGAAATTGCGAGATTTCGACTTGAGAACGAAGAGATGTATTCAATGGTTTGTATGGGGTAGCAAATATATCTATGTGTAAAATTGTTAAATTGTTACGTTTTTTTAATGGTTTCTTCAGTCTCAATGACAAATTGATCTTTTTGAGAAATATTTGTTTTACTTCTACTCGAAGGATGCTGAGCTGAAAACAGTATAATACAATACTAATATTACATTTATCTGAAATCTAGCAAAACGAGAGACAGCGGACAGGGAAAGCTGTACAAACAGATAAAACCAGGTAATATCTAACATTTTCAGTTTATTTTTCTCCCCTATAGTTAACAAATTTACGTTATCTGTCATTCAAGATCTGCGTGTTGAAGCTTATTTGATGTAAAAACAGTAAACAATTAGAGATTCTTCTATAGAAATACTCATTAGGTCACATACGTAATTGACGAAGAGAACTCGTTTCATTTGTTTTGGAATTGTTGTGCGGTTACTGAAAAAATGTAGCTGATATTACCTATTTGTAGAATAAATAAAACATTAAGTTTTCTCTAGAGATAAGAAGAATCTCAAAGATATTGATTGGAATGATGCAGATGACGAACACATAGATGACAAAGAGACTATTACAACAGCAAGTGACTTGGGAAACGAGAGACCCTATAAAGAGCTGGAATCAACTCCTGAAACCTTTCAGGATGAATATACAGTGACGGGAAAAGCAAGCAGAAGTGATATTATCCCAGATTCGAGACAATTTCATAAAGTAAAGATTACAGTTAGGACTTCGGAAAGAATGACTTCTTTTAAATTTGAAATAAGCAATATTTTTATTTTCACAGAAGGCATGTAGCTATGTAAAAAAAAATTCGGTTTGATTATGCTACACATAAAATAAAAGTCTATAAAAATTTTTAGGCAGATAAAAGTGCATTTCTGTTGCACATGCTCTTTGATGATATGCGTAGCAAATTTTGATGTTGGGCCTGGATATAGATTTTTTATGTTTATTCTTAGAATTTGATGAAAGCATGTTGAATATTTGATGAAAATAAAAATTTATTTGTTAACATGGTTTTATATTTTTGTATGCATTAGGCAACCGAAAGACAAATGGAAGAGTCGAAAAAGTTGATTGATTTACTAGAGGACGAAAACAATAAACTGAAAGCAGAACTGACTAAAAGGTAGCAATCATCTTTATCAATTCAATGATTTTTACTCAAAATTCGAGAAATACATGATGCTTTTATTGAGTTATGAGTAAAATAGATATTGTCCTTTTAGCTATGAGATCATTTTATTGCCCATCTTTAACACTTTAACATCTTGTAATATTTCTCAAGTTAAGAACACACTTATGTATACATCTACATAGGCCTGGATTGGACGAGTGGCGAAAGGCCTGGAAATACAACAAAAGACTGGAAAAGATTTTAATGGAAAACAACCTGAAGTTAGTTTGATACAACATGAAAATATATTCAATCTACAAATATGGCATGCCGTAAAGCTGATATTTTTATTCATATGTTTATTTTTGTAGATTTAACAGCAAGAAAACCAAGGATTTGAGAGATAAGAAAAGTCGAGTTAAACAGAAAACACATGTATCATGGCTTAATAAGGATTTAAATATACATAGTGCAGACATTAGTATCTCTGTCACTTAAACTGATGTGATGTGACTAATTTTTCACTTATACTTCATTTAGGTGAAAGATATCGATTACTTGCCGATTGATATTTGCAGGAAATATATCAAGGTATTTATGACTGAATTGGTAGGAATTATATATGGTGGAATATGCATGGATCGCTATGGTTTTGACTCATGGTAAGATGATAAAATCATATAAAAAATATAGTGAAAGTTGGTTACTAATCTTATTTATAAATTCATAGATTTAACATTTCCCTTCTATAGCGTACATGTAGTGTGTTAAACATCAGTGATTTAAAAGAGATCACCCCAATGTTGAACTCGTTCATCACTCTTGGAGAAACACAAGAAAGAATGGAAGCTGTAAGTATTTAATGTCATCACTCATTTTTACGTTGCAATTGTAAGTTGTAACATGGTATACAGATGTAGTCTGAAATGTTTGCTCAGTTCCGATTGCCAGAATAAATACGCTAATCGCCTTGATTACTGTAAAGATTGCATACAATTGCCATGCACGATGTTTTTTACCGTGTTTATACATGTATATTACAAATATTTCATCTTGATTCGCTCTATTGATACATATTGTTGATAAATATGATCCATTTCACAAATAGTTTGCAAAAGGTCGTTATCTTTATGTAGGTACGTACGTAAACTGCGTAAATTAAGTATTTAATTAAATTTTATCATCGGTTCTCCCTCGTGCAGTTGATTCGCAGAATCTTGAAAGTGATCGATGCCAAAAATGTTCCTTATCAAATACGTGATGATATCTCGGATAGCACTGAGCCTCGCAATCATTCGATATGTTGTGAAAAAGCCTGGAAACTAATTATACCGACGTTAAAGAGATGGTCAAGTGAAATAAAGAGTTTGAAAGTGAGTAATAACTTTCTTTAACACGACAAAAGCAACGCTTTCTTTAATCATACATATTAGTTTTCAAATGAACCTTGAATTGTGTATTAAAATGTTCTATTTCTCAGGAATTGAAAGAAGGAATTATACGTTTATGTAAGAGTCACTTTCCTTGGAAACCCATCGACGAAATGTTTACGGAAGGTGACGAACTTCGTGTCGAAGATCTTCGAAAGGCTCTACAAAAGATGACGGTCGTCGAAGATCATTTGAAGCCTTTGAATTTATGGAAAAACGATGCCGTTTCGTTAGAGCAATTGAAAAATATAGTGGCGCACTTTCAGAAACTCTTCGATGTAAAAAACCTTTGTGGCGTGTTCCCAAAGATGAACGAAGTGTACAGCAAAGTTGGAGAGATGTGTAATGTGATGAAAACTATTAGAGAAAGTCTTGATTTAGGTTGGTGATGACAAAACTTTAACACTTTATTTGCTCAATGCAGTTATGTATTGTTTATTTCAATGAACAATAGCTCCTACAGCTAACACTGTGGAAATAGTGAACGCTATTGGAAAGATTCAAACCGCGAGGCATTATCTGAAGTTTCAAGATTTGCCAGGGTAAGGAAAGTACTACGTGCTCAATATACATACTTGTTTTTTGTTACAAGAAATAAAGACCTTTAGAGTCAATTATGACATGACATTCATGGTTAATCGCATAATTGTAGGTAATTAATACTCAGGGTCTCTAGATAATCTCTACTCACTTTTCTTGGTAATTTATGTTAACCTTAATGTGTTTGTTGTTTTTTTCAGAATAATCAAACGACTAGAGGAGTATGATGAATTTTTTCCAGCTTTTCAATCTTTGGTGTCCCAACTCTATGACTTATTGAGTAAGAGTTAAATCATTTGGCTCAACAATTCCAATAGCCAATGATACATAATCTATGCCATTTTTTTGGTTTATTTTTTTCGGACGCTGCATCGCATTTCTCTTTAGAAAATGTTCTTTTCTTTAGGTGTTGATAAAATGGACGAGATACTTACGGCTGTTAAAGCACTGATTCGCTTTCCCCAAAAATGATTATTTCAACATGGAAATATGCCAAGTCAAGAAGGAAATACTCAGAACACTTAACTGGAAGTTTTTTAAAAAATAACTATTTTTATCGATTTATGTACACAATTAAGATTATATTGTATACTATATAGATTACTGTGCTATATATATTATCGTGAAAGGTAGTTTAGAGCATTGACCTTTTGGGCATGCATGTTGTACTTATTGGTGTTTTAGTATTTTGAAAATATTTTAACATTGCCAATCCAGGAGCTGTTTCAATGTGTTTTCCCCAACCACCTGCCAGCATTTAACGAATAAATTGTAAAAAATTAAAGTCGTGCAGATTGATTTTATTCTTTCATCATTTATAATGCTCTTCATTTTCGACTAAGAGTAGAACATGAAGTTTTCAAACAGTTTCAGTTTATTGATATAACAAAGATTGTTCGACACTATCATACACTATAACATCTGATGTAGGACTGAAGTGAATTTTTACCACCTAAAAAGGTTCTTCGAAACTTTAACCTAAAATTTTAAAAATATCTTCCCGTTTTGAGTCACCAATAAACAACGACAGTCAAACTTTCATGACATCGTTAGTACTAATTAAATTGAACATAAGGTAAAAATTATCATTTATTAAATAACATTAGAAGTGCAATCAAATACTGTACATGTGAATATTAAAAAATTATTTGTTATAATTTCCTAAAATCAATTATTTTTTATAGCTCGACTAAGTTCATCTTCGTCGACCTTCACTTGAAATCTTTCTGTGAGAATCATAATCTTTACACTTTGATTGCTTACTACCAGTATTATCACTCACACTCCTACCATATCTTCCATCATGACCTCGTCCCCGACTGTTCCCACCTATATTCCTTGATTTTTGAGAACCACCTTTCGAATTTCCTCCACCACATTGGTGAGAGGCACTCGAAAAGGAAGCATTTTCTTTTCGTTTCGGTTTTATTACCGTCCAATCAAATGAGGAATTGCTACCAGGACTTGCGCTAACTGTACCTATAAAATGAAATCTTGATATAGTTTAAGTGAGAAAACATGTAATGCATGTATATATAGAATATGTACGCAGTTTTTGCTTTCAATTCAATTGAGCGCGTTATAAGTTTTGGCAGGACAAATAGAGACGACCTCTTGAAATCATATATGTATAGGAATTTTTACTATAGCAAATGCTCAAGTGGCAACTAAACTTAATTTTCATTCAAAGATATATGTATGTACGAATAATTTTTTTTGAAAATCCAGTATTTTGGCCTTAATTATTCAAGACCTGACATGTTTGACTTTATTTCAAGAAAAATTGTCAACCTTTAGGAGATTTCTTTGGAGTGACGTCAAAAGATTTGCATTCTTTTGTCGATGGCGATTGTCCTGTTTTTGCTACAAAACGACAAAATCGGTGCATTGTGTAACAAAAATAATCTTTCTAATCATCTAATTATGTTTAGATTCGTGTCGATGTCACTGATATATTTAAAGACTGGATAACGCAACCTAATTCTGGTGCCTAGAACATTTTGAAACCAACTTTTGACAGCGGCGGCCATATTGGGCTATCCACTTCTAGTATATACTTATAATGAATTTTTCTTGCAATTTGTCTTTTTGTTAAGTTATACTTCTGAAATCATGCCAAATCATTTATTATGATATTTAAACAACGTAAGAAGATTTCCTTAAGAAATTTAGAGAACATGAGTTTTCCGCACAAACCATTTCTTTTACAGTCATGTCATCATAATAATGCTTTTTTATCTCAAGATAAAACAGATGATCCAAAATGAATGCGAGAGTAGCAGTTTGTTATAAAAAGTAGTTGCGTAATCCAATCTATATACATATCAGTGGTCGATGTCAACTATACACATGTCCCGTATGTTGGACGAGCACCAGGCCCTCCCTCGTAAAAATTATGCTCAACATTCCACTTACGTGACTTATTTTTACTGCGGGTGCTTACACGGCGTACTACATTTGCGGCTCCTTTGTTGACGGACGTCGTAGAAAGACGGCAAGGAGTGGTAGACTGGAAAAGAATCTCACTCGCATTGCCTCGTTCCCATGCACTGAGAAATGGTATAGAAACAGACCCACTTGATGTACTGCGATAGCTAGGCCACGAGTCAAATGACATATCCTGATCGAAGATGCGAAAACAGATTTTGTTAGAAATCAACTTTTGCTGTTACAATTATATAGTACACACAATAATTTCCCGCGATACCAATTTATTTCACCAGAATCGCACAAGCGCAAAGTATTTTTGTGCTAAAAAGGCATTCGAATGTTTCAAGAACTTTCGTCTCACGATAATAACAGCACAATGAAACAATTATGAAATACTTCCCAATCATAATAAAAAGCTATCTGCCACCGAAATCTAATCCAAACTGAAGCACATCCCCTCCCCCCCACACAAAACCATCCTTGGTCAGTATACAGTTTCGTATATATTTAAAAGCTGGTCAGTTTCACAACTTTCATTTAATGTGTTAAATTTCACGAACACGCCCATGCCATTAAGGACGCACTTCAAAAATATCACTATTTCTTTGTAGTGATCCTAACGGAACTAAAAACTTCAATAGACTTAGAGATGTACGTAATAATTGACAGCAACAACTGAAGTTGTAAGAGCTACAATGTTCATTGTACTTACAGATCTATTTGAAGGAGCAGGCGATACAGGAGAGACAGAACCAACCACAGAATGTTTTAAGGTTAACTCCGCTTTACGTTGATACGTCGCACCGCCTTCTTGAATTTGAACGTCATGGACGTATTTTGTACATCTTGGCTTCTTCACATCATTCTAATGAGTTAAAGCAGTATACTTCTAAAATGTTTCTGTCATTTTAAAGTTCAGAGAACGAGAGCTGGCAAAATAGCTGTGAGACAGATACAAGACAAAGTTTAAAGTACGTATGACCCCGTTTTGGATTGTTGTTCAGGGAGATCTGAAAAAGCTAGGAAGCATATTCTAAATTAGTTTTCATGAAAAAAAAATATTACCAGAAACAATCCAGCTCAAACACGAATCAAGCGCACCCAACTTTGTGATCCCAGGAATACACTTTCAACAACAATATAGAAATTATATTGTAAATTATGCTCAAATCAAGCCTTAATTACAAATGTTCATACTCTGCACAGGTACAAAAAATATATTGTAAAATAAACTTTAATGATTTTAACAGATATGTTCGTGGGTTTCAGTCCTCCAGTGTCCGCTGCTTTTTTTCCCAAATCTGTATTTGAGCCGTTGTACCTTTGGAAATACGTATTTTACGAAAAAACAAATTTCTAAGTTGTTAAAAAAAGTTTTTGAGATTTGTCAGAATCAATAAACCCAAACTGAAGTCATATGCACTTTAACGTTTCCCTACACAAAAATAATATTTAAAGGCAAGTGGTAGAATTGAAAAGATGAAAGTAGCTACAATACAGCAATGACAATGGTACTATTACTTTTTTTTTCTTACTGTGTAATTAACGATGCATTCAACAAAAACTGTAGGTTCATCTGTACATTTCTGCCAAGTCTCCATAACGTACGGTGGCTATAACAAAGAGGAATATTCCTTTTTAGGAATACTCTATGAAAGTAAGTGCAGAGCAATGTTGTCAGCTCTAAAGTAATGCTTTAAATTAGCGGAACTAAAAATTTCCAGATTTTTATAGGAAACGCAGTTTTATCACAAAAGATCTAGTTTGAAATTCCTCAACTCATGTTTCTTTATAATTTATAATTCAAAACAAAAGTTCCTGCGTAAATGCACGCATTCACTTACATTCTTAAAAATAATTGATTCGTGTGACTTGAACTTGAACGTCACATCCTAGATTAAGATAATATATTTACATAAATCACGTTATGAGAGCTACATAGGAGAGTACAACATGAAAAATAAACTTTCATACAAAGCAAAATTCATCATGGAGACTTGAAATTAAAAGAACAGGATGACTGTCTTTTTAGTTTATTTTTTTTCAATTTTACTATGATGGCAATGCGGTACTCAGTCAAAAAGGCAATTAAATCAACACATTACTCGGAATATGTTGTATTTCACGAGAATGTTTTAAGAAAAAACAAAACATTCATCTTACTCGAATGTATGAAATGTATGGTCCATCTCCATCAACATCAACATCAGCATACATTTTCCATTTACAGTCCTTCAAAAATGAAACAACACACTTATATAGTAAAAATTCCCAGATTAATGTCATTTAAGGCTGTTAGGCTTTACGTTGTCACAGATTTTCATGAAAACGAAGCGTACAGGCCGATGACAAACGAATAGCTTCAGTAATTTGTCTATAATCATGCACGATTTTCATATTTCCTATCTAACATTTATAATGGTTTAAAAGCATTTTACACTTGCACATATATGAAGTATCTTACGGCTATACTCGTCACAGTCGACTCTAAGCAGTTGCTATAATCGATCACTGGGAGTTATACGTTATACGACGATTCTTTGTAAGAGATAAAATTGAAAAACGTTGTTTTCAAAGACACAATTAAACAATATAATTAAATCTAGACATAGTACAAACATTGTTTAGTGCTTCCCACCTGTTCTGTTCTGCCAATTCGACAATGATTTCCAAATAACAATGTCAAGGTTACCATATTCTGACGTCGTTCCTCGTTCGCTGTTTCATCCTGAGCAACAACAAATAGCATACATACATATAATAGAAATACATTTCTAGAACAAAAGATGTTCACAAACCTTTCCCTTTGTTTGAGGATGATGCAGTCTTTTACAAAATAACTCACCTTTGTCAATGGTGGAAAATGAAGCATAAGTTCATTTTCACTTTGTAATTTCGATATCTGACCCTGAAATGTGAAATAATTAAGTGTATATAGTAAAAATCACAACAACGCCAGAGTAATACTAGCGACTTATTTACGTACTCAACATAAAAAATATTGTTGAATGATAATTTTATTTAATTCAAAAAAGGATTCAATCACAGCAATAAAATAAGCCTTACAACAATTTCCAATCTATGCCCCAATGATTGTATCCCCAGGTCCTTAAGAATGTCGATTGTTATTGCAAGTAACCTAAAATTTTGGAAAGCAATGTTTAACAGATTATTCTTGATATACCTACTATCAAGATAAGATAAAAATGTAAAAGTTTCATTTCTTCCAGTAAATCTACATACCTTTTGCCATTGATATTGTTATCAACGAAAAGTTGAGCGTAGTCGGATATATTTCTGTTGCCGACTGTACAAGTAAAGAAAACCATGTTAATTTCTCATTATGTGATTTCATGAATGTCAGGTTTCAACTAACGTACCCTGTATTCCAATGTGTTCGACCCATAAAAACTAATAAAAAATAATAAAAGTACCATTCAATGAGAGAAAAATACGCTATAGTTCAAGAATGTTGAAACAAAACTTTTTGGGAATGTAAATATTTTTATGACCTTGCACTGAAACAAATAGCAGTGCTTCCCGTTAAAAATAAAGTAATATCTTTCTAAAAGTGTCTTCCAAGAGTGAAATGAGTTATTCAGAAATGACAGACTTTGAAATAGAATATAAGTCTTTCATATCAATTTTTTTATGGTCTTAGTTGAAAATTTGACGATGGTGTTGACAGTACGATCAAGTTTAACATATATAACCTGAACTAATCCATGAATTTACAGATGTAAATGATCGCTACATTGAGAGGAGTTTTAATTTGAATTCTTAAGACGTTGATGCGCAAAAGCTATTAAAAATTATAAGTTTTCGAACATGTTGACAACAAAAATGCTGGTTACTAAACGTTTCATTTTTTAATTGTCCCACAAATGAAGATATTTCGGAAATGAAGAAAAGAAACAGTTGTTTTGATAAGAAGTTACATAACACTTTTAACAGTTCTTTGAAAAATTAAAAGTGTTCATTCCATGGACACTTCAATGACAATTACTACAATTTCTTTATGAAACGATACGTTAAAGACGAGATAAAAAATATTCAACTCACAACATCATCTTCAGTCCACGCATTTACATCATGTTTACTCACAACCTAAAAACACACAAAAAAATAAAGCTTAAAAAGGATGCGAGGACGCATGTAAAGAAATAATGTGTAAAAACAAAACCAATAATAAAAGGAACGAAAATTTTTGTCAAATACGTGCATTTGAGGTTCAACTATCTTACAATGAGCGGAAATGTTTCCTCCGACTCCGAAGAAGCTGCGTAATGATGTACGTATGAACAAAAAAATCACGTCAGTCATCAGTGAGTACAAATAAAGCAATGTTTTGAAAATATATCAACTAGTTTTATCAAGAAACGTAAATTTCTGCAAAATGAATGTACTATTATCTCTTGTTGTGTTTATAAGCATCCTATCAGTAAATGAAGGTAAATATTCACTTTGTTTCACCACACAGAGTACATATATGTTTGTTCATAATTTTTGACCAAGTACATGTTACAGTATACAAGCAGTAAAGCTACAGTATTAGAGACGCAAAGCACATTTCTATGAGCAAAATTAAATGTATAATCAGTTTAAAAGCAGGTCATGACAACTACTTATCAAAACTGTTATTGTCTTTCTTCTGTGTACATTGTCATGTGCCAAGAAAACACCTGTTTGCAGGGATTGATAAACAATTCTTGCAAAATATTTCTCTATATTTCACACAACGTATCAATGGATAGCAATGTTTAACCACTGCGGTACAAATTCGAAATCATCACATACGTGAAAGTGCATATAATATTCTTGTTATTTGCTATGGCACGTGAAACCCTCCTATTTCATCTCTTGGATATTAGATTAATTACATGTGAGACAAATTGCATCAGGTGACCATAAATATTTAAATACAGCTCGTTGGATATGGTTTAAACACCTTTCTACAACCACTGCAAGTCCAACTAGGCAGTCAACAGCAGCAGCTGCAAGCAAAACCGTCAAAACGACATGTAATGATGTAGGAGGACAATGCAGGATTGGATGTGCACTAAGGGAGTATGCAGGAGAACTTATGTGTTCTTATCCAGAAAGCTGTTGTGTTTTAAGATAAACGAAATCAAAATTCTTGCATGCTATGGCAGAAGTATTTCGCGACTGAGTAGATTTGAAATATGGAGTTTTGTGAGGACATGAAAAATGTATCGTGGAAATTAATAATAGATTAGATTTTAAAAAGAGGAGTATTTAAACAAAGAGGAGAATTTAAAGAAATATCGCGTTTTGAAAAACATTTACAAAAATAAAAACATAAAATGTGCTCAATAGTGTAGTAATTATGGATGTAAAGGCATTCAACACATTTTGTTAGGAAAGAATTGACAAATAATCAAAATGTACGTAGAAATAAATAACATGAAATATAATAATTGATCGCACCTTTGCTACATACTGTTGTTCTAATTCTCTTTCGCGCTGTAGGACACGTTCCTCGCGCTAAAATATGATCAATAAATGACATGAATTCTCAAATTTTTATAAACATCAACAAACAGATAAAATTGACGAAGCCAACAAAAGCAAAAAGCTTGTGTTAAACTACGTATCCCAGATGAAAAAGAATTACATTTTAAAGTAGGCTGCGTTCTGGGAACTAATATACGTAACTTATACTAATACACTAAAATATTAGCTTGGTTTGGCTTATATTTAATGTTCTTTTTCATATAATAAACACCCTTATTTTTAAAATGTCACATTATTAATGGTAAACACTGAAATGAAGAAAACTGATAATTGGGAGGGGGGGGGGTATTTATACGTATGCATGTTATAATCCACAGAAAACAACCCATTTTAAAGGAAATTAATACGGTAGAACATGAATATATGAATACTGAATAGAGCCCCAGCCTTCAATTATGGAGCTAGGTACGACTTTGGATTGTGCCTTCCCATAAAACGTTTACGATAAATATCCCAAACTTTGTTTCCAATTTCAAGAGTTCAAGAGTTAAAAATCCTGATAAAGCTTTAAAAACTATTTGACAACTTACTTACGTAGCCAATGAAATGTGTAGTTGTTTGCTTTGGTGGTTCAACGTTTTACGTACATGGTTTATTTATCTAGTTTATTGTTTAGTTTACATGAATTTGAGAAAATTCCAACGAAGATTTGACTCGGAATATTTCAGTAAAAAGCTCAGTGAAAAATAGCTTGGGCCGACCTCTTCCAGTTCCTTCACTTTAAGATTTAAATTCTTCTCCAGTTGACTAAGTTTCTCCACGGTCACAACAATTTCTTTCCTGTGGTGAACGAGGTGCTGCTTGTTAGCCAATATGAAAACATGATAAGTACGTATTAAATCGTTAAAGATGTTTGCATTGCTAAAGACATTTTTAGATATAAACTCAGTAAATCACAGCTAATCAAAAGTAAACGGGCAGCTGGAAAGTTTACCGAATTGACTTTTCGCCTCTAATCACAAAATTTCTTCCAAAATTGCGATAAAAAACGTGCGTATAAGAAAAATATTTCTTTATCGAAATCCAATACAATAAAAAGTCAAATAAGAAATATGAACGATCAGGAGAAGAATTCGGGTTTGTGTCAAATTAAGACTAAGATTTGATTTGCAAAGCCATGAACCAATAATTCAAAAGAGTACGTGACTGACGTAATCTGATCCTTAATCGAACTGCTAAAAGCACACAAATATGAAGATGCAACTCTTCAATATGTTTACTATTAAACTTTTAGTAACCTCCATTCATCTTTTTGACGAAGAAATGAATTCGTTTCCTCCTCTAACGACTCTAAAAAACACAAAATGACCAGTACAGTTAAAGCTTTTAAAGCAAAGAAATAAAAACGTAAAATGGTTTTTACTAACCATTACAATCCATATTTTCGATTAATGGAAGAATTTCTTTGAAACTTGGTCGTTCCTTTAGAGTGAAAATAAGATTAGGAAAACTGCTTAAAGCAAAACCAATAAGCAAATGGATAAAACAAAAGAAACGTACTTTTGGGTCAGTTTTCCAGCATTGTTGCATTAGCTTAGAAAAGGGACTCGGGCAAGTACTGGGTATTGTAAGACGCTATAAAAAAATGATAAATATGAAAACAAATAAATAAACTGCCGTCCGTTATGTATTTTATGAAATTTGATTGAAGATTGCCAAAACATAGATAAATTTCTAAAATTCTAATACTGAAGTTATAGTCTAAGGTAATGCCAGCATATATACGATCAAATATTAAATCGTGAGTAAATTCAAGCCCTATAAGGCTCAATACTTTCATATAATCATCAAGTTAGACAATAAAAACCTTTTGTTTCGTGACGACAAGCAAAGCAACCTGTACACCTTCCATTCCCTCGAATGGAATCTCTCGCGTTAGCATCTCCCACAGTACCTTACATAAAATAATCGAGAGAAGTTTACAAAGGGATTTAAAACTTGATATTTCTGGTCGACAAATTAAAAAGAAATACCATCTGGTGCCGGTTGCACGAAGACTGGATAACGTTATCCATTTGATAGCGAAAATTTTCAAACTTGTAAAAATGGTGTTTCTATTTTTCTTACTTTGCAATCTTTGAAACAATATGTTATTTCAGTGATTGCATAGTTCAAATCATACATTTTTCTCTTATAAGAAATTTTATGAACGTTCAGAAAAATTTTCTCTGAAGTGGATAACGTTATCCAGGCTTCGTGCAAATGGCTTCTGCGCAATAAATTTTAAAAATACGTAGATATATACGTATTTGACACTCACCACACCATAGGAAAAGACATCACACAGCTCAGATACTGGAAGACTTTGAATGACCTTAATGATCGAAAAGAGAATGAAAATTTCTGACACTGACCAACAATAATAATAAAAAATCAGGAAAGACTTTATAGTATGGAAATTTAGGCTGTGGGAGATGGAGTTTTGCCAAATAATAAATAAAGACAGAAGTGCAAAACACTGTGTAATATTGCAAACAAAATGCTGAAAAATCTGCTATAGGAATGTGAATGTATGATACAGAGAGTCTCCTCAAGATTGGTAGAAAGTGAACAATCTAAGACCAACATTATTACAGAACATTTTTGAACATCAAGCAATAGAACTAAGGATTTATAGGTCATTTGGATAGTTTTGATAAAATTGTGAAGGACAATCTCCAAAAATGAAATATTCGTACAGTATGTAAACATTCAAGTGGGAACAGCAGCTATACGTACACAAACAAAAATATAGGAAAAGTAATGATAACAGAAATGTAAGGAATTTAAAATGTAAATAAACAAAACAAAGGTGCAGAAACTGTATTGAAATAAATGTTTGTTTAACACACCTCTGGGGCCATCCAAGGAAAAGTGCCATTGAGTGACATATGTGTTGTATTTGTAGCCAATCTTGATGTACCAAAGTCACAAATCTAAAATTTTAAGTCAGATTTTTTCATTGACCAATGTTGTAGCAAGAAAAATTAGGTGTAGTATGATAGTTTCATTATTCTACATGCAATTTTTAGAAAGATGGATTTCTTTGCTCTCTCAGTGATGTTTATTATTATGAAAAAAGCAATTAAGCTTACATAGATACCATAAACATAGGATTTCTTACACACCTTTCCAGTCATGTCCAAAGAAATGACAACTATAAAAATCCATGATCAGTAAAATTAAAACTAAAAATGAAATTCTTACTCTATATATACATTAATTCCACTAACCATTTTTAGATTTCAAATCCCTGTGGATTATTTTATATGGGGCCTCATAATGAAGATAATTCATGCCTGAAATGAAACGAAAAGAATTTTTGACGATGTCTCCTTAACCAGAATTTGTAAACAAATTTCGATAATGTACCTCTGGTCTCTAAAATTAATGAGTTGATCACCCACCTTTTGCAATGTCATTAGCCCATTTGACAATTTGTCCAAATTGTAACTCCTTCTTGTTTTCAGAGCAATAACTGTACACTGATCCCAACTCAGCATATTCTATTGCAAACATTTAATAAAAAACATGTTTTAAGAAATGCTACTGTACTTCATTAAGCAAAAATGAATTTCAGAATTTGGGCTGAATTTGTAGCAATTAAAAATAAATATTTATAGGGCAACATCTTTTTTTGAGTGCATTTCTTGGATGAGTGAAAGCATGTATATAACAAAAGTTTGGTGGCCTTGGCTAATATATTGAAGATAAAACAGCAATTAAAATAAAAAACGGATATCTGTAGCAGCAGCTATCACGGTTTTCAATAAAATAGTTATGTCCACAAAAATAATTATCAGAAATAATTAGAAGTTTGTAACAATAAGAAAATTGCAACGTAATCAAAAATATACATCTTTACTGTACCAGTGACAATGCCATAGTTTGGAGAAGAGTTCACCACTCCATAAAACTGGATAATATTTCGGTGGCTCAACAAGCTTAAGACATCAGCCTAAAAAACAAATGACATGATCAAAAAGAATACTGACAGATGACACCTTTCAATGTTTTTTGTACTTACCTCGTTATCCAAACGCAGAACTTTTTTCACAGCTACCACTTTTTCTTTTGATTTCCACGACGCTTTAAACACAGAACCGAATGATCCATAACCTATACACTCGCCAAATTCTAACTCATCAAACAAAATTTCAACATAAGACATGTTATAAATAACGGCCCTTCGACGAACATGCACATTGCACGCTCGCCGAATATTTTTATGTTTCCGAGGGGGGGGGCTGTCAATAAAAGTCATTGGTGCGCTTCAAGCTTGGTTGATCACAGATTTTGAACATAAATATTCCATTATACTCGTGAATAACAATTTTTTGAAATGCAAGGGAAGACTTGAGTATGCCAAAAAAGTAAAATCAGCAAATGCAGCTGGTACATCCACGCTGTAGTGTTGTACAATCACGGCTAAGCAATAAGCACTTTTACCCACTCGCAGGAAAGGTTTCTATGAATTATAAAATTTGGTCAGGCCATGCCATCCTGGCCAGGTCAATCAATTAATGTTTCCATTATTATCATTTATTAACGGTCGACTGCATTAACGAACATAAATTCTCTTTAGAACATAAATTCTCCTTAGTTTTTGTGAACATGAAATTGTGTGAATTTGTGTTGTTTGGTTTTTGTGACACGATCGCAGCAGGTTGTCGAGCGCTTCTTGGCGTTGATTTAAAATACCATTCTGATGCAGAGATTTTGAGCCCGCAAGTTCCGACTCGTGATGGTAGTAGATTCCTGGATCTTGGTTTTGTCAGTTGCAAAAAAAGAAATGCTGAATTTGATGATTCATTTGCACCTTTGAAAATTATCAATTTGACATCAAAAAATGTCTCTTTGTTTATTATAAATTGCCAGCCATCCTGTGATGCATCTGGGGAGTTGGTGCATTGGATAATGAATTTGTTGATGGATAATGCTGTCAAAGAACTTTACATACTCACATCTCAACATATGTTTGATACCACCAGTGATGTGATGTATGAAATGTCATTGTTCAAGGAAAAGTCAAAGGATTTTCCTGATCCTCCCAAGGAATTAAAGTCATCCGATGACTTCTTCAACAAATTGATACAGTTCATTCATGTTGAAAAAATTCCAACATCATGTTTTATTATCAATGGAAAGAAAGCAACACAAGAGCTAGAGAATCATGATGAATTGAACAGCATTCAAACTTTACAAACATTAGCTGAGGAGTTGACTGCTGTAAAATTCAATGTACTCTTCAGTCGAGACTTGTTTTTTGAACCACCGAGTCAGAAGGCATCTAATGAAATGACATCAATGTATCTTTAACTTTTGTGTAATATTTGACACAAGTTTTTATAATAATATTATTAAACATATCTAATAATAACATTTTAGTGTAGAGTTTAAATCAAAGGATAATCAATAGTTAAAAGCTTAAAGTATTGTTTACCACCATCGGTAGGGTCCTATATTGGCTTTAGTTTCATTTTAAATAAACCCTCCATAAAAATTACATTTATGACTTTGTAGAAATTAAATTCCGAAGGGATGAATAGATTTGGTAGAGGAAATATAATGTGAAACAAAATCCATATTTATCATCTCATCTTTATAGATAGAACCCAGTAATAAGCCGTATCATTAGTAATCTTTTTCACTGAGGGTTATTAAGATTAAAGTTTATTTACAAAAAAATTTTATGATACCTTATGTTTATTTACAAGAAGGAAATTCTCAGTATGAGTTTGTTGTTGCAGACAAGAACTGGACCTTACAATTATAAATTTATGGTAACATGTCACTGTAATGTTAAAGTACAAAATATTGTGCGATTAAGATTTTGTAAACAGCATAAATATGAAGCTCAGAAGCTTCATTACTAAGATAGTGTGAGTGATCTCTTTTTATAAGCTAAAAAAGCAGTTTTAAATAACATAGCTCATTCATCTAAACTAATTAGAAAATTTAAGCAAAGTATATAAAATTGTGAAAATTGAACAATTTCTAATAGCAATCTGACATTGTTACACAAGGTTATAATGTGGTACACCCATTGAGTTAGGTACACCCATATTCGTCAAAGTTAACCACTGACTCAAAAGGTTAGTCTGTGATTTATTGTAAAAGTAGGTGCACAGTGCGTACATAAGTGTTAACTGGATAGTAATACTTACAGTATCCAATAGCAAGGATCTAAGCTTTTATTTATAGATTTTAGTTACTAGTATACTGAGTAATCAGCATTAGCTGTAGTTTTCACGGTGACTTAAAGACATCCCACAAATTTTAAAAAGTTTCTAACAATGTATGAGCATAACAGATCCAGGATAGACGAAGTAAGTTAAAACAAACCACCGGTTCGTAGGATTTTATTCTTTGAAAATTCTTCACAAATTATACGGCTTCGGATACCGTTCAAACTCAGTCAACACTTCATTATGCAAAAGAAATGAGAGACTCAAAACGAACGAGTGATCTTTAAAATCAATCACACTACCCTTCCGTAAAATAGAAATCATTTATCAATGTAAGTCCAAAACTTTGACAGGTTCAGATAACATAACAGACAACTGATAAATGGTTGTCTGCTCACCATAAATGACGTCACTGATTATTAGGATGATTTCCTGAATAAAACCATTTGTCATTGTAAATATTCACCGTAATTGGTCGCAGATCTTACTCCCCAAATAACTATGGCATTTCTTTCGTGCATATTTATGAATAAAAAGCAGCTCTCTTAAAACAGGAAGAAGGTATTCTCGTTGCACATAAGAACTACAGCTATAACAATATGTCAAAGATTTTGTGCTACGTATAGCCAATAAATGCACGCTATTTATACTATTGTCAGTATGCAGCATAAATAAATGCTATTGATTGTCGACAAGTGCTCTTGATTGCTCCTTCGGTTAATGAATGTTCTACAGCGCTATTGTGAGTCAAAAACGTGTAACTGACTTTTCTGCAAAATGCTCGATGTTCTCTAATGGCGAGCGAAGTGTTTTCTTCTGTTTTCCAATTTTGAAAAAGGCAAGCAACTGATTTAAAATAGTTAAAGATTGTACGAGTAGTGATAAACAACATGTGCTTTTTTCAATAATCTATTTACCGTAAACTTTTTTCACATTTTCTCTATTGTTCTTATGAAGGTATAGCGATAAACGACAGAGGTCTCAACGAATCGGATCAAGAGCTTAGATAAGTGTAGATCTGCGCAGTTTTTATTACTTTTTCAAAAAAAGTAAAAGTTTAACATAACAGGAAGTAATAACGGATAATAAATAGGGAAAGGTTAGTTTGATGTACTTACTTTCGAGTTTCTACAAAGTCACGTGAGATGAAGGCATTATGACCACCATTGATTACCATTACTGACGACGACGCGTATTATGTTAATAAAGTTAATGGGGTTTGATGAAAATTACATCTATTTATGTTATCACGTGGTTTGCTGGTTGCTCATCCTCAGACCTCTATATACACACGTTAAAGCATCCACGAATGAGCAATAAGTAGAAATACAATCACATCACCAACACAACGAATTCTTTTAACACTAAAAGACTTTAAAGTTTTTATACTGCTTTTAAAACTTTTAGCAAAAATTGAAAAACTCAAAAAAACAAATTATTTGACGTGACTGAATTTACTTTCGGAACGGAAATGCGTTTTCAAAAATGATGGATTACAGGATACTCAGTTAAACAGATTAGACGCATTAGTAGTATTAAAAGAATTAGATGGGTTAACTGAACTTTCCAAAATAGAGATAATTGGAGCGCTTTATTCTTACTAGCCTTGCGAATGCAAAGAAATAAAACATCTATTGACGAAAATTGGACGTTTCTGTGTGTCTGCGATGCGTTATTGTATAAACAAGCCATCAACACGATGCATGCGTGGTTTGCCAGTAAAAGAAACACCGCTTTACCGCAGGCTTGATTTAATAAAAATTTGACGAACGGCTGTCATTGCCTTATCGCAAGATTGATGACCTCAGACACTTGCCAGGTAAAAAGAATGCGCAGAATCTGAAGATGTGTAACACGAAGTCGAAGCAGGCGTGGATGGTCATTAATCATTCTGTTCAAATCAATGTCTCTCAACCAATGCACGATCGCCATATTCTTGTGCCTGTTCACTAGTGATTTATGGCCTTTTGGTTTATCTATAAACGGCACGGCACCCGGGAGAGAGGATGTGCGTTTCGAGAGTTCAAGGCTTTTACAACAAACGGCTCTCAAGAAATTGGGGATACAAAAAAACGAGATGAATTCCAATGCGCTTCAATTTTTTATGTCTTTAACGCTAATGTGCTGTGCCACTGCTGGTAAGTCTAAAACAAAACATATTTTGTACTTTAGAAAGACGCGTTGAGGCAGAAACATTGACCAAACGATGTCTATGCTTTTTGTATGTCTTATTGTTACAAAAATTCTCAGGAGATTAAGAGTAGTTCAACGCCAACATAATATTCTACATTATAAACATATAAGGCGTTTGTACTTAGATGAATTTGCGTTTTTTGCGCAAATTATACGTCCGTTAACAATCTTAACATCAATCGCAATGTTTTGGTTTATGCCAAGTTATTTTAATGTATAAAGTTATTCTTAATGAAAAAATGTTACGACATAGTTTCTCGGTTCAATATGCAAGTGAGTGTAAATGTAGTACACTTCAAACAAACACTTTCTGAGTTGTTGAAGAAGATCAAAATTACTGAACTGATACATCCATTAAATTTACAACGAAATTTTGTATAATTACATAATTTATGTTTCGAAGTTTATATTTTGATTGTGTCTAAGTAATATGTTTAGAGTAGTATTTTTAAGACGTTATAAACTCTGTAAACTTGAAAAAGGTAAACTAAACTACAATTGAGACAAGAGATTTAGGAAGGAAGAATTAGTTACAATATCGTCTAATATACAGTCTATTTTTACATACTTTGTAAATATTATAATGCGTCTAACACCTTCAATTGTTTTGTCACCTATACTACAACTTTAAGAGCAATGGGAACAATGTAAGCACAACGATAGTCACGAAAAATAAAAGCTAAATGAACACGAGTTTTATAAAGAATAATTCTATTCTGTTGAAAGAACTGTTCTTAGAAAATTATTTTAAAGTTTCTTCTAAGTTAGATAACACACATGAATGTAAAAGCGCAAGTTTCAATATGCGTCTGTAATCAATGAACAAAGAAACACCTTGTACCGATGTGCATGTGCCGATGTGCGTGCGTTGCCGAAAATGGATACTGAAATCTGTCAATATGTTAGTTAAATTCTCACTGTGAAATTGAGTAAAGCGCAAATGCTCTTGATGAAAACAATTTTAAATGCATACCATGCTTACTGTGGGAATTATTCTTACATTTTTTGACAATGAATTTTTGTTATTTCACAATAGTCATCAGTGCAGGAAATATGCAACAGTTGGGTAGAATCTAGTTTGCCAAGTAAAGATAAAAAACGAACGTTTTGTATGTTTATATTTTAAGTCACAACTCGACAAGAACAGCGCTATATATTGACAACAACACAGTACATTATAAATTGGGTTTTATCTGACAAATGTAGTTGATAACTCTGACTGAGAATCTTAATGAATTGATGTCTTTTCGACGTATACAAAATTGAGTATGAAACTTATGTGAAACTGGCAAGATATAAGAAACCAAAACAAGATTTATAATTATATAGGTGGGCCTTTAAGGGTTCGATATCTTTATGAAATAATTCATTGAGATAATAATACTCGTGTTTTGAACCGTTCATCAAACATTTAATTTCAATGAATTAAAACACACGGAACATAAAAGTTTTGTGATCTTGGCATTTTGTTTATGCATAGAATCTATTTAATACAGCAAACATTGTTATGTTTCATTAACAAACCGTGCTTTCGTTCGAAACTGTTTGAATGGTTCCAGATGTGCAAATAAAGTATGTAGTTGGCAGCTGATGTGCTGTAGTTTTGCACGGGGGAGTTAAATTATTATTTCAAAAACTGGTTACTGACTGCCAGGTTGGATTAAATAGAGTGACTAAACATATCTAAATAACCAACATTTTGATAAATAATCAAATATTGTGAGAGGCGATTTCAAAAACCAAAAGTCTTCTCCTACTATAGATACCTTTTTATCAAAGGCAATGCATTGAAAAGAGTTAGGGTAAATAATTAACTGCAAAAAAGCCAAAAATGAAAAATGAATTCCCGTTTTTTTTGTTACAGAACTTCCATGCAATACATCGGTTGGTATTGAAAATGGTGATTTACCACGACATTCGTATATTGCATCATCTTTCAAACCAGGACATTTTGCTTATCTTGGTCGGCTAAACAATAAAATACGAAAAATCAATGAAACAAAAAGAGTCTGGGGAGCTTGGTGCGCAGATGACTCAAATAAAAACCAATTTATACAGGTAGTTAGAAATATTTTGAACATTCTTACATTATGAACGATAAATCCATAGTTATTCTATTTTGATACAGATTAACACCTAAAAAATAAAGTATTTGTCATAATCTTCCGGAGATTGCTATCGATATATTTCGAATAAAATAAATCTTCACACAACCTAACCACCAAGTAAATAAAATGGGTTTCCCTAAAAAAGGATAATCACAAGCAAGTAATTTTACACCAGGGCTCAAAATGTCATTGACAATAAAAACTGCTAAAATTCTATAGCATGCTTTATTGTTATTTGACTTGGGAATCAAATATATTTTTACAAGAGTTGTATACCACAAACTGAAATTTTTTTGTTATCCTATTCAATGACAATATGAGCCACCATATGAACCACCATATAATCTTGGATATCTTTTTTTAATAAAAATTTATCCTAACAAGTAGATATGCAAATGATCGATATTGCTTTTTTCTGTTTTGTCAGATAAAGCTCTAAACTGCAGTGTATAATTGCCCTTTAATTTTTTATATGTGCTAAGCGTCTCAATCGAACGTTTTTGAACGAGAAAAGCTCTCATTTAGTCAACATAATCGTCAGGCAATTTGTCTTCAACAGAAGAAGTCCCGTCCCGTGTGAATTTCTTTACTCTGTCTTTCATTAATAAATCTATTTTTACATCAAGGTGGATTTATTGAAAGTGCGAAACGTAACTGGAATAGCGACGCAGGGTTACCTATATGGATCAGTCACATCGTATAAAATCATGTATAGTGTGAATGCCAAACAATGGGTTGATTACGTAGACAACACCACGATGAAGTCTAAGGTCAGTGACATCATGGCATTTCTCAAACAATTATTACAATTGCAATCGTGATTAACATTGAAGTTTTATTATAATTGTAAAGATCTTCACTGCCAACGTTGACGAAACGAAAGACAGTATTGTTCGACACAAATTAAACCATCTTCTCGAAGCAAAATATATTCGTTTCAACCCAATAACCTGGGATAAGATGATATGTATGAGGATTGACGTGTATGCTTGTGAAATACCAACGGTAAAACCAACAACACAGTCAGCAACAACAGGTGTGTATTAGAAAATATTGTAAACGTTATTTCTATTGTTCATTTCCAGTAACGGAATTGGGCATTGTATTGCTTTTCTGCATTTCTTGGTTATTTGCTAATTGCATGCAGCCATCTCACAAATGGAAATTTTTTTACAGAGCCTGCAAGGGGAGGACCAACAAAAGTCATACCTCATACGAAAAACTGGAACTCTCAACAATGTAGATAAAGAATCAACGACAATCGCTCCAACTAAAGAGATTGAAGGTATGGTATAGAAACTTTATTTTTATATAATACAAGTTCCGACACATCAATACAGGGAAAAAGCATCCTATAATGTATTGAGATATAGAAACTACAGCTGTTGGTAAATGTATCACAACTAAGGGATAAGCAAAAATGAGTTGCCAGCACTGTTAGTCTGTTACAATGAGAAATACTTATTTATATGATAAATTCAACAAACATAGCACAGTATACAATAATTTGTTAGTTGTATCAGACTTCGTTAGATGAAAATGAACATTGTTATAAGCATTTCTATTGTGGCAATTGGCAAAATTTCTCACTGAATGACATAATTTTCTTTCAAATGGTAACAGGTCTACCAAACAAGATGTAAATCAATATAACAAATTATGTCAATGTATAAAAAAACACGTTCGTGCCAACTTCAAACTTCTTCGTCCGATTCAAGATCTAACTGTTCTTAGTGATATTTTTCGTAAAGCTTTATGTAGCCAGTAATAAATGGAAGGTGAAGGATGGGTAGGGTTCATCAGAAAGTTTCGATCAGGCGTTTACTCATGATAATTATTTCATTTTAGGAATAGTAACATTCAAGACATCCGAAGAAATACCTGAAAATAGAAGTTCTGGCAGAAATTTATTCACAACAGCATTCTTGCAAATAATTTGCGTCGTACTTGTTTTCAGAATTATTTCAAACTAGTGTAAATTTTCAATGATTGGAATTTATGAAGATTCATAGTCCTTAAACCAATTTATTATATGAAAGACTGGACTTGTACATAAATGTTTACTTTATAAAAAATACAAAATAAATTACATGAAAATAATATCAAATAGAGTTTGATATAATATAAGGGGTACCTTTCAAACTTCTGGTGCGCCTTTGCGCATGTTTCCTATATCTATAAGACTATAAGGAGATAAGGAGAAAATAAGAACATAAGTCAAGACATCCCCCTTCAACTTTATAAATTAATTTAAGTGAGTTAAGTATCTGGAACAGGAGTAGACCGTTGTTTGCAGATAACAGTGTCACAAATCAAACATGCTTTCCACATGTTTTGATGAACGAGGACAATGCAAACGGTAAAACAATGCAGTCATAAAAATACAAACTTCTCCGATCATTCAAATCACGAGGAAGAATTCAGAATGATATCATGCTTATCTGCCAAAATTGTTCATATCGTCTCATCTTACAGTTATGAGAATTATTTCTATAACATTTAATCAGTTCTCGTCTGTCTCAGTTTTAGATTTACTGCTACTGTGACCAGTTTGAGGGTGTTTAACAGAACAGGGCGCGCATTCAAGCTATTTTATGCTAAACACAAATGTCTATGCTCATAAATAGCTCAACATTACAAGGTGTGTCATTTCAAGGCGGATGACGCAATGAAATGTCAATTTTGAAATTAATTAAAGTCTTAGTGTTAATTGATTCGTAGCCCAAATGTCTTTAAAACGCAAGATAAGACAGTAAGAGTAAAGAGTAGCGACACTCAATTGGGTAACAGAAGATGCTTTTATAAAATCCAAATTTGGTAACAATGATCTTTAGTATTATAAGAGTTATGTTGCTCAATCAGAAAAACGTTTCAGAAGTCTTGATTAAAAAAAATAAATAATTGATTTGATTTATTGCAAATATCATATTCATTTACGGTAAACATGTTAACAAATAAGAATTGGTGAAATAAAGAAAGACTACAACTTTTGTAGAAATTGATACAAAATTAAGAAGATGAGACCTACAAGCAAAGCAAGACTTCAGCTATGTAACATCATACAAATAAACTATCTAAATAAGGAGATCACATGGATCTAAATACATAGAAGTCAAATTAAAATATAATTACTCAGAGGTGGATCTAGTGTACATCAAAATTAATTACTGTAGCACATTTTGGCATACGTATATTTACATTTTTAAGCACCTTAGAGGCAAATCCATATTCTTTAGAAATTCAAAACCAATAGTGTTCTTCTGAATGTACTTTGAATTTAAAAATAAGAAGTAACTATTTATTTTGACAAACTGTAATCACTTATAATATGAATTTTAAGTACAACATTTAACTGCTAAAAAGCAAAACAGATTTGATTTCAATTTTGAGTTTATTAATGGTTCCAGAAGATTGCTCAAGCCACATTTCTGGAACAAACATCACACATACTTCATGGTTTCAGATATCAAATATCAAATAGCAGAGTATTTACAGGCACAAATTATATAAAAAATTATTGCCATCCAAACATGAGAAATAGACCGGTATCGGCAAAGCTTTGTAATGTCATATAAAATACCCAAACATCAAGTACCTTCTAGTTTTATTCACTTCCTATGATAGACAATGATCTTAAATCTTTGAGCATGTCTTGTATATCATCACCATATGAACTATTCTCATCTAATGTTTCAACCAAATCTCCATAAGCTTGACAGCATTTACTGTAGAAGTCAACTTGTGATTTTTGTAGAGCTTCAAAACAAGGATCAAAGTATGTAATCCTTCCTTCTCTTAACTGAGGCAACCCATTCAACATGAGAGAATTTTGAGCTTCAAAATCAATCTTAGCTTTCTCCAGTTCCCTTTCATACTGTTCGAGTTTACCCTTATTTAAAGCATTTTTTTCTTTCTCTTCATATTTTTCAACTTTTCCTTTCAGTCTCAAGTATTCTTGGTAACATTGTTCACGTTTCTTTATGCCACTACTGACTCTGGGAAATATCCCATGAAAGCTTTTCAGAGGTTCAATGGTGACATTTGTGATGTTTTTCTCAAGCTCTAACCCATATGTATCAATATTTTTAGCAGTTTTTACAAAACCTTCAGCATATTTTAGTTGATCTGGATTGTCATCCAAAGGCATTGAAGATAAATCTTGAGCTAATTTTGATTCCATCTTCCTTAGTTCTTCAAGTGCTTCATTACAACGTTTCATTCCTTTGTAAAGTTTTTTAGTGCTTACTTCAAGTTCATTACATTTCTCAATTTCTTTATCAAATTCTTTGTCTTTTTTGTCCACATTTGACTTTATTACAATCCCTTTTCGTTTGTTGAAGAAACCCCAACTCATTTTATTCAAAAAGTGAGTTCTACTAGGTAGAAATAAATTCAAAATTTCCAATCAACTATCAACCATTCGTTATGACAAAAATGTTTCTTCGAGATATTGACGAATCAACAACTAAAGTTCACAAGATGTCAAAAAATGGCTTTTTAGTCATAATAAATATAGGCCCCAATCTTTTTTCATGACTTGATTTCTCAGTATTTTACTCACCAAACACAAATTTACTTTATTTTTCGGATTTTCTCTAAAGTCACAGTCAAAATTATTGATGACAACGCAAAACGTCATGTAACCACGAATCAATGGAATTGAATAACTCCGACCGAAAATTTACCCGTAACCAGAAAAATTGACTCGTTCTATTGATTTTACTGGCAATTCTACTTATCTTAATTTTTTGTATGCCTTTGAATAAAAATAAACTCAAGTTTCATAACATAGAGACCGCATTAGGTATTTCCTGTTTTCGACGATTTTTTTAGATTTTTATTGTTCTTTCTTACAAATAAACGAGTTATATATATTTACTTTTAAATGTTTTTTGCTTGCCTACCGATTTATGAAGAAATTGCAATATGACGTCACATCCTGCATGAGCTGAGTAGCCAAAAATATGGATACTACTCAATAAGACAAAAGCTCTCATTTACCAAGTCGAAGTTTGTATAGTGAGATAATGAGTAAAATTGAAAAATATATGATAGCAAAGCTATCGCGTAATGACGTTTAATGACGTCATCAGCACACTTTCAACATTCCCCACCAATTCTGTTTTACTGGAGTATCCACAGTCAAACTTTGCCCTTTCACTATTGGCATCATGAAACAAAAGAAAATAGATTCCTCTTCGAGACGAGAAAGGTATTTTTGGCCAGTGGAAACAAGCTGACTGAACTTTTTTTCATTTTATCTTATTGTCACGCAGGTGAAAATTTTTATCATTTAACATCAAAATATTCAATGTTTTAACAATGAAAATTAATGGTAGAATTGAAAGATATAAAGAGTTTGAGCTAGGTAGTAGTAAGCTCAAAAACAAGTTGAACAAAACCAGGATTGTGTTATCCATTAGATATTGACTTTTTCCAGCAAATGAAATCTGATGGAAATGGGACTTGAATTATTAGAAAATAGCGTTTTATTTCATTAAGGGGAGGGTTTATAAACCCCGTTTTCAACGAAATTGTCTAATGTCAAATTTTGCTCTAACTTTATACACCAAGCATTTTTCACGCAACTGCCAGTTTGTTCACATAACGTACATGTCAATTGTCAAATGAAAAGGCCTTTGTGAAAACCGGATTTTGTAACCTTCACTACGAAGAACGGTGTCGTGTATCACGCAGTCAATTGTCAACACATTCAACTGGTCGTTGGTCACTATAACTAGACAAATTTGTGTATTCTCTGTCGTGAATCCTTTCGCTTGTTTCTATTTATTCATACGCTTGATGAATTCAAATGAATATTTTCGAAAGAATGCACAGAAGCATTTGTATATCGGCTGTTGTCTTTATCCTGGCGTTTATCGCACCAGGACAATGTCTTCAAGGTAAGCTTTACTCAATTTATTGAATTTGCGCATGAAATTTTATGTCATTGTTTTCAAATAATGAGGCGATCTAGAAATTTTTAATCTTGAATTATTGTCTTCTCAACATTTAATTCCTATGTAAGCAGCGTTGTGTAGTGCAATAAATTAATAAATTGTATCTAGTCTTTCTGCATAATTATTTCCGGCAATTTCATCGGCTTTCCCAAAAGGCTTTAGTTTTATTCATCTCACTTTTCTGGTCTTTATTACTTTAAATAAGTATCAGGATGTTTGCTGGGATGATTATTTACATTATTCTTCAAAAATTCTTTCTTGTCTCAAGAAAATCTCGTTCGGAAGAAGTAATGGAAGAATTTCGCTTTAGCATGACGATTTTTGTTCAACAAAACGAGCTAAACCAGGACCAACTTACCAGAAATGATAGTTTCTTATTTATTTATGGCGTTTACAATGCTTCAAAAAAACACTTTGCTTCAACACTCTTCATTTTGATACATTAAATTTGAAGTTTATATCATATTTTTTGGAACGTTGTCACTTCAGTGGCTTTCAACGTGATCTAACGTGTAACAAGTGGTTGAAAGCCCTGATGTTGAAAACCCTGCACCTGCTGGTTGCCAATCAACAGTCCTAATCATAGTTATTATACTACATATTCACATCTATATAGAAATGAACCATCTGAATACTAAAAAAACCCTAACAAACATAGCTCATATAGAAGAGACAAACAAACAATAGTAAGTCTTAAGAATACCGACAAAATGTCTGTGTGACGTTTTGGCTATGATATCTTCAGAGCTGTTTCTGATCACGACCGTTTGGTCAAACTACATGACTACTGATAGTTGAGCCTTGACCTTCGTAATTTGTTCCCACCTTCGTCCCTAAACCTCTTGTGCTAAAAAATAAATTTTACTTTTACCTCTTATATGTATATAGGTTGAACTATATACTTGCAAATGTTTCCATTGGCTGAAATTGAAATTTCTCGTCCTGTCAAATATCTTTCTCATATTAGCAGCTCTAGCCCATGAGCTCTGTCACAACACTTGCGAAGTTACGAAGTGTCTTCACGAGTGTCTTCAGTTTCTTCAAAACCCCACTTGATTTCAACCATTGTTCTTTCTTGTTAGCAACTGATTGATTGCCTTATTTGCTTTGTAACCTAGTACCTGTAAAGGTCATTTGCTTGCCAGTAAAATAATTTGTGTGTAATACAACTAATAAATTAAATCTTGTGAAATGACGTATGTAGGCCTGCTTAGCAGGCATTTTTATTGTAAACATATCTATTCTGTTTGAAGATGTTTTAATTTGGTAAGAAATGTCCTATTAAAATTTTCTACATATTGTAAGCAGTCGCTTTATTGTTTGTTTAATTTTGGCTCTCCTATTCATTCTCGTGTTCAAATTCATATTTGATTAACTATGCACCCGTATTTGCAGATTAAAACAGAAGCCAGCGTTGTGTAAAAGCTATAAGTTAATGCACAACCTTAGCTTGTTGTTTACGAACTGTCTAGTGTTGTTTTACTGAATCAGGTGTATTGGCCTTATAATATCACTATCTGTAACAAAGGTGCCGGCAAGAAGAGTCAGAGGGGAGAGAAATTAAGAGATTATAGAGGAATCAATAATTTAGGGATGTCTGATGAAGAATTTGCAATAAATTGGAAAATAAAGATGCATGGATATTATATTCGGAGTGTGTTTTATTTTATTCACAAATCATTCAAAGAACACAAATTTTGTTCTTTCATAGCATAATAAGAACAGAATTTGTGTTTTTCCTTCCGAAAAAAATCTTGATAGCGCCGCTGGTCTGTATTTACCATTAGCCTGCGTAGCTGGAAATAAGACAGGAGTTCGAAGTTGCTGCTTAAATTTTGGCGACAAACAGCTTTCTTGCATAATCATTAGTGGTTAGGTATGTGAACTTGGATATTACAATTTAAAAAAAGAGATTACAAGCACAATTGAAATCTTTTGATTTCATTTTCTTCTTTACATGCCACTCCTGGTTGTATCTCAAAAATTAGCAAGCTCTTAAACAAGCATTTTATCTTTTGCAACAGAATGTGACACTCCAATTGAGCTGGGCTTTCTAGTTGATCGTTCGGGTAGTATCAGCAGAAGGGACTTTGAAAAAGTCAAAACATTTATAGTGAATGTCGTCGCTGGTTTTAATGTCTCGACAGAGGGCACTCACATCGGAATTATCACTTATAGTTCAAACGCAACGACCATAATGCGTTTCAGTGATTTTGATGACCCAAGTTTCGACTTTGCAAAATTGAATGAAACGATTAGAAATCGTCTTGTTAGCCCTTCAGGAGGAGGAACTAGAGTTGATCTAGCCTTGGAAAAGGCAAATACCGAACTCTTCTCCGATCCTTCAAAATATCGACCATTCCTTCCAAAGGTAAGCTTAAATAAATGAGTTAAAATATATCATAGATATTTCTATTTGTAGAACTAATAAGCTATTTTAGACTCTCAGTATAAAAGTAAATTTAAAGCAAGAACTCTGAAAAATGAAATTCCCATCAGAGAAAAATGAAATCACAAGATTTTGTTAAGAATGTCTTATAATGTTTTCAAAAAATCAATAAAGTATTTTAATAAAATACATAACAAATAATGTAAATCTTTTCATTTTCGAAACATTGAATGAAATTGCTTACGCTATTTAGAGTTTCTGCTGTTATGTATTTTATGCCCTAGCTATAACTCTTCTTAAATGCAATTGGTGAAGTTTGTAGTTCACTATTATCATCACAGAGTAGCACGTGATATCATGAAATAAATAAGAGGTTTACTGTGTTTGCACAGGCATATGCAAACCGAGGAGAACTCGAAAGTAGATCAGTGCAAGCCCGAGACTAAAGGTCGAGGGTTGAACCTGGTCGAGACGAGTCACAAATATCCCCAAGGTTTGCATAAGCCTGTGCAAACACAAAAAATTGTTTTATTTCTTTTTATAAAATAACAAAAATGCGAAACAGACAAATTTAATTTATTTAAACAAACGTTTTATTATTTCTTTTACAATAAATTCACGATTGATTAGCAAATTCTTACTGATTGATTGATTGATCAGATTGGTTTGCACATGCTAGTACAAAGTGCAAACAAAGATATAAACCAATTAGCGCTTACGTTTTATTGTTTTTATCTTATAAACAATAATAATTAGAGCACAATATTTGTGTGCAATAGTGTGTAATAATAATATAACAAAATATTCATTATTAACTCAATATTTGAGATAGAAAAGAGAAACTAAGACAATAATTTAGTGATATTTTGAATTTATTAGTTGAAATTTACTAGTTGCAAGTGGCAAGTTAATACTGGCTCAATTTATATTATTAGTATTTATTTACATTTATTTACAGCTCTTGCATATTTAGCAATCCAAAGCAAAATTTTTAACTTCCAGCAATTTGATTGGCTGTCCGAGCGGGGCTTTTACGATATCTGCCCCTGGGCACAAGTGATATTTTTTTGCAATGTATTTGTTTACGAAGTGGAATTTAAATTTTTAAAATTGATTTGAAAGCAATGCTTATTGTTCAAAGAGAAAGCAAAGTGTCTTCAGATGAAAATTATTTTAGCAAGAATGAATTTTACTATCCAGACAAAGCAAAGCTTGTAGAAAACAATCCAATTTTAGTCTCAACATATCAAGTTGCATCGGACCATCGGCCATTTTTCAACGCAAATTTCTTCATAATAAACATGAAAAAATAAATATTTTATTTACTGTTTAGGTTGGTCCGTACTTAAAAAATATTTTCAAAAACGTGAAAATATTTTTTTCGTACTGACCTTCAAACCCGTAAATAACATATATATATTTTATATTCATATTGGCATTTGCACTGGTAATATAAAGTAAGATAATGTTAGCTTGTCACTTATTATTGTCTCCATTCTTTATTTTAACTACTGAATGAAACATGGATGTTATCTTCGAGTATTACTAAGATCAAAAATATCAGACGTAATAAATTATATAGCAACAGTGCACAACTGTGAACGTGAAATTATTACACAAATTTTCAATTTTACTTGAATGAAAATTGCAGAACTTGCAAGTAGGATATGTTTTGATAAGATCATTGAAACTGTGGGTCTTATGATAATTGCTTTAGCTATGAAACATCGAATAATATTTTATATGCACTATTTTCAAGGTTTTGTTAGTTCTAACGGATGGTGCTCAAACAAGAAACAACAATGGTGATGATATTGATCTTAATGAAGCGACACGCAAGCTAAGCAGAAAAGGAGTGGAAGTATTTGTCCTTGCAATTGGAGAGAAAATACGTATAGACGAATTATTGGATATTGCAGCTCATAAAGATGAGAATCTCTTCTATGCGGGTAATTTTGATGAGTTAGATGCATTCTCTAAGAATCTGGTCAGCTCGTTTTGTAAAGGTAAATTTGCTTTGTAAATTTTGTACTTTATTTCTTTCAATGTTTTTGCATGTTTTGTTGATTTGATCAACTAGAAGATCACGTGAAGAATGAAAGATGAAAGTTTTTTATACCCAAAAATGATAAAGTTCATGTAATTGTGCAACAATCCTTAGATTTCAATATGCCAAACTCTCGCCTACCAAAATTTTGCATTAAAATATATATTTAATTGCATGAGATGTTGAAAGATTTTTCGCGCTTAGAACTTTGTTTTCTTCTTCTTCCGTATAGAGTGCAAACGAAACATAGACATAGCATTTCTTATTTCCACTTCCAACTCATTACAAGATGTGAAATCAATTCTTAACGCAATGATATTGGTGTTGAACATTCAAAGATACGACGGTACTCATGTTGGTGTGATGACATGCGAACGACAAGGAAATATTCAGTTAAAATTAAACGAAAAATATTTGAGAAATGATATTCTAGATACAATACACTCTCTTCAGCCAAGAAATAGCAGAGCAACTCTGGATAAGTGTTTAAGCGAAGCCAGCAGGAGTATGTTTGATGTAAAGGGAGGAGTACGCAATGCTGTTGACAAATACCTTATCGTATTTGATGATGGTAATTCTTTGTTTAAACAGACAGCAGTAAATGATGCAATTTCTACGCTGAAGAATCAAGGTAAATATCTAAATAAATACTTAATGTATGAGACATTTGCTATATGAAAATTGCTTTGTTCATTCAAAGTGTTTCATTTATCATGATGATGAAACATTTTCTTTGTTGCATTAGTGACTTCAGACCAAAGGTCAGAGTTTGCCAATAGAATTCGCCATATAGGGATACAGTAGATGAAGACTATTAGAAATCGATGTGTTTTTTCTTTAAATCAACACACAATAGGATACCGTAATGTACAATGCTCTGGATGCAAAAATTTACCTTTAAAATGGACTCTATATACTCATATAATGTAAAACGTGCAAAAGCGTTCGGTTTCAAATTATATAATTAAGATTTCACATCGGACGAAAGACCATCGTTGTCAATACTTATTCTTATATCAAATTTAAACAGGTGTAACGGTGATTGGTATAGCAATCGGAAATAATCGTGCTGCTACCAGCAGCATGAGAACCATCAGCTCACCACCAAAAACATTTTGGTTTAAAACAGTAGGACAACGTGAAATTGATAATGCTGAATTGTTTGCAAGATCTTTATCCGAACTTATTTGTAGAGGTAAGTCAAAGCTTATATGATACCTAAAGGTATATGTATATTGTCTAATGTATGCTTTTATTCTATTTACTTTGAAGAAAAACCTGGAAAATGTCCATATTTTGATGAATCGCAAAGATGTGATTCTTCAAAAAAAAATGAATGCGAATTAGATACAGATAGAGCAAGTGCATGTTCTGGTGATTTGATATGTTGTGCACAGCCTTGCGGAAGGAAATGCGTCAAACCAATATCTGGTAATGTACTTTGTCGGAGTCTTTTCATTAAGTTGGCATGAGAAAAGTACGGTATTTTTTAGTAATTTAATTTCATTTGCTTGCTTACCATAAAGTGCTGTTCAAATTATTTTAACTGAGGATATTTACTTATAGATTGTTTTAATCCCACTGAAATAGCTGTGTTGTTTGATACAACTGGCACTCGAGGAAGTCCTCATGAAGAAAATACATTACGGACGTTGAAAAATTTTTGAAAGAACTTTTGCACGGTTTTAGTATTGGTCAATCTGCAGCTAGAGTTTCTTTGGTAACCTACAGTGATGAAGCAAAGCGAAATATGAAGTTTAGTGAAGGAGAATCATTCGAAAATGTGGAAAGAAACATTAATCGCATTACATTGTCCAATAGAAATGAGAGAAATTTTACGGACTCTCTTCGTTTTATGAAGGATAACGTCTTCAGTTTGAAAGGAGGATTGCGAAAGGTTGAGATACAAAAAGTTCTTTCTTAAATTAATACACAATGCATGCCAAGTCCTGACTGAACCATATTTATGGGAATATTACATGAAGTTTTCATTATGTTGCAGATTGGACGACGTGTTCTTCTTGTTTTCTCATCTGGAGAACCAACAAACAAAATTTTGATGCTTCAAATATCGTGCACTCTCTAACAGATGATGAAGTTGATATTTGGGCAGTGCATGGTGGAACGAGTACTTCAAGTTATCTCAATGAAGTAGTGCCTGAATCATCTCATCTTTGGACTATAACAAACCTTAACGATGAAGACTCTAAAAATTTCCAAAAGGAATTTATCTTAAATGTTTGCTCGAGTAAGTATTTAAAATAGTTATGATAAATTAGTGTGTATATGCTTCAGTATAAGTCAAATTTATTAAGAAAAGATAATCTTTAAAAGTCATATACATTGACTTTGCTAAGGGTAGAGAAGCTAGCTAGAAACATTCATACATACACCAAATTCAATCCAGCTTTCTGACCGTAGACATGCATGTCAAAAATACGAAATCAAATTACAAAATTCGGACAATCAAATGGTCGGACAGAAGTATTGTATATGTAGAATAGTGGCAAGAAAATAGAAAGAAGATACTTTTGGGGAATTTGTAATTCTTATTTTAGACATACAGGACGACTAATTATGAAGGCAGAAGGTGTAAAGTAAATAAAAACCATTTTCCGTCAAATCAAAAGAAAGCTTGGATATGACATACACTATGCAGATACAAAGTTAAAGAGAAAAACAAAAACATCTCTAACGTTGTCACGAATATTACGAGTGCCGTAACCAAGTGTTGATGAGTTTCATATGTATTTGTCAAAACAAGCTTAAAAGACAAAGAGTATGCCAAAAATATATGATTGAAAATTTGTTAAGCGCATGTCCAAGCACCAATTTCAGAGCTCACTCTGTCACAAATTAATTAAGAATTAATCTGAGCATGCGCAGTCAACTCCACCAACTCTCCAAGTTCATGGTCATAGCAACGACCAGCTGTATGTACTAGTACCACTTATGAAGTGATTGGCTCGCTCAGTCACAAATTTTCAGATAAATCCTCCGCGCATGCGCATTCTGCTTGAATTGATTTGATCAGCTGCCCAAGTTCATGGTCATGGCAACGATCAACTGCATCTACTAGCACCGATGTTGAAGTAAATAGCATGCTTAGTAATGGAGAAATGATCTGCCCATGCGCTCAAGCGATTAGGTATGCAGTGGCTTAGGTGGACCTGCGCACCCCTGAGAACCCCCGAGCAATGCCTGTCGCAGGCAATCTCGGGGTCTGATGGGCGGAAGCTTGCTATTGACATCCCCAAGTAGGATAGCGTGGAGGGGCTGAAATCATCTACCGAAACGTTCACATGCGGCGTTCTAGTGCCTTACGCTTAAGAAGGTATCGTGAAGCATGGACCGAAAACGGATTTTTGCTTTTGAATCTTATCTTTTTGTTCACAAGAGATTCTTCTTATAAAAAAACTAGAACATCCAAGGATACTGCAAAGTTTCAAACAACTTCTGCCTTTTTGACTTATAATTCAAACCAACTATAAGCATGTTTATACGTTTTTTTGTTGTTATCGTTTACAATGTAACTTTCTCACAACTCTCTCGTGATGAACGAAAGCCTCCTTTTACAATATAATTCTCTCATCATGAGCGAAAGCATCCATGAGCTCCGTGGAGAAAAGGATCATCTACTTTTTTACAATAGTTTTTACGAAGACAACATTTAATAAGCTAAATTCAACTCTTAAAATTTTAAGTCATTTTCGATGATAAATTTCTTTTTAACTAACAATATTTTCATGATTAAATCTAGAAAGTAACTTCACTTCTCTAGTAATTTTGCGATTAAACAGTACACTTTTCGTATTCAAAGAACTTCTTTTGATTGCATAGAGACAACCGTCCAATTTATTACGTACATGCATGTAGTATGCACTTCATTGCAAGAAACCACCATACCGAAAGATATCCAGATCTGATTTTAGCTGCATCTGTACGTCAAGCCGTAAAGGCTCGTAATAATTCTTGCCAAAAAAGTAATTTGCGCCACAACATGCCAGTATTCAAGCTTTCCTCTGATCGTTATGCTTTTTTCTAACGCAAAATATTTAATATTTACTGTTATGCCTTATGCCTTTATAAATAATCGTTCTGAATAACTAGAATCAGATTCGCAAATACCCCAAAACTCAAAAGAATCTCCTGACCATTTTATTGCCACTATTCTACATACTATATCCGATCATTTGTTTAACCAAATTTTGTAATTTGATCTCGTAATTTTGACACGTGTGTCTACCGTCGGAAAGGTGGATTGGAAAGCTTTGTAATTTATTACAAACGTACTTGTTCAATCTTATAATGTAAAATATATGCACAGAGTGATGAATATGAATCTAATTTTGCCATCGCTTTTCTATTACCAACACTTTCAAAACATTTTGTTTTCAATTTAGCAAAGGAAGGTATTTGTCGAACTCCAGTATGTCCATCAGACAGAACAAGCAAATGTAACAGGGATTATTCATGTCCAGGAAGAAGCAAATGCTGCTCTGGAGCTTGTTATGGCTGTGTAGAAACAAAAACTGGTAGATTTCGTTTCATTAGACTGAACTCTCCAAATTATCACAATTATAGCAAAAAATGGAATATATGATTAGGGACTAAGAATGCACAGAACATATTTGCGCGTTGCACCTAAAATACAGAAAAAAGTTCATTAGTTTAACTGTGTTTTTTAGACTGCAGATTTCCCATGGATCTCGCTTTTATCGTGCAAAATTCACTGACCGAAAATGATTTTCTAAGAGTAAAGCGTTTTATGAAAGAAGTGATGAAGCATTGGAAATTGGACGAACAAACACATATATTGGTATTATTACATTCAATGAAGATGCTAATATTAATCTGGAATTTTCCGACAGCAATGGTACGTCTCAAAAGACTAAAAACTTTTTGTTTCATATTTGATGCACATCACGTGAGTTTGGCTGTCGTGACGACAGACTTCATCATTATAGGGAGAAATTAAATCCAAAGATGAACTGAATTTTCTCCGTAGAAAAAGTTACAACTTTGTTTTCTCTTTAGTCATTGGTGCAAAAAGAAAAGAAGAGAAATTGTTTGACGCAGTTGACAAACTGACAAGATCACGTGATCGTTCAACGTCTGGAGTTTATAAAGCTTTTATGTTAGCAAAGGAAAGGTTGTTTACTAGCGAGGCAGGATCGCATCCCAATGAAATCAGGGTAGGTAAATTATTTTTGAACGGAAAGAAATGTCGGTAAGAGTCAATCTTTAAAATGACATTCATAGTTTATTGAGATTAATATTGTCAAAATATAACAATTTTTATTTGACTCTTTAAGTTTGTTTTGTTTAGAACGTTATCTTTATAACAGATGGAAAGTTGGAGCAAGATCTGATTAGAGTTGTGCGATCACTTCGTGTTGATATTTCCAATATCTTTCCATTTTTTGTGAGTGACATCGACGATGAAGACGTGGATATTTTGGAGAGGATAGCTCAACCAGAAGGAAAAAACAATGTTTATCTAACAACATCTTTTGATGGTTTGGATCAATATAGGAACAAGATTGCAGAGAATCTATGCATAAGAGGTAAACATGTAAACTTGGAATGTTGAACCTACTCCTGGTAGAATGTGATGCCATCTTAAGCAGGGGTGTTACTATTGGGGGTGTCTTGGGGGTATGACACCCCAATAACTGAAAACAGTGCTTTTGCACGACAATTTGCTGCCAGGTTGCAGGCAAAGTTCAGGTAGAAAAAAAATGCCCTACCTGAAAAACCATGACAAACGTGGGTGAGAAATACAATGACACACAAGCCCGAAACAAAGCAGCTTCTCTCAGAAAATGTACAAGTTTGTGATAATATTGACGCGGTTAATAGTGAGAAAGACCAAAACCTGACGATGCGGATGCATAAGCTACAGTTTAATATCTTTGATGGCCTTGCATCAAATTGTTAGATTAAATTTTGGAACGAATATGAAACTCTGAATCTGAATTTAAGTATCAAACAGAAGCGGGTGCTGAGATTGCAAAGATGCTAGATTACACTTTGGCCTATCAGAAGTAAAGAAGAATATGCAGGCATTCAGAGGACCGAGACTTTGGCGATAATCTCACCTATCGCCCCCTCTTGGGTAGCATTGGTTGACACGTGTCTTCCAAAAAGATATTTTGTACTCATTCCCTAAAAGTGCTCCCATTTGAGTTTTGGAAAAAGCTGTCTAAAGCCCCGGAACATGAAAATGATAAAGAAGCACGTGGCATTGGCACTTCTTCTCTCACAAAATTGCACAACTCCATTACCGCACAAGAAAGAATTCTATGACCTGTGCAAACCATTTTATATTGCATGTACCCTCTCCGTATCTTCAGCTGAGTGCAAAAAATTTTCTTTGCTGAAAATAAAAATTAACTGAGAGATTAAACTGGGAATGGAAAAACAATGGTACAGTGGTGCTTGCTATAAACAATATATCACCAAGTCATTGAACTTGGATGAGATAATGAATGTATTTAGTTGCATTCAGAAAAACGCGCAAATTGCGTCAACTAAAGCTTATGATGAAAATATTATAATTCTGTAAGTATATGATAACACGGAAATACTCACGTTGCAGAGGAAATTTTGTTTCCCAGCGACGTAGTGCAAATTTTTTTGTACCCTTCATAAAAAATGTGTTTAGGACTGTACCTCCTCTCACTCAACGCCGGAGAAATTGCCTTTCAAAATAAAAAAACAACAAAGGTTATTGTACAAAATGAAGATACAATGAGCGATGAAATATGTGTTTCTTCAATTATCCTATCAACCAAAAGTTACTAAACGTATAATCTCAACATGGCACTAAAGCGTTTAGCAATCAGAAAAAAATGTAAAGAAAAACTAACAACTGAAATTTAAGATTGTTCATATTTACAGAAGTCTGTTCAATAAATTACAGAAATATAGGTTTTGACTGTAATGTTGAATTAATTGAATTTAAGGCCTTTCTTGGAGTAAATGTGTCAAAAACGTTGCCTTTTGAGGAGTCTCACTAAAACTTATTCATTCCCATTTTTTGCCATGCTGATTACGAAGAACTTTTTTGAGGCCAAGCTTCAGTATAGAGAAAAATTACTCTGCACACCCTAATAAAAGGTCCAAGTTACGCTCCTTATTCTACAGGCAGACACAGCGGCTTACATTGCTTTTAAATTGGAAATGTGTCCTTGTAAATGAAAATATGTGTCCTTTATAAAGAAGAAATAAAATACATTCTATTCTTATCATTTAATAGCAGTAATGCTTTTCTTATTTGTTTTTGTCAAAATTCTTCCGATTTCCACTGAAAATGGAATGATTCTTAAGATGAAAAATATTAAAACTCATCTTATCTCATTCGATTTTTTACATAAAATGCATTGAAAGTTGAAAAGTTATGGAGAATGGGTGCTAATAGGCTGCAAGTTACTGGTGTGACAAATGTAGATCAATAAGAATGCTAAATGAAACTCATTGAAAATGTTGGAGTTGAAATGTGCCCTGAAATATTCTTATTTAAAAGCCTGTGAGCAGGAACTATAATTTCCTATGAAAACAACTAAGCAAGTAATTTTTTGCAGGTGGAAGACTTCAAAGTGCAGAGGAACCTGTTATTGTGGTGAGAGTAAAATTCGGACAGATAAATGAATTCTCATAATATCACACTTTCTTAGTCTATCTGCAAAGGAATTATTCAATGTAATGTCAACATAATTATTTCTCTAGATAAAAGGGCCTCGTGGTGACACAGGATCTATTGGTGAACAAGTAAGACTGTGTTCTGTAAATGTGGACTATAAAGAAACACAAATTTTCAAAGCAATTTTAAAACGGTTGCCATAAGTACACATGTTTGCTTTGAGCAGTGTGATTAAGACAAGTCTGCCTTTTACTGATGTTTGATTGAAGTTTCAACTTTCATATCTGTCGTAGTTTTATAAATCATGTCCCCACCCGAAAAATTAGTGGAATGCAGTCTTTAACACATTTAATAGTTTTGCAAGCTCGCAGAGTATTTGGATGTTTTCCTTTAAATGAGTTTTTTTGAAATCAATTGTTTTTTAGGGATTTTAGCATGTATACATAAATATTTCTCCTCCCCTATTTGTTTCCCTAGTGAGCAGCAATGACACTGGATACATTCGACAAACGTTGTTTGAAAAGTACTACAAACAACGCTAAAAGTGTCTTTTTTTACGTCTTGGCTATAGTACATATATTATTTCATGGTACAAACTTCTTAACACTACATCAGTCTCTTAAAAAATCGATTTTTAATGACATAATATAGGGTGAAGAAGGAGAACCTGGATTCAAAGGATCTAAGGGTGCTCCTGGGGAGTTTGTAAGTAGCCTTCGTTTTGATGACATTGACGTTTGAATATTAAATTTTAAGCTTTCATGAATTATGACTTTGGACACAATCTTATATTTGTTTTAAAGATATACTGTACATGCAACGTTAATCAAATAAAAAAGATTGAAATAATTTGATTTGTCAACTATTTGTTTTTTTATTCATATGACAGATAATTATTTAGTGAATAACGAATCTAGAAGAATACAAAAAATTAACATGCATTAGGAAGATTTCGTGTAGTTTGAAATCATTTAGTAAAAGTTGAACATAATATTTCATAGTTTTTTGTTAAGTTTCAAAAATGAATCTTATATTATCACTTTATTACGTCAACGACTGAACATTGCAATGCATAAATGATTTTCTTCTTACTTTCAAAATTAGGGTCCTATTGGTCCGCCTGGCATTCCTGGTGAACCAGGCAGTCCTGGTATTCCTGGATTATACGGCCCTGTTGGATCTCCAGGTTTAATTGTAAGTACTGGTCTCAGTATTTCTATACTTCTAATATAAGTTGTCAAAAAATAAATTTAATCGTATTCATGTTTCAAATGACCAAGTTACTCTTTACCCGAGTTGTTAGCCTCCAGAAGAGGCTTAGGAGCCATGGGTTCCTTGGTGTCAAGACGCCCACAATTTTTGGGGTGTGCGCAGGTTTCTCTCGTATGACTTCCTTGAACATTTATGACATAAATGCCAAGTTTTTACAGGTGTACCAAATTTCAAATCAATAAACCTTTAATGACATGACGCAGTGAAAACAGTTTCATAAGTTTTGTAAATATTTTAACTAATGTGTAGTTTACATGAAACACCCACAATAAAAGCTTCCAAAGAGGCCATCAGCAACCTTTTTCAGGATAGTCAGTACAGACTCGATGTATTTTTTCTCATTTCATCTATTATGTAGTCTATCGAGCGCTCTGGACGAAAAGGACCTTTGATTGATGGCTTGACATTGCGAAGTGCTGAACAAAACTTTTCAGCAGTTATTGCATCTGAAATTCTTAAGGTATTTAGAAAACCTGGGTTTTATAATAAAATTTACAAAAATCGAATTGAGCATAGTTTGTCAACCTCAAAATGAAATGCTATGAAACGCCATTGGTATTTGTAATTATATCACGGCCAATAGAATCAGTATGATTGGAATTTTGGGCAAGCAAGTATTCGTTAATTATATCACGGCCAATAGAATCAGTGTGATTGGAATTTTGGGCAAGCAAGTATTCGTAGAAACTTATGCGATGTATATTTTATCATTTCATTAATGTCGAAACTGGGTGTGTTATAACGCTACTGTGCGTATGTATATGCTTTTATTAATTGATTTGTTTTTTTTGTTCCACAATTCAGTTCTTTTTTTTAGAATCTAGTACCCGGAACAAGAGGACCAAAAGGAAAAAAGGGCGAGCTGGTTTGTTGTCTTTTTTTCTTTTTTAACATGATTAACAATGCATTAATTTGCGCTAGCTATTGCGTATTTATTATAATTTCAGGGTCCTTTTGGGACACCAGGAAATCCAGGTGGTATTGGAAAGTATGGTCAATGCGTAAGTTATTTTTCCAAAAATAACACCTAAATTTTGGCAAAAACATCGAGCTTTAAATTCATTATTCATAAATCATTGTGTAAAATGTCATTTTAATTTTGAAAACACATGTGAAATATCAATTTCAAAATTTCTTTTAATTCAATTGTTTTAAAGGGAAGTGAAGGTGTTTTTGGTCAAGTTGGCCATGATGGACCAGCCGGGAGAGAGGCAAGTTTTTATAACGGATAAACCATTGCAAATCTCTAAGAGCTTACGCATATTTTGAGCTAAGTTTTCACTCATTATCCACGTTCATTAAGTATACGTAAATATTTATTCTATATTTCAGTCATTTGCAAGTAAGCTTAGTTAGGTGTTGTTTGATTTAAAAATTTTTATGTGCAGGGTAGTCGTGGTATTGATGGAGGAACAGGTTCACCTGGGTTGCCCGGGGAAAAGGTTGGTTTGATTGTTCTAAAAAATGAATAAAGAAATTACCATAAAGCCTTTATTTTATCGTAGGGAGAAATGGGGGATGAAGGAAATCAAGGGAGAAAAGGCGAAAAAGGTCCACGTGTAAGTTTTGATACTAAATTTTGATTTTATATTTCAATCTTTAAAGTCTTTATCCTTTGACACTCACCATTTAAAAATAAAGTAACATATTTCTCTTAGAGTATATCTTTTTAAACGATGAATAATCATCTCAAGAAAATAGAATTGGTCTGGTGATCATAGAAGGTTCATATAATTCCAGTTAAATGTACTCTTATTCTGGGGTGTAGGGAGAATTTGGTGGACAAGGGACAATGGGAGATAAAGGAGACAATGGAGACGGGGTAAAGACTGATATTTTTGCCCAACTCAAAAAAAAGAAGATCATGGAAGATCTTCACTTGTGTCTAAAATGGTTTTTTGGGAATTTTTTCAGGGTGATGTGGGAATAATTGGTGAAGACGGTCCACGTGGGAAAAAGGTTAAACATATAATTATTAAATTTCAAACTAAGCTACCTCAAACAGAAAAAACAGACTGTCATTATTTGTAATAACATCTCTTTATATCAGCTAAAATCTGCCAACAATTAATATGATGTAATATATTGAGGCTCCGGAGATTAAAACACTTCTGATGCGAATAATACAAACTCCCATTCAAAGTTTCGTAAATCACATCATTCTAAACAAACTTTGTAATGTAAGTTAAATTTTTCATATTTAATAGTTGTGATGAACTTAATGTGTTGTCATTAGGGAGAAAGAGGAGAGCCTGGTGTTGATGGTGAAACTGGATTCAAAGGATTTATAGGAGGACAAGGCGAAGAAGGACAAAGAGGAATGAGAGGGAAAGCGGTTAGGCTTTCCTAAAAAGTTTTTTTTTGTCTTGTAGTAAATTTCCGTGCATATTTGGTTTTATAACTTTTATTACAACAACAATATTGAACCTCTTTTTTACATTTCAATTCTCCTCAGGGTGAGCGAGGTCGACCTGGTTCCATTGGTTTTAGAGGGACGTCTGGTTTTCTGGGTGTTCAAGGTGCAGTGGGGCTTCCGGGAACAACTGGTCAGCCTGGAGAAGTTGGGGATGTTGGTAGTGCTGGTATAAAAGGAAAGCCAGGAAAGAATGGCAAACGTGGTCCAGGTGGTCCCAAAGGAAAGCCAGGAGACTTGGTGATTATGCTATGTGTTTTGTGTTATATTTTATTATAAGAATATTTTTATAATAGCTGAGCAATTTTCCATTCAAAAGGGTGATCAGGGAGTAAAAGGCATGACTGGATTTACTGGTGTTAGAGGAGAAAGTGTATGAGCAATTTTTTGTGTTTTTTCATAATTTTTACAAAGTGTTTTGTCATATTTTTGTCACGTATTTTGCAGTGTACATATGTATGAAAATAATATTTAATATGTAGGGTGTAATGGGCGATATTGGGAAAGATGCACTTAATGGAGAAACAGTAAGGGTCTAAAGAATTGAATGAGAGCTAAACATGATATTTACAATAAATTGTGATTCAGGGTGAACCCGGAGTAGATGGCATTAACGGAGCCCAGGGAGACAGTGGAATGACGGTATGTGTCATTTTTCGTGTTTCCACAGAATGTTTGAAGTTTCAATATTAAACATAACACGTATATTACTGACTTATGAATCTTAGGTAAAACTTTATATTCCTAAATCCTGAACAATAGTGCAATCGCTTTTTTTCACAGGGCGAAAAAGGCATTGGTGGTGTGAATGGAATTCCTGGATCAAAGGGAAGACTGGTACAAGTTTTTCTACTTGTTTTTTTATTTCCTTATATCTCTAAATTCCCATACAGGCTTCTAAAAAAGTTCTATTTGCAACTTTTACTATCATCTTTTTTGGCTAAGTTAGTAAGTTTATTAGCCAAACGCAAGCATTGATGAATTGAATCAAAGTCAAAAGCTTATCACTTTTCGCACTTGACTTGTACAACTCAACACTCACTTTACAAAAATGGCACCAAATCATATTTTTCTTAAAATATCAACAATTTTAAGCATTCTTTAGTCGTACTCAGAACAAAACACAATAAAATCAAACCAATTGCTTTTGCCTTTTTATTTCAGGGAGATATCGGTGACACTGGGAAACCTGGACGTAGAGGAATTGATGGATCACCTGTAGGTAACCATTATTTAATACTTGGATTTTTATCAGATTTCCCACTGAAATTGTAGAAATTTAACAATTCACTCACAAACATTCTAATATTTTTTGGGTTTTTTTGTATTTATCATATACCTGTTGCGTTAATATTTCGGAAATGCTGTTAGCTAAAAGCTAAAAATGTTGTTTTCTCCTGATTGCACTCTTCAAAACAGTGAACAAGGAAATATCAAGGAAATTGAATTCTAGTTGTTTATATTACTGCCCAGAAGAGAGTTTTCAATAAATCCATCCAATAAAAAAGAGTATTAATTAAGAGAGAAACGTTTCGTCTTGTCTCTCAACACATTTATTAGATAATGTACTCGTAGGAATGGCACTCTCTTGGAATACATTTACTCGTTGAGTAAATTATTAACTGCATTTTTTCCAATGTGATTACCTTTGTAAATGAAATGCAGTCAATCATTTGCCGTGATTGGTAAAATCTATCGTTGAGCACAGCAATGAGAAAAAGGTTATTTATTTATGACGTTTTGTCTAAGACATCTTCTAGTATAAAATGACAAATATTTACACGAGGCTTCAAATATGAGCTGATAATTATAAGTTTGAAGGGTGTGAACTATAAATTTCATACAAAAAGAACTGAAAGTTTGGATGACAGGGGAAAATGAAGGGAAGACATGACAGAATGAAAAGCCAAAACATGTTGAAGTTGGTTAGGGGAAACGGAGATATTATGGAGGTTAAAAAAGGATTTAAGCTTAGAGAAAAGAAGGGTTTTGTGAATCATGAGCTCGTAATTGAGGAGGAAAAGAGAATTGGGAAATGATTAAAATCAGTAGAAAAAGATGTGTTGTTTATATGAGAAAGACGGAAAAATGATTGAAACCACGATAGAAAAAGATGTGTTTGCTATGTAGGAAGCAATAGCGGATGGTACACATACTGTAAGATGCGCAACAGGAAAAACATCCACACTTTAATGAGTATACAACTTCAGATTTCTGAAACTATCTGCTGATTGAAATATCTGTCGTTGTGTCTGAAGATGTCTTAAGTAAGTAATAGTATGGTTGCCTCAAGATTTTTGTTATCACAGGGACGTTTACTGACGTATTTCCTTACTTATAGGGATGAAGGATATTTTGTTCTAAATATCCCTCATCAATATATTTATTAGGGACGCTTAGACTGAATATCCCTCATCAATAATATAACAACACACCTTGTTTTCACATTTTAATTTCGTCATGTAGAAATGTCTTCAGCTTGCATTTCAACTTTTCCATGGCTGAATCATTTTCAATTCTGCTGAATGAATTGGTCAATAGCATGATGTCTTCGGCAACTCCTATGAAACCACAATACTTCGAGGGCAAGTTTACCAAGTCGAAAGTCCTCTTGCTCGACTGTTGTTACATCGCTGATTCTTCAGAGTCAGACGAGAGTAAATCTTTCGCTCTTTTGTTCAAAATCGTCAAACTTGTGTTTTTACAAGCCTTATAGTGCCTCACAATTTATGGCGTTGAGGGTGACAGAAATTGTCTTTCCCTCTCGTCAGAAACCTTCTTGTCACTAACTTGGGAAAACCTGTGATGAACCATCAATAACTTCGACAATAATTAACCTACAATATGTATTTGCAAAACAAATTCATACACAGATTCACTGAACCAATTAAAAAACAGATTACACAATTCAATATCTAGATGAATTTCTTTATTCCATCACTGACCATTAAGCCTTGAGAGATTAAGTAAAAATCACTCAGGCTGAGCTTTTAGACTTTTACTAAACCTCCATCGGTTTGCGGGAGAATTAATGACTATATAAATTTCCCAGAAAGCATGCGTTTATTTATAATTAAAGGCAAAATGTCTTAAAAAGGTATTCTCTAAATTAGTTAATGTTGTAGTTTTGCTGTAAAAATAAAAACCTTGCTGTTATGTTTTTATGTAACTGAAAGATATGTAAACGCATTTCAAATGACAAAAAACCCCAGAAAATTGGGCTTTTAGCCATAACAGATGTTCTATTGTATTGAAATCTGGAAACACTTGCTGTAGCATGCTGTAGGATTTATGGAATTTTTCTATTAGGGACAGAAAGGAGAGATAGGACCCGATGGACATCAAGGTCAACCTGGGGAAATGGTTAGTGATACAGTGAGAAAATGTGAGGGATCATTGCAAATATAAAACATGAGTATTATATTGAGTATCATACACAAAAACACATAAGTAATGTATTGAAAACAAATGTATGTACAAATATCTCATGTATATTTTATTGTAAACATATCAATAATTTTGTAAGAAATTAGAGTAAATCCATCAATGAATCTATTGAAAATAAACATTAGGCCTTGACACCAAAATATGCTCTTATTTTAGCCCTCGGAGTCTGGTGAAAAAGGTCGTCATGGTGACCGCGGTGAAAAAGGAAGCAGAGTAAGTTTTTTGTGGCGTCTTTTCGCCGTGAAAATATGCACGATGACAAAGATTAAATGCTTGATATCAAATGGGGCTTTGCGCATGTGTACATGCTATTGGTTGAAAAGTTTCAAGTTTTATTTGTCTAGGGTGATATAGGTTTTCCTGGAACTCGAGGTGCTCGTGGACCAAAGGTAAATTCATTTAAATTTCGTTGCGATATGACTCATAAGCTCAAAATTTTTACTTTTATTCCTATTGTTTTTCATAATATTTCAATGATTTAGGGTTTACCAGGCGAACGTGGTATCGTTGGATTTCCTGGAACTCCTGGATCACCAGTAAATTTAACATTGAATCTTAAAGTAGATTTCTAGTGGACAACTTTTTTTTAAATGCTATCAAGTATAATACTTCCACGAGTTAGTTGCGTAAAATAAACTGACTTCAACGCTATTCAACACTATTTATATTTTTATAGGGATTTCCCGGTACAGATGGTTATTTTGGGCCTCATGGTGCCATAGTAAGTTAAGCATAACAGTTTGCGGTGTTCATTTATGATGATTTCATTTGTGAATTCTTCTTGATTAGGGATATCCTGGACTGAGAGGGATCCCTGGTCTTCGTGGTGTTAATGGTTTGCAGGTTTGTCCTGGCTATTTGCAGCATACTTATACTTCACGTTGTGACATTATAATACGGCTGGGTAACACATTTAATCGAGGCAGGCAATATATGTGCAGCTCCACTTCTTTTTATGTTTTTGTTTATTTTTTTTTCGAAAATAATATTTTATGCAGCTGTGCGTACTAAAGCAGGCAACCTAAATAAGCAAAATTATTTTAAACATACCAATTGAACACAATGAAGTATTTTTGATTTATTGATGATAAATATTTTATTGTCTAGGGGAGACCTGGTCCAGTAGGTGAGCCTGGAGCCAAAGGAGTTAATGGAGAAAAGGTTGATTCCCCATATAAAAATATAAAAATGTGCTTCATGCGTGTTTTGTAAGAAAAAATTACAAAACTGTTGTAATTTCGAATAAATTATAGTGCTGCTTTATAATAAACTCAGCATTCAAAAAAAGTTGATGAACATTAGAACTGACAATTTCATTTAAGATTTTGTTCATTGTAGGGTTTTCGAGGTCCCCCGGGATTTCCAGGTCCTCCAGGTGTTGCTGCTCCACCGGTAAGGGATACATGTTGTTCATGCAAATTGGCTCAGTAAAAAATGCTTAATTGAAGCTCATTACCAAATATTGTGTGCATTTTTGACAGTTTTTTTGTCGTTTCTGGACGGTTTTCACCACTGATTACAAAGTCATAGTAGTATCACAGTAAAAAGTAGTATGCATTTTATTTGTGTTGCATTACTTTTGAAAAGACTTATAAGATTAAAGGAATTTTTTCCTCAATTTGTATGCAAACCAATGTGATGTTTTGACAAGGAAATACCAGAAAAAAAGAGCACTGTGATGAAAAATGTACACGTGACGCTAAAGAACAGTAGTTTTACACTATACCATACAGCATGCATGTATCAAAATAACAATATTCAAATGACAGACCAAATTCATTCAAAAGTAACTATAAAGGAGAATGTGGTTGAAGTTAATAATAATGACATAAACTTTGCTTAATTCCAATGCCAGGGTCCATTTGGATTTCCAGGTGAACCTGGAGAAGATGGAAAAAAGGGAGCGAGGGTTTGTACATCATTTCTTTCAATTTTACTATCGAATTCTTGAAGAAAGGATCAGATTTTTGTTATTTTTATTAAAACGTAAAATAGCTTTGAATAAGAGAAATCTTTAAAATGCATGCTTCAAATACCTCCCGATTTCCTTCAAGAAATTGAAAAATAGCATTTAACTAGTTAAGATGGCTGACTTCGAAAGGAGATAATTTTATTGTGAATACTTCAGATTTGTGGATGTTGATGATGGTCGTTCAGGTTAGCATAGTCCTTGGATGGACTGCTTTGTGTTGTTATCCAAGTTCTTTAGATCAACTTGCATGATAAGCTTATAAAAGATGGTCATTATGTATTTGTTCAAGTGTGATGAACTGTCCCCATCACCGACAATCCTTTTCATGACAGCAGAATTCAAGACAATCAACATCCACAATTTTTAATATAGTTACTCTATCAATATACAAGTTTCACGTGTAATGAAGTTGCAATTTATCTCTAATTTTAACATTTTTTCATGTTTAAGGGTGTTCGTGGGTTGACAGGAAGTGTTGGTAACGATGGTGTCATTGGCAATAAGGTTAATGATGAAATAACACAATGAGTTTGATTTTCTTTAAAAAGTTGAGCAAGGGGTGTATTTTATGAATCATTTTGTTAAATAACGCTTTTCATACAAACACAAAGGAACGTTTATGACATATTCATAATCACAAGTAATCATTCTGAAATAATTTCGCTACTTTAATAGTTGATGTGTGTACCTGTTTCAATTGTCATTCATGTAGCTACTCCTGGTTTATTTCTTTGTTCATATTTACTATTAGATTTTCTTGTCTCTTTCAAATAAGTAATTCAATGTTTTTAGGGTTTACGAGGAACACGAGGCATTCAAGGCAACAAGGGGAAAAAGGTTTGTAAATAATGTAAGCAAGTATAATTTGTCTATGATAACTTTGACAAAATGGTTTTTATTAGGGATCAACAGGATTAAAAGGGGTTGGAGGGGCTCCTGGCGATAAAGTGAGTAGAAGTTTTATCTAAATTCAATGTATGTTCTTATTTTAGCTATTGTGTTTAGTGACATAGCATGTGATGCAGCAACAGATGTTCAACGTGCAGAAGGCAACAAGCTGAAAATAACAGCAAATTTTTGTGAGACAGAGACGTAATTAAGCCTTACATAATATAACAATTAAAGGTTTCTAAAATTGTTGGACTTATTTTGCTTTTGATTAACTTGGCAGTTCAACTTATCCTTAGAGATATTGTCCTTTTATCGAAAATAACACAGCAGTTTTCTTGCGAGGAATATGCCGAAAAAGGAAACCCATTCATTGGCGTTCTCACATCATGTTTTTTCAATAGGGATTTCGTGGAAGACCTGGGGCCATTGGATCACGAGGAGAAAGAGGATCTCCAGTGAGTACCTTCTGTAAACATAAAAAATCGCATTTTGTCTTCTAGAGTTTTTTTCAAAACTAAAGCATTAACAATCAATCAATCAATCAAATTAAACAGTGGAACGCTTCGTACAAGCTTGATAATTCTTACATTTTATATGAAAAAGTTTTGTCAGTATTCGCTCTAGAGTTTCAAAATATGTAGAAATAGAATAAAACTTTTTTTACTTTTTGTCAAAGGGACCAAAAGGACTACGTGGTATGGAAGGGGATGATGGTGCACGTGGTAAAAAGGTATTATGGAGAATGTTGTTATGAAACTGTACTGATTTTTCATTGAACAACTTCTTTAGTAGTCAAAGACGGAAATATATTTTGAAAAAGTTTTATTATAAATATAAACAGATCACTAATGGTTAACGTTATAATGCATGCAGTGAATGAATAACAATAAAGTAATTTATTGAATAGAGCTATTTTGTCATAAATTATAAATATTTAAAAAAAAATTTAAGTATCAAAATATTATTACAAAGTGAATATATTTGAAATAGAACTTGATACTTAAAAACACTTTTCAAAACCTTAAATCACAGCCGTCACTATTGGTGTGGATAAAAGTATTGTTTTGAGAGCATTAGCAAATAAACACCCACCATGAGTTTTCTAATAACTGCAACGAACCGGTAGTCCTAACGATGAGTCTTAGGTTGTACAAAGCTCAGATAGGTAGCGCAAATCCATTGGATAGAGAAGACTATCACACGTCGGCTATATAATAGTATTTGCTTCATAATAATGCTCAACTTTGAGTCATGGCACTATTTCATTGAAGTCTCATTAGTAGATTTTTGATAAAAATAGCAAATTTTCCTCTCAGATAGAAGCATTTAAAAGGCCAAGGTCGAAATAGAAAAATAATCTCACGATAATCCAATAATGAAATCAGTTCTTACAGAAATCACTGCATTCATTTTTGATTTGTTATCTGAGATTTCTCAAAAGAAAGTAGTTTTCAGTAAAAATCCAATGGGAATACTGTAATAAACTTTCTTGTAATTATGACAAATACCGCGAAAGGAATGATATAATATGTTATGCTATCAAAGATTCATTGAGTTGCGCAGACCTAGTAAGATCGGCAATTGTTGAGCGGGGCTCATTTTTATATACCAACTGTAATATTCCGTAGAAAGCAATGGATTTCAAAGGGACTTAATACGACATATCATTCTTATATGAGTATTGCGAGGCAACAACTATCGATCTTGGACTAATATTTGACGGTCGTTACACTTAAGCATATTAAAAGTATTAGATTTATTTCTGTATAACGAACATCAAAAAAAGTTCATAAGTTTATCAACTCTGCTGTATGAAAGCCTTGACTTGTACAAAACAAAAAAATAAAAGAAAGAGCAACAGGGTATCTTGGCTATTTCTATTTTTTCATTCGTGACAACTATTGCTGTTAAAAGTTCTTAACTGTTATTTGGAGTTGCCAACATATCATGTTATAAAAATATTTACATGAAGGCAGTTCATTTTATCCTTACTTCGATCATCAAGCGAACAGTTTCTCATACAAAGTAGTTGCATGATTAAGTTCTTTAAGGTTCAAAATGAAATTTATATCAAATTTCAAGCTTTATAGAGCCTTCCACGATTGCAGATTATATTCTTGCTTTCACTAGAAATTATGGCTATCATTTTACTCTATCACACATGACTACCCGCCTTGACACTTGTATTTTGCGCAGTGTTATTAATGGCCTTAAAATACTTCATGTTTATTTCTACGTTTTTTACAGCTGTTTTTCTTTTCAAGGGCAATCGTGGACCAAGAGGACAAATTGGATTGACTGGTCTGGATGGAGACAAGGTTAATATTTCAGTTTTTGATCGAAGATAAGATAATTATTTTTAATCGGGTAACATGTTCTTTTTTCTGAGTTGAATACATCTACAGTTGTTGAAATTTGAACTTTATTAAAGGGCGAAGTTGGAAGACGTGGAGTGTTGGGTCAAGCGGGGAAAAATGGAGATCCAGTAAGATACGTAGTCTTAGAAATGCTAAAATTTCTGTCAATTTACCTGTGAATAATTTAATTTTTTGAGAAAATTGTTACTAGGGAGAAACAGGATCTAAGGGAACGCGAGGAAAAAAGGGCGCGAAAGGCGGCAAGGTTGTTTTCTTTATAGCTTCATTTAATTATTTTATTGCATCTAATTCATTTTCATCAACGTTATAAGGGAGTCAGGGGTGATACAGGGATCCCAGGAGACCAAGGGCAAACTGGAATAGATGTAAGTTTTGCAAAAGTTCCTCTGCATGTGATATAACATCTTTGGTATAAGACTTTGGTCTTTATGTTTGATTTTTTACCGGCTGATCGTTTTAGCTATAATGAAACCTTATTGAAGCTTGTCACTTTGTTGAAAATAGTTGTTAACCTATATTGTTCCAATTATTGAATACTAAGAAAATTTTTGTGTTCATCTCATTCTAATAATCATCAATAGAGTCTGAATTGCTCTTTGATTGAGTAAATTATTCACCAAATTTTACAAAAAATTACAAAATTACTATCATTACAAAAAGTCCATTCCATCTACATATTAATTACTTTATTACGTATGCCATCTTTATTGATGGAATCACGCATTTTGCTTCTGTTGAAGTCCAATGGAGTGAAAACGATTAGTAATTCGAAATGATGTCTGTTTTAATTGGTTTTGTCATCTAAGTATCTATGTGTTTTAAACAAAACACAAAAAATACGAAGAAAGTACAAAAACGTATTTTCTTAAAGGCTCAAAAACAAAAATTGTTTTACAGGGTTTTTCTGGAGCAGCAGGATTAATTGGTGACACTGGTCTTGGTGGTAATCCGGTGAGTTAAATTTGTAATTGTTTTGCTACAAATGTAGTCATGCTATATGCCAAAATTGAGAGCATTTTGTCACGTCACATTCAACAAAAGTCATTTAAAGTTACCATAACTGCTAAAACTTTGTCAACATTATTTACATAGCAATGTTTTGAGCATCAATGATCCACGCTCAATAACCGGATGAGTTAAATTTGTAATTGTTTTGCTACAAATTAGTGTAGTCATGCTATATGCCAAAATTGAGAGCATTTTGAAGAACTTAAAACTGCCATCACACAATAAGTCATTTAAAGTTACCATAACTGCTAAAACTTTGTCAACATTATTTACATAGCAATGTTTTGAGCATCAATGATCCACACTCAATAACCTTATGGGATGTATATTCTTAACTATTTGGTGTTTTTAGATTGACAACTTATAGATAAGATGCTTTATATTTTTAGGGACCTCCAGGACCTGCAGGATCTCCTGGAATCCAAGGTTTACCAGGAGAAAAGGTACGCATCAATGTGCAAAGACAATTTGTTTGTTCGTTTGATTTTATGACCTTTTATGTGTAAATGAAGTTCTAACGGTAACTTAAAATGTATACAGGGTCCAGAAGGTGACATAGGTGAACCAGGGCTACCAGGATTAAAGGGTAACCAGGTAAATTATGATAAATTGTCTTTTTTTAGCAATGTATAAATATAAATATTCTCTACATCATTTAGGGATACCCTGGATCCATTGGTAGTGTTGGGGCATCTGGTGAACGTGGCCAAAAAGTAAATTTGTGTTGTGATTGTCGGTTTTTAAATAAAAATGTGCATATTTCTGGATGGGGATTGTACTACAAAATTGTACGTAAAATATTAGTAAAATGTTAGTTTTCGCTTGATTGTAGGGTGTTGCAGGAACGGGTACGTTGCCTGGAGAAAAAGGCTATCGTGGACAAGAGGTCAGAGTTGTAAAATAAAATTATGCATTGGAGCAAACAAAAATATACTTTTGAAAAGTGCACTGCATACCATTGTGAATGGTACAGTTCTCAAAACAAATGCAAAAAATCTTAAAAAATGTTAACTTCAAAAAGCATTGTGCTTACCAACAGTATTTAGAAACGTTTCGTGATTAGTGATCATTATGCTTTACAACAGTTCAGGGCTGCTTGATTTTACAAGATATTTGTGGTTTGGTAAAGATAAGCTGATATCTATAAAATATGTTATTCTATTAAATTTGTAAAAAGTCATCATCAACGAACTTTCATTGCTGAAACTTGAACATCCTTCAGAATTCTTACCCCCGTTAAAAATCGAAAATTGAGTTTGGGGATTGAAGTCTTTTTTCAATAAGTGAAAATATCGACATCAACAATAATTTTGAAAATAGTTACATGTTATAGCATATTTCTAAGTGTATAGAATATTATTTTAATATTGGATAACGATTTTAGGGTATCAAGGATCAATTGGGGCATCTGGAGTTCAAGGGGTCCAGGGTGAAAAGGTGCAAAATACTTTCAAAATATTTTTGAAATCATTTGATGATTTGGTTTTCATTCAGAAAATAGCTGGCAGACTATGATAAAGCAACATTGAAATATTTTCGTTGCACATAGGGGGAAAAAGGAGATCCAGGACTTCTTGGTGGTAAAGGAGAAAAGGGAATAAAGGTGAATACCAAAAACTATTGCATGGTGTAGATGAAAATCTTTGTACTGAAAAACGTTCTCGTCAGATTCTCTCATAGATTATTGAAACTTTCTGTGCAGAGACCTGACCAGCATAATGAATATAGAAATATGACAGAAATATGTGTAGAAGTTTGTTTTGAAACATTAAACATTAACCTGGTTGTATAGGGTATTAAAAGTGAAACTGGCATTGACGGTGATGATGGTGAAAAAGGCGTCAAAGTAATGTCGATTTAGATTTTTGAAGTAACATTTTTCGTAATGTATTTGACAAAACAAAACTACTGGATTTTATTCAGGCGTAGAGGATATTCTTTCTCAAATATTTCTAGTAGGCGGGAAATTTTGGATCATTGAATTTTAGGGAGTTAAAGGAGTTAATGGAGACCAAGGTGTAACGGGAGATACAGGAATAAATGTATGTAAATGAATTTTTGTCAATTTATCTGTGTTCAAAATATTATGCGTGTTTTTATGCAGAAGTTGAATTTGATCTTCGTTAGGGTGAAGATGGGCCCCCTGGAAGAATTGGGATTCCTGGTGAACAGGGACAAAATGTTAGTTTAAACGTTTTTTGTGTCAATTATTAATTGAAATTATGTATGTCGTGTTTAAGAATAAAAATTATAATTAGGTAGTACAACATATAAAATATGATGAAAACTTTTGTGTATGTGCAGTTTTTACAAATAACATCAAAGTACAAATAAAATGCAGATAAAGAACATAAAAACACGTTTTATTTACTTGTGCTTACTTGCTACTTTCATTGTAATAAAACATTTTACTAAATGTGCTTTAAGGGTTTACCTGGCGAGAGCGGCAAAAAAGGTCAAAAAGGCTTGAAAGGAAATGAGGTAAAGAAGCATGTTCATCATACCGAACAATGTGCTTTGTTTACCTATTGTTCTCTCAGCGCTAAGTTTTGCTTAACCTGTTATTTAAATAAGTAACTTTCTAACTAAAACCATGATAGCATAATTGAAAATCGATAAAAATAAGAAGGAGGAAATTTTCGATAATCAGCCAACAAAATATTTACAAAATGAGAGGCGATTGAAAACATACTTTGTCTCTTTTATCCAGGGTATCCGTGGTCCAAAAGGTTCCTCTGGTAATCCTGGCAGCCAGGGTCAGATGGTACATAGAAATATTAGAGAAATTTGATGAACTTTTGTTAAAATGTTTTTGTTGTAAGCTTAAAATACAAGAGCATCTCGTGGCAAATTTTCTTTAATTTAGGGAGATGATGGACCCACAGGTGAAAATGGCGAGGCTTCAACTCCGGGTCTTAAGGTATGAAACTGCTTGAAACTGCTCAATGTTTTGTGTGAGAATAAGTTTGTGAATGAATCATGTTAAATTATGCTCAGTTTCCATTTTGTTACCATTGATTTTGCTTGTTATATGTGTACAAATTAATTACTACCATTAATATTTATCGCTTTACAAGGTATAGTTTACAAGTATATGATATACGTTGTCGTTAATAACGTATATTTTCATTTAACGCGTGCACGACTAACCGATTATACCATGTACGGTTTGTTTGTAGAGTTCAACTGTATAGATATAATAAAATGTTATGATTTCTAGAAACAAGTTATGTTTCTCTAAGATCTACATGCAGTGATTATTATGAGATGTTTAAATTTTATCTTAAAACTTCATGATTTGTATGTACAGTCTATTCAACAACAATTTTTTAACGTGTTCACAATAACCAAGGTTCAGACTTCAGCTCTCCAGTCGCGGATCCTAGTCCCTCTGTCGGCGCCAATCCTGGACTATGAATGTAATTCTTTTCATGTTTAGGGTATTCCAGGTGATCCAGGTTTACCAGGTGAATCTGCAAATGGCACAGTTGGACCATCTGGTCCTCCTGGACCTGTCGGCATACCTGGTATTATTGGCTTGAAGGTAATGAAATAAAACAACCATGAAATTCTAAACATGCAACAAATTTATTGATTTTCATTGTTGTTAGGGTGTCAGAGGTCCACCTGGAACCCCAGGAGCCAAAGGAATCGCACCTCGGGTATAAACTGTTATAATGTTCTTATTCTTTTGAACGACGTAATTATAGAACTTGGTATGAATTTATCTAGCCTGTGGAAAGTTTGTTTGATTTTGTACTTTCGATTTATTTCTCTGAACAGCTTATTTTTCATGGTGAATAACAATTGAGAAGTTCTTGAAAAATAGAATTACTCAATTTTCATTCACCATGATAATTTATAATGATGACAAGAAAGAATGTCATTGGAAAGACAAACCTCAACCAGAACTAAGTCCTTGTAACCACATCCAAATCTTTGTTTTATAATTCTGTTTGATGCAAAATGTGCATCCTCTTCAATTCATGAAAATACAATAGTGCAAATGAAGTGGATCAACTGTTTGTGACTTTTCATGCTTATTACCTATATCAATAGGGTGAAAATGGAACAGCTGGAACTGTTGGAGCAACTGGATTACCAGGGAATAAAGTAAGTAAGATTTTTGGTTTTAAACGTTTGATTTAATTTGGTGCGTCTACGTTGTAGCATTTTACAATTTATTTTTCAGGGTGTTAAAGGTGATGTTGGAAAAACTGGAATAAATGCTACGAAAGGGCAAAAGGTTTGTAACAATAACCATCATATATTGCTAGAATGCAAATAACGCGATGCAGCTCTGCTGCCTGTGTTACAGAAAAAATTTATCCAGTTAAATGCGTCTGAGTTTTATATTGACTAAGTAATTTCACCCTGATATCAGAAGACATAACCTAAGTTGTAAGACCGTAAAAAATAATTCTGTAATATTGTGAAACGCTTTTGTTTTTAGGGTCACAACCACACGTGGGTGTGAAGATCGATATGTCAGAGGGGAGGGGGGCTCATGTTCATATATGCATGATAAAATTCGTGGAGAACAACGAATTTTAAAGGAACTTAATACTGCATAACATTTATATATTTTAAGATTAGCACGTCCCTCAATTATCGATCTTTTCTACGCTCATGAAAAATTTTATATACACCCACAATTGTAATTTGACATAAGCTTGGATGTTACATTCAACCAACATTCGCAATGCTACTGAATAAATATTGATCAATGCTATTTAGAAACAATTTTTCCTCTTCCACTAGGGAGAGAAAGGTGTAGTTGGACCACAAGGTGATAGTGTTAAGGTATAGTGTAGCGGTGTATTAATAAATAGTTTTTTCAAAAGTAGGTTGGATTTCGCATTGTTATATTTATAGCAGCTAAGACTGTGAAGCTATGAAGACTTCGCTTGATTATTATTTACAAGACTTTCATTTCATTTACAATTTCAACTCACCATACAATGATTCTAATTTTATTCATCAATTATTTAGGGTGACCGTGGACCAATTGGTTTACCTGGGCCTGTGGGAGCCCAGGGAGAACCGGTAAAATGCTATAGCATTTGAACTTAAATATCGGATTGATGTTAACGTTTAATCGACGTACTTTACTTTCGGCAGGGTCCAGCTGTTCGTGGTTTCAAAGGTTCTCGGGTGAGGGAAGCTTTGATTTTATTAACCATTATACAATTGAAAGTATTCCTGGAAAGAAAAACTATTTTCAAGTCACTCGTATCACCTTTAAATAAGAAAAACTTATTGACCCATGTTGTATAGAGATGTTGCAAGCATTCAGTATAGTTTCTGTATTCCATGAGAATGACATCAAACTGAATTTTGTTAATATGATGCATTTTGTTTTCATGTGTTTGCATTTTGTTGACGATAGTCGTCTGAATGTCGTATTATTTTGTTTAGGGAAATGCTGGCTTTAAAGTAAGATTCATCTCACAATCAAATACATATTTTTGAGGAGTTTCATGTAAAACTGATGTTTGCAACTCATTTTTGAGACATCTGACGATTTTTCTGAAAAAAAAACAATGTCGAAATGTTTTTTTAATGTTTCATATACGTTTAGGGTGTTCGAGGTTCTCAGGTAGGACCATTACATTATTTATATAGTTGATATAACTTCAATTAAGCTCTGCAAGAGTGAAAATGAAAATGAAATAAAAATTTCATCATATTAAATTTCATTCAGGGACCACCGGGTTTACCTGGGTCGGTAGGAGCACAAGCTGTGTCGGTGGGTATGAAAATATTCTCAAACTTGTTTGTTTGTGAAGTCAAAAAAGGGCGTTTATTTGATTTATGTGACTCGAGATGAACGACATAAAACTAACTGATAAGGATTGAACAGTTTTCCTAAAGGAAATATTTGTTTCTTTTGATTTAAAGATGACTACTGCACAAAATTAACTTTATAAGTAAAAATTGCAACCCACTAAAACTGGATTGTTCTCCATCAACTTGTGGAAATAGTCTAGAACAACAGCATTACGTATATAGAAGCATCAAGCTCACGAAATTGATTTTAAAATTTCATTGCAAAAAATACTAAACATAATGTTAATTCTTAATGTAGCTGCTTACATCTATGTCAGTAATTGAATAATTATAATTTTTTCAGTTCAATGGTACAACGATAATTATTTACCACAACGAAACATATTCGGAATACATTCCCGTTGACGTGGTAAGAATAATTAGTCTTTTTCATTGGTCTTTTTGTTTATATTTTAAAATTGCAGAACACAAACACAGGACATTTACAGTTGAAAAGTGATCATTTTCTCGTTTTTACAGAATTCCAATATTTCAAAACGTTACCGGAAGATCCATGAAAATCTTAATCTTTTTAAGAAACCAAATGGCTCGTTATTATACCCGGCAATTTCATGTGCTCATCTATTTTCGGACTATCCGCAGTTTCCTAGTGGTAAGTTTTAATTTTTCGTTTTTGAAAGCGAAGACCGACTTATAAATTAAACCATTTTTCATGTTCTAATAGCCTCACAGCTCTTAATATTTTTTGCACGCAAACCATTTTTCTGTGCTATTATTCATGTCCATGATCCTAACCAACTTCAAACAAAGAATTATCATTTCAGTTTTAGCTTTTCTCGTCGAAAGTTGCACAATAAAAGTATCAATATTAGCTAGTGTCTTCTTGTGCTCTTCAAAATAAATTTTATGATATTGTTTAGAAGTGCCCGACATGTTCTTTTAAATATTCAGGTCGTTATTGGATTGATCCAAACCAAGGTTCCTATGAAGACGCAGAAGAAGTGTATTGTGACTTTGAATATAATGCAACATGTATTGAACCTTCATTGAAAAAGGTTAGCATAACGTATATAAGGCATAAAATATGAAATTGATGATGATGACACAAAGGTAAAAACTGAGCGTGTATGGACAAGTATTACGTCTGTATGTCCTTGAGAGAGGTTTTCTACTTTTTATTAATCAAAGTTTAACGAAAATGGTTGCACGTAGACATTATGATATTTGTAGAAAGAAATAACCATCAGTGCTCCAAATGTTCATCGGCCAGCATATCATGCTTACATGTCATGTGAAAAAGCTTTTTTATTTGGTTACGATGATTAATAATGAAAATTTTAATTTCCATGTATTTAGTCAGGTTGTTGAAAAAATGGTTAATATTTTTATTCTTATACAGAAGGAAAATAATACGTGGTTTATTGGCTCTGACCTCATCACGAACATTACCAACAGCACAAAATTTAACAGCTCTAATGATTACAAGTGGTTATTGCAAGAGCTTGAAGTCGGAGATTCATATCAAGTACGAGCTACATGAAATTTTGTTCTTACAACAATCTGATCATAATTTAGCAACAGAGTTTTTCACTAGCGTTATCATTTATATTTACAATACAAACCTTAAGATCTATTTCTATTGACAATTACTTTTTTGCCTTTTAGTTCAACTACACCCTTGACTATGGTCAACTTCAGATGTTGCAGCTTCATAGCTCGTTGGCATGGCAACGCATAATTTATCACTGTTTTAACTCCACTTTATTGAGTAATTCCACTGAAAATTTCTTTAAACTTCAAGGAGATGATGACACGGAGTTTCACCGTCAAATGCCTCTGGATGAGACAGTCATTATGATCGAAGATAACTGTAAAGTAAGCATTTACTTCCATTTCCATCAGAAACGTCTAAAAGCGTACATAGTTCAAAGCTGTTTACAATGAATTGCGAAGGATTGAATTTTTCTCAAAGTTAGAAAACCAGTGGTAGGACAATGCAAAACTGCTGATCAAGACGTCTTTGTATAAATCTGTTGAATCTGTCGACTCTTTTTTTAGGGACTTGCCATTATATCTTAGCAGATAAAAAGAATTAAGACACTCGACTAAATTTCATAATGCAATGATTAATTAACGAAGATGAAACATTTGAAAAGCCTCCAAATTGAGATAACGATTTTAGTTGATAGAGTACGACATTTTCTGGGTGTACATAATCACATAAAGTAATGTAAAAAAAAACGAAATGTAAAAAAACCATTGATTTTTATTGGACGTAACATTTCATGAAGCTTAACGAGGCAATTTAAAAACTTATTGATAGAACAATGAAAGAACAAGCAACAAATATGTTTAGACAATTTGAAAAATTATTTCCTTTCAAAAATTACATCTAAGAGTTTTTGTCATGCTTATAGATCAAAGGAAACACATGGAGAAAAACGGAAATAGAAATACGAGCTAAAGATCCAAGAAATCTTCCAATACGAGATGTTGGTGTTTATGATGTACCAAATCAGGATGAAAAATTGGGTTTTGAACTGGGACGAGTTTGTTTTGGTCCTAAGTTTTTAGATAAAATTTGAAGAGAACAAATTCATCGTTCCGACTTTAGTTTTTTCTTGGCAGAAAAACCATCGATAAAAACCAGCTTCGTTCTTAGTGCAATGTTTCCGTCAACGATCCAATGGATTGTTGTTTCCTTATCCTCAAAGATGATTTTCAACACAGCTCTTGAGCAATTAGTTTTTGATAGTTTAACTTACAACATATAGGAAGAACATAATTTTCATAATAAAGAACCTTCATAATAATTCATTGTTTTGCAGTATATTTTCCCATAGAGGTACTCTAAATTATCAACTTGATCACGGGATTCATCTCCAATAAATAACAAATATGAAAATTGGCCCAAAATTTGTTTACACAAATAACAGAGATTATTTCGGTCGTTTGGAGTCAAAATCGTTAGGAAACACGTAAAGAAGGCATGAACTGAACACAATCCAGTAAGCTTTAAATGAGGAAACCATGAGTTCAATCTTACATACAACAGAAATAGCAATACATGTTGGGATCCATGCCAGACTTCTCGTCATGACGCAAGTTGTGACACTTGTTAACTTTATTTGCAATAACATCGTTACCATCTTAAACGCCTTTAAGCACACCTAAAAACAAATCGAACGTCAACTATTGATAAACAAAAAATAAAAGAAATCAACACGATCATGGTGAAATATTTTTTGCACATCTTTCAGTTACGTTAAAGCAGATGTGCTGGTAGGTTGCAGACATTCAGCAGATTATGACCAGTACATGCATTATCTTATATGACTTTCTACAATTACTAAATTAAACCAAATGCGCTGTAGAGGCAGTGGAAAAGATCTTTAGTTTTGGTTACTTTAATTGTACGTGGGTTCCATCAAGAAGCACAAAATTTGATGATTTTTTTTTATGAATAAAATCTTGACTAAAGGTGAAATGCTTATCGGAAAGCCCACTATTTTAGCCGGAACGCCTTCTTGTCCTCTATCAGTTCCTGGACTGAGTTTTCATAAATATACATAAAAGCCGAGGGGGCATCCCCCAATATATTGCGTTCCCACGTGTATAAACTCGACATATACACAAAAAATGCGGATTTAAATCATTAAATAACCAAATAATATCAAAATGTTATGGCAAGGGAATGGTTGGCAATGGGTGAAGGTCGATTTGCAACAGTAGGCAAATATAGGAAAGGCATAATTCAATTAATTTAATTTTTGTCCATAAACATGTAAACTAAACGTGAAAAATAATTCGAACATCATCATGTATTTTTTAACTCCGACTTTTTCGATTTAGTCTCTTTTGATGAGGAAATGTAAAACACGGTGATTTTGTTGTTCTACCACAAACTTAAAGGATATAGTGCGTTTTTGATTTTGTAATTTTCAAACAATACGACAATAGAATAGAAATTCAATACGTATTGTTCCTACTTACCAATGGAATAATCACAGTCGGTTTCAATATTTCCAGAAGAACAAATGGATTTTCAACTTCAGCTTCTTTTGAAATTGTCATAAGGATAGGTACAGAAAACACCGATGCAATATTAATCAGAAAAAGAACATGAATAACTGAAAGCTGTAAAGAAATAATACTTTATATAAGACGTGGGAATTTATCATGGCATCTGTTGAGAGAAAAAACGGCTGAGCATCATACACGCGAAGATGAAATATAGCTAACTTGTGGCTAAATGGGAACACACAATATAAATAGCATAACATCGAAGTAAGCTGTTGCGATATTTAAAAAAATGATATCGCTATATCGAAAAAAATATCGAAAATATCGTTACTTAGTCTTTCGTTCAAACGCAAAAAACAAAAATTTTTTGAAAAAGCAAGTAGTTTTAGAAACAAAGACAAAACTGAATTTAAAAGTGAATTTTTCAATACTGAATTTAAATAGTGAATAGTGAGTTACAAGTTACACTTTACAAGTTCAGTGCAAGTGGGAGTGATTGAGCTGTGGAATAATGTCTGGAATGTCTGGAATAACATTTTATGGGATTGTAAATGGTGAATTTGTTTGTCTGCAAATGAGTCAGAACTATTTCCTTCTAATACGTATTTAACAATTTTCTCAAGTGTAACAATTTCTTTCAATTTTCTCATCTTTATGAGTTAAAGGGTTTGTGATGACTATAATAAGTTAATATCAATAATAGCCATCACAGTAGGTTATTCATTGGTTGAACAATTTGATGATTCAAATTTTTACTAAGATGAATGACAGCATAGACTTTGCACTAGAGCTTTTTCTGTCTATAACAAATATCGTGTAGTCATAAATAGTTTTTTATAACAAAACTTTTTTAAACAAAAGTTAGAATTTGTGAATTGCACAAAACTATTCGAAACAAGGCAATATAGTTACAATGTGGCATGACAATTACTACTCAATATATTTAGGGTATATTTTACCTCAATAGACTTACTTCATACAAACTTTGTTCAATGTTGATCATATACATTCCATATAAGGCCGTAAATGCAACATTAAATGCAGCATCTTTGAAGGAGATATAACAGCTACCATCATCAGTGCATACTGTCATTAACATCAGCCCCGAGTAGATTACAGTTAAGGCAGACACCCAACTAGTAGTTTGATTTCGTGTCACACATGTTAATGCAGCTGTCACAATTAATGGCAACAAACAAAGATTTACCTTAAAAAGATAATAGCATTGAATATTGTGCTGTTTATGGTAAACATCTTATTTTGTTTCTCTAACTTATAACTATACAATTTCACGTTATTATAGATGAAAAATCAATCTTTAGTTTTATAGAATCATACCAGGAAAGCAGGAGAGCCTTGACTGTTGGTTTGTGTTGCCAAATCAGTTTCACTTATGTACAATGTAAGAACATAAAAAAATAATAACTGAAAGTGATGAAAAATAGCTCCTACATACTTCTTGTCAAAGCTAAAAGAAGAAAGGATGGATTAAGCAAAAATGATGAGCAAAAATGAAATAGATGGGTATGGTGATTATAATCAGTTTTTGCAACAAAAATTGCTTAAGGTAGATTTTCTGAAGTATTTTCATGGTCTCAAACAATGGCATAGCCAGCATGTAAGTTTGTTCATGTGATGTAAATTGTAAATATTTTAGTGTTCACTCACTGTAAAAACAATACATTTCTAAAGAAATAGATGAGGCTAATGATAAAAAAATTAAAGAGCATGACCAAATTAGTGAGCTGGCTATGCCACTCGTCTCAGTAATGTTATGTTATTGAGATAATTGGTATTGGAATAATACAATTGCATTGGGATTACATTCTGTCATTGAATTCAACCTCAACTGTTTGTACTTGCTTGTACTTGCTTCATGTGACCGGGTTTGTAAAGCATTCAAACCTGGCGATTCCTCAAGTCAAGAACTACGTTTTATGAAAATTTGATGACAATAATATTTGTGTCCAGCTTACAAGCCAAAATGCTATAAAAGTTATAATATACGCTAGCCCTCGGGAATCATAATCATAAGCTTGTTCATCTTCAACTTTAGCGACATGGCTTAAAAATATGTGCTCCCTTAAATGGACGTAATTTTTTGGTGTTATATGTGAACTCAAAAATCACTTACTAGAAGCTTGACTTTCGCTTGTTTACCAAATGGATAGCGATGATGATGACGATGGAACAGATCCAGTGTGTAAATAAATAAAATTGACTTTGTCGTAGCAGTTTGAATGTAAAAAAATGTTCTAAGAACACTGCTAAAAATGAAAGAACTGTTATACAGACTTTTGCAGCCGTAGGTCGCATTTGTAGACGAAGTTCATAAGGGTTTCCATGTTTCGTGCTTGGTTTTGTGAACAGAAGTTCTTCCAGCGTCTGCGATGAACCACGGCTATAATCGAGAGACATAATTGAAGTCATCTTTTTCTACAATATAGCACATCATCGCAAAGCAACATCACGGTAGAAACAGCTAAAAGAAAATAAATTTATACAAAATATTCTCCAATTGTGCAGTTTCTGAGGTGAAAGGGGTCAAAACATGGGTCGAATGTCAAGTCATGTTTCTTCCGGTTTAATTTTCATTCATTCGTCAGCAGTGCTCGCTCCATTCGCTCAATATTATATCAATTTTGTTGACTCAACTCAAGAAACCTAGCACATCAACCATTGCTCAGTTGCTCACAACTCACAACCTAAACATAGAGTAATTTTGAGTAAATAAGATAAACATACTTAGGATGACATTTAATTAAGAAAAGCAATCAAAATTTTCTTTTCAAGGTTTGTACAAAAAGACAGAGGTACACCGAGAAAGCGAGGTTATTAAAAGGTTTATTATATGGCATTATTTGACCTGAAACGAAGCTTGCTATCTTTCTCGTTTTTTCTGTTTGGTACGGGTTGGCTTTCACTTTTATAGTTTTCGTCAGTAAAAATTAAATAGTTTCAAATTTTATCGTCTGGAAAGTTAAACTGTTTTCCGAGTGTTTTTCCTTCGAATCACATCCGTAAATGTTTTTTTGTTTCGTTTTTCTTGCGTTTTGCTGTTTGCATTACGAAGTTTGTTTACATTTGACTTTAAAATTACGGGTTTTGGACCGGGGTCGATTACGGAAAAATAATGGCCGGCAAAAATGTTTCTGAGCCAATCAAAGCGCGCCATTTAACCAAAAGGGATGCTTGCCATATAATACGCATTTAATATATATGACGAGTTTTTTTAGAATCGACATGTTCAACATCTCATGATGGCATCTTCAGTATAAGTGAATTAATAAATAATGCAAGAGTTTCTATAAAAGTAATATGATACATAAATTACAACAATAATAAGGAAATAGATAAAATAATGGGGAGCGTCCGAGCGTATTATAAACTAATTATTGTATTGAATTTAAAAACTTGAACATTGAGGTCAGGGTTAGTTTTGTTAATGTGGAGTGCTTCTTTGATTTTAAGGGAGATGAGGTGTCGGCCATTCTTATTATTGTTGTAATTTATGTATCATATTACTTTTATATAAACCTTGTATTATTATTTCACTTATACTAAATATGGCATCATGAGATGTCGAAACATGTCCATTAAAAAAAAAACTCGTATATATTAAATGCGCATTCGCAATATTGCTTCTGCGAAGTAATGCCATAATATTATTCAAAAACATGTTGCAAATTTGCATATTCGTTTGTTTCATCTGTTGTCATCAATGGTTGTCATGATGATGAAAACTTGAAACTTGGCAGAATTTGAGATATATAATATATTTTCTACTTCTGTACAGAATGAGCGAGGCAGAGCTCTGCAATTCACAAAGTGCTGAAGAAGAGATTGAGAAAGAGGCCGAGAAAGCGTTTGAAAACCTGGTGTTGGAGACTCAAGTATTAGAAAAGATCAATACTGATGTTGGTGATGAAGAATTTGAGCGTGTTTGGAGAGATGAAACCTGTCATCAAAATTCTGATTTGTCAGATTATCATAAACAGCTATCTGACAATAAAAATAGAATCAATGTGCGCTGTGATTCCGCTGACAGAAAAACAGAAAGCATTGTGGATGATGTTGAACTTATACGCCCTTCAACTTTATATGGATTTCAAACAGTATCCCTGTCTGCCCTACCTGGGAGCAGATTGAGAATTGAAAGGTAATATTAATACTGCCAGTATAGCTACTTATGTTAGAAATATCTGCTGGGTTTTTGTTTCAAAGGATTTCAAATAACATGTTTTCCTTTTTATTATTAGTCCATTTTTCAATATTATGTGTTGTACAAAAATGCTCAAAGTGTTGCAAAATGCTCACTAATGTTGAACAGTTAAATTAACTTAAAATTATTCTAAATAATCATTTAATAAATTTGCAAATCTTTACTAGGTCTCCATCAGAAACATCAGGTGAAGCATCAAATGGCTCTTTTGCAATCAGTGAAAATTCTTCTGTATTTAATCATGATATGGCCATAACTGCTGAAAATGGAAACAAACATGAAATATTGGCTATTGTCAATCCAGTCAATTCTCTGGAACAAGCTCAGGCAGAATGGAAAATGGTTAAAAATATACAAACAGGTACAATAAGTACACCAGGGATTAGAACATCCAAACTTGGGATATTGTTTCCTTATTTTGCTTTTCATACTTTACTAACGCATGCATAGACATGTCATTATTCAACCATTCTTCAATTAAAGCTTTGAGAATTATGTACTATGCCTTGTCTTTGACTGTTTTCATGAACAGGAGAGTGGATCCAGCATTTGCCAAAATAAATTATAGCAAAATAATTTATAAAGTACTATCAGGAAAACACTATTGGTTTTAAGTTTCTAAAAGAATATAATTTTACCAATGGATTTGCCTCTAAAGTGCTTAGAAATGTAAATATATTACAAAATGTGCTGCTGTAATTTATTTTTGATGCACCCTAGATCTGCCACTGTTCATGATGACCTAGTTGTATCATGTTTTAATCGTTCAGAAAGTCAATTTCTTCTTGCATGTACAGGGAATTTGCTCGGTTGTAGATATCACCTTGTCAGGTCATTGCAGCTATGTATAACCAACCAAATTTCCTGTACATGCAAAAAGTAAATCATTGAATTTGAGTTCAGTGTACTAATAAGTTCTAATTAAGTAAAGTTTAAAATGGCAGATCAGATGGAAAAAGACAATAGATTTTCATGATAGAAGAAATGAATGAGGTGAAGCTGTCATCAGCTTGCATCAAAGCTGAAGAAAATGTAATCTTGATAAATAGATTGGGATCAGGAAACAATATCTGCACAAGAAAAATTTGAGAAGTACAATAAAAAACAAAAACAATAAATATCAAGGAAAATATACTAAAAAAAGTCAACAAATTAAAAAAAAAGTAAAAATAAGGACTTCAAATAAACAGTTTAGTTGAGAATTGATTAGACAATAGGAAAGATTTCTTAAATCTTAAGAAATAAAAAAACAGTAGGGGCAAACCAGGAGGCGAAAAAAAAGTTGAAAAAGAAGAGCAAAATAAACAGAAGTTTATAAACGGCTAAGAAACTAGCATGTCTACCAAATTTTCAATGTGTACTATGGTAAATTACGTAGTAACAACTTTACAGGTGTCAATTAAACATTAATTGAGTCTGACCATAAATTTACATATTCTTCTATTACTGGCTGTTTTATTTTGAAAATTAAAAAATTGCTTTCAAAAGAAACTACTCAGGCCTGAAAACCATATGAATAAGGTCCCCTCACAAATATACCTCCCATTGACGCAGTGTTAAACAGAGTCATCTGAATATATGTCAGCGGAAAAATCATTCAAACGTAGCGAATGTGGTTGCACTTTGATTTTTGGGGGAAATTGGAAGGTTTTTTCTTTTTCGCCATTTCAAAACTGCAATATGTATCAAGCAAAGTACGTATGATAACCTGACATGCATATTTAAGAATTTTCAATTGCTATTATTGCTATAATGTATTAACTTCTCAAGCATTAACCCTAAGGTTTTTTGGTACTTGGCGCAAATTATAGTAGGCCTCATAGAGTACAGAAAAGGTTTTAAGAATATATGTGTTATTGCTAAAGATAGATCTCGCACAATAGCCAGATACTGAGACCTCTCTATTCGTAGTTTCTTATAAAAAACTACGCGAACAGCAAAGTATAAGTATACTTTATCCTTTCTAGGTGAAAACGAAACGATTAAAACATCTCCCGAGGTTTCATTTCGTGAAGCATTAGAGTATTTTCGAAGTTCCAATACTTTGGATCAACATATGTCTCATATTAAACCAACTGTGCAACATAATGGGTGTTCAGCTTTCTCTAATTTTCTCTTTGGGCCACCTAAAATGAAAAGACAATTAAACAATGAACGCTGTCTTGTATTTGCCTTGGCGTTGTGTGTGTTTAATAACGACGAGGAAATACACAATAATGTTTTGCAAACTATTTATAAGCGATTGGCTGGGACAAAATTAGACTGTCCACGTTATGGAAACCATTGGCAAGTTATTGGCTTTCAAGGTAAGGTTATGTCCTTCATATATGATTCTTTACTACAGCAGCTATTGATTGTGGCAAATAACGATCAAAATCGGCATTTTCCTATTTTAGTTATATTTAAAGATCTCAGATTGTAATATTTATAAGATTTTCTCTTCTTGTCTGACGTTTCGGTTTCCAGAACCATTACAAAGACGTAAAACGGTTGCAACTTATTTTTGTAAATTTTAGCTACTATCTGGAAGACGCTTGACTTATGAACAATTTATACAATTAATTTAGTACAAACTCTAGTTGTTATCCATGATTTTGTCATTATCAATAATTGGAAAAAACGTCTTAAAAGTTTTTTAGTTGCGCTTTAAAATTGAAAAAATACAATTGACATACAAAATGAAATTTTCCGATAACTTACCACAGTATTCTTGGTTTTCATGTATGTCTCAAGGGAATAGCCAACAAAGAAGGGCATCCACGTCGCCCAATAATAAAATCTAGCACATGAAAACCACCAATAGTAAGGAAAACGAGATTTTGTTCTTCTAATCATAATTGCATTGACGCAACGAAGTAAGAACTTTTATAACGCTCGGTTTCATCCAACTTGTCCAGCACAGTGTTACAGTGTGGAGATTAAACAGTAGTGATAATGTGTTGACTTTTTGTGAAACGATAAAATGGTAAACTGTAGTCTGTAATGTAATGAAATATGTAGTATTGTCATTGGAAACCCCCTACATGCCTTTGTTTCAATATTGGACTTGTGATCAACTTCGTGCTTTTTCATAACTGAGATAAAAGGCGTCTTGCTTTAATTAACTATTAGATGATTTTTTGAGTTGTAATTTGTATACATACATATTAAAATATTTTTTTATATGCTAAGCTTAAAATATGCAAAAGGCGACAAAATTTGCGACGTTTTTTGCATGTATTCGCCACAGCTTATATTATATACTTGAATGTGGCGTCGATCGTGGTTGAAAAGCAACAGTAAACTATATCATTGAAGGGCATTGAGTTGAATTCCAGCTTGAAAACTTTTTTGTTATCAGTTAAAGCAATAATGGCAAATAGAGCAAATTTCTCTCAATTTAGGCCTGGACCCATCCACAGATCTTCGTGGTTGTGGGTTTCTTGGCTTGTTGAACATACTCTACCTGGTTACAGAACCTCGCGCTCAGTCGCTTGCTACTAATATATATAAGTTATCACTTCACGAAACTCAAAATTTTCCGTTCAGCGTCATGTCAATCAACATAACCAGAATCGCATTGCAGACCTTGAGAGAGGGAAAACTTAACAGGTACTATATTTGTACGTAAACTTGTGCTTTAAGTGATTTGAAAGAAGACATTAAACGTTGACTGAGGTTTTACAGAATTTCTAGAGCGTGGCCAAAAAGATTTTCTTACGTTTTCAGATTAACTTTTGCTCTTCAAACTTCCTTTATATTAACATATATATGTTTTTGACAATACCGCGTCGATCTCTTTTTCTATTTTGTGACAACATTTTTAATAAAGATTATCAAAGGTTTCTAATATGAATCCTATTAATTCATACACTAAATTTGGGTATAAATCTTCTTGCACTTACGAGAAAAGCATCGTTTGGCATTACTCTTAAAACAATGAAAGCGAAACGAAAATGGTGATGTAACCCCATTAATAAACAGGGGGGAAATACATTTCAATGCAACAAAGTTGACCTGATTTTAGCTCATCACTTTTATAATAATACGTTTTAGAATATGCAACAGTAGAGGAACAGTAATGGATGTGTTTAATGAGTTTTATGCTGGTGTATTTTACCGTGTCTACACAGTTTGGAAAAATCAGAGAAAAACAATGTCGGAGTCAGGTTTCGTATTACACGAAATCGAAAAAAACTGCAAGAATCATACCATTGAAGTCTTAAGAGACTTTTCGAAAGTTCTATCGGAGAAAAGTCGTGCTTTCAAACACGAAGAAACGTCTGTGTTCTCACGAAGCACACCAGAAAAAGTCGAAGGGTTTTCAGGAGTTTGTGAAATAGAGGATAACGAAGAAGACGATGTGCATTTGGTGTGAAATAATTTTTAAAAAACTCATCATGCAGCACGAAAATCTTAAAACTTACCCTCGACGATTTTGCTCTATAAATTGCAGCGTTTATCATCTATGAGTACATCATACTGAGGCTAAACGGGAGTTAGCAATTTTGACGAAATGATATTATCCAAAGAATCAGACAATTGAATTTCGACCATTTAAAACTTCCTACAGAAATCACTGTTCAATATGATGTTCTAAAATTTATGTATGAAGTGGCGTCTTCTTTCAATTGTCATTGTGTTGGTTCGTGAGTGCTGGCTAGCTGAACTCGTGTTAACAGATTTTTAACTAAGATTGACTTAGATAAAAATCTAGGATGAATATCAAAACTCTGAATGTTACGAAGTGAAATTTCTTATTCGTCAGAAAATATTAAGTGCAAGTTCGAATAACATAAAATGTAACAAAAAACATGAAGAAATTAAAATAGTTCTGTAAATAATTTTACAGGTCGTAGAAGCACTAAGTGTAAATATTGTAATGTGATTTGGTGAATTAAAAGCTTCAATCCTTTGTCAATACACATTTTGTGTAATAGCTTGGTATAGTAAGTGGTCTTAACACTTCACATTGGTTTGTGTTACAAAAGTCACTCCAGTGTCAAAAAAATGCACTTCCAAGAAGGATTAAAATAAAGAAATGACTGTCTTTATTCCAAATCTGGCATCGCTTAATAAAGAAAAATTGACTTGGTTAGTAAAATATTTTAAATGAAAACATTGAAAAGGAAATTCAATATGAGGTATTGATGCCTAAGCTTAACTTTAAACTTCCATACTGTTACAAGTTAACATGGTACAAGCAGATTTTTCAAAAAACAAAGGGTAAAATTTATTTAAAAAATTCTTCCTGCTATCACCAGGAAGTAAAAGCCGAATTTAAATTGATTAACTGGAAGATCTTATTATCCATACTTCTCAACTCTGGAGCATTTTATAAAAATGCTAATTGAAAAATTGCACCAGTTTCTCTATGTTTTGCTTTACTTACCCTCATCATCACTGTCATCTGAGTCTGGTTCATTCCCATCATCCATTTCACCATCCTAACAAAGATATAATTGAATCTTAATCATAATTGAAGTTACAATGAATTAAAAATTCTTTGACTGAAAGCACAAGAAATCGTACCATTCCAATATCACCCATTTGCTTCATCATCTACAACAAACATTGAAGAAACACTCATTAAAAAAGAGCACTGTATTAAAAACAAATGTCAAGACACTACTTACATCTTCAAAGTTACTATTTGAGGGATCTTCATCATCAGAATCATCTTCATCCTTCCATTTGTCAAAATCAGTTTTAAGATAAGTTACCTTAGTGAAAAATTAAAGCAACATTATGTGCATGTAAATGCATTCATGGGTATTGTTATCAATAACTAGAATAAATATTCCATCATAAGAGCAATTGACTAAAAACAATGAGTGAAATATTCTATTCTCATTTTGATAAAATTTGAATGATCATGCAATTGAAAGTAGGCAACAGTAAAATTTTCAAAATGCTTAGGACCATATTCTCTTTGCATCACATCAAAGTTAGTGAAATATAACATTTACAACTAATCATCGTAGACTAACTAATCATCATATCAAATTACCAAATTTCATTGCCCCAAAACTAAATAATAGAATATGATGCAAAGAGTTCTCTCTCTCTCTTTTAAGTTCAAAGCCCTTATCAGAAAGTCATGAAATTTCTCAAGGAGGATTGACAAGTGGGTTGAAAAAGGTCCATGATGATTTTTGTCAAGAATGGTTTGATAAATTGTACAACAAATGAGTAAATACATGGCAATATACATTACAAACATTTATTATGTTAGAATAATAACTTTTTCCACAAAAACAGCTGTACAGTTATATTATTATCAAATTACTTTGTTTTGTTGTGTTTTGATACAAAGAGGTTGCAATGTGCGAGAAAATGAAGCAATGTACGAGAAAATGAAATGAAAGAGGGAGACAATTACTCAAGAGAGAATTTGTTGCACTTGGAAATATTTAGTTTGTCAAAACAGAAAACAATTTTACCTTTTCTTTTGATTCTAAAAGCCTAGGCCAAAATGAACTTTCCTTGTCCTTCTTTTTGAGCACAAATGTTAGTTCCCGACTTGTAAAATGTTGTTTAGATAGCTAACAATATATAAATGCGATATATTATGGAAAAGATTCCTTTAAAATTTGAAAACTAGCAATTAATCTGGGAATATAAAAGTTATTGCATCATTCTAAGTCCAGTACACATACCTCTGGTACAATGGGTGCATAAAATTTAAACTCAAACCCATGTAATTTTTTGTCATGCCCACCTTTAGACCTAAAATATTAAAAATTAAAATGTCTGATAATATGTACAATGCCATAGCTTTTACGGCTATAGATCCAGCATCACTATTTACATTTTCAAAACTAAGCCCTTTCCAAACCCTATCCTAACCACTAATTATTATTATATCCTACCACTTTTATTGATAAAAATTAAGATGAAATTGATTTCAAAATAAATATATATTAAAGATATGGCTAAGAGCCAGCTTGCATTAGTTGGGCATTTAATAAGACAAAACACTAACAACTCTTCTGTAAAAGCTTCAAAACCATTCAGCAAAACTTTTTATAGGAATCTAAATAACTACAATTGACAGATGTATAACCGTATTTAGTAAAGATCCAGTTTTACGATAGTCTTATGTTAAGATGCTGGTTATAATAACAACCTATTTACTTATATGCATCACTGTGGCATATGATTTCTAATAGGATTTCTAACAATATTATAATTCATTTCAATATATTTCTAACCATTAACTACTCCATAAAAAACCCCAGATAAAGCAAGTTGGATATAAACAAATATCAAATTGAAATGAATGGAAACTAGTAAAATATAGCAAAGGATGACAACCTATTTTTAACACATTAAATTTATGTATTTATGCTGGGTTACAAATTGCATTTCATTACTCCCACCTTTTGGAAAATATCTCAATTCCTAAAATTTATTTAATATTCACTTTTACTTTCAAGTTTCAATAAGTAATTATTTAAACAGAAAGTAATCAAAATTTCGCATAACGTAGATTTGAGCAAGTCAATGCATATGAAAAGAACTGATTTAAGATACCTAAAGTACATCTTTTCTTCATCAAGTTTTATCTCTGGGTTAGTGGTGTCTTCCAGACGTATCGTTAAAAATATTATATCCTTGCGCTGAGCCCATAAAACTAAAGGATGAAGCACTCTAAAATATAATACAAATGGTATAATCAATTTTACCAATATGATTAAAAACATCGATTCTGAAAAGTGAAGAATTTTACCTTTCTTCTGCCATAATTTTTTGAAAAATTCAAAGCTACAGTTTAGAAACACGAGGATTGATCACAATTCAATTCTAAAACTGGAACAACTGAACTGACCTGAAATTGTCGGGCTGTGCAGGCTCAACAATGAAAACCAGAGAGCCAGTGACTTGGTACAATGGAACACTGTTATAATTGGACAAAGGATCAAGATTTTCAATCCCAGCGGCAATTGATCAACTCTTGGCAAAAAGAGAATCTAATTCTTCATAAAAAATGCTTTTCGTGTTTTTCACTCGCATACGTTTCGTGTGTTCTTTGTTTTTCGTAGGATATTTGAAGAGCAGCTATTTTAAGGCCTTTCAATCAGTGGCGTAGCATGATATGAACATTTGGCCAAAGGCGTGAGCCTTTCTAGGGGGGGGGGGGGAGGGTAATGCAAAGAACATGTAAAATGACTTTAAATACTTAACTTATTTATGACATCACATTTATAACATCTTTATGACATCACACAGCATAAGATCATGAATTTCCCGCTTTATAATAACACTTTAAGACATCTCTGACATTTCATATACTGATGATATTTTAAAAACTCCAAAACAACATCACGTTAATATATCTATGTCATCACTAAATGCTTTTTGAAATCCCTGTGTAATTTCATCAAGAAACTTTGCGCAACTGGCCATTATGTTTGCTTTATAGTTTTTTTTAAATAAATAGCAATAATTTACAATAAGAAAATCAAATATCTTGAAGACTTTTTTCCACAAACTTGTCCAGGTCTTTCATTTCATCAATACAATGTAAAACATGTTGTTGAAACAATCGTGGATAAATACTTTCTACTTTTTTCGTCTTTTCGTGGTTGGACGTACATTTATCCACTAAGCTGTCCACGAAATTGTGGCTAAAATTTTGCCATGATGTCACATCCTAGAAAAATTCAAATCCAATTCTGAACATTATTTTTTTCGGAAAAAGCTTATACTAAAGTTCCCAAATGTAGAAATTGAAAGAACAAACACACAAGAATAGACAGTATTATCAAAGCACCTTGCAAACAGAGTCTGTAAACAACATGAAACTATTGATGTGCTGAAACATTGACTTACTTTCCTGGCTCTATAACGTAGTCCTGCTCGTCCCAGACCTTCGTTTGACAAGGTCCTAAGAGATATAATTAAAGTTGATGCAGTAGTCTTATAAATGCATAACAAACAAATATGCAAAGTTGAAAAGTTGATTATATCTAAAAGTTTTCCACGTGCCATCAAAAATATACGGGAGTCAATATAACTTTTCAAAGCATCAAAATTCTAAAATAAAAACTCTTCTTTCGTATTTTAATTTAACGCTCACCGTTCATGTTTTCCTTCAACTTTTCCACTTTTCTCAAAGTCCATTTCTCCTTGATGCTTTCTAAAGGAAATCATGATATTCCAATTATATCACTAATTCAAGTAAATATAGACATTTAACATAATTTAATTTTAAAACAACATGCAATATATAATATACAATAATCTAGAAATACTAATAAATGGATGCTGAATTTTGCATTGTGCAACAGTGCAGTAAATGAAAGTATTTAGATCATGCTTAGCACAGTGTAAGAATTTTATTAATAATCCCCGCCATTTACATGATATAGATCTCTACAACATGCGCATGAGCAAAACGTCAAATGGAAACCGTTGTGAGCTTGCAAGTAACAGAACAAGAATAGAAACGTGTGACATGAACAAGCAATTATCATAAAACATACTTGTTTTCACCAAGTAACGATAACAGACGGGACTGCAGTAGACACAATGTTGTGAAATGTGATAACGCGCCAAATAATTTCTCTGCTTTTACAACATCTTCCCCAGACACCTAAGAAATAACAATAAAAATCCACTTTCCTCATGCTAAAGATTCGTGGACTATCAACCCTCCAGTCATATGGAAATATCTTGGAATAAACATTCATGGAGGAATAAACTCTTATAAAAATAATTCCAATGTTTTGAGTCAATTTAGTCAAACACAGTCCTTCATTTTTCACGCCACTCAACACAAAAAAAACACCAAAAAATTAACAAGTAAAAAACGTTATGTGGCACAAGTCCAGTTACGGGCTGCTATATAGACGTCAGTCTTTCATTTTCACGCAACTCAACACAAAAAAAACACCAAAAAATTAACAAGTAAAAAACGTTATGTGGCACAAGTCCAGTTAAGGGCTGCAATAGAGATGTATTTAATCTTTAGCTATATACTTGTAGAGAGCAATAAAAGCCTATATTATTATAGCACTGTGCAGAAATGTGATACAATGCAAAGATCCTTGGATGTCGATAAAAGTGCAAAAACATGTATAAACGTCTGATTGCGTTGAACACCAAAGTCTTCCTTTCAATGATTTCAAAAATGCAGTTTAATTGATTTTATAAAGTCTTAGCTTTATGCTTGTTTACCTAAAAACATTTGATATAGGTGAAACTTCTATTCTTCATAAAACATCAGCTACATCAATCTTTACTTTATTATGGCAATGCATAAATCCAACTAGCTATATCTCTCTATAAGGTTTCTATTGCACATGTATGTTAATATCAATTCACAGCGATACAACACACGAAGGAGTTATGAGTAATAGTTTCGGCATACCTCCACACCATTCACATACTGCAAAGATAAATGAGCCAGTCGAAACAACAAATATGATTTCCAAAGATGAAAACAAGTAACAGGATTATCGTCGCTGATTGTTAGAGATTCCAAATGTTTAATTACAGCCAAAGCATTTATCTGAGGCAAACTCTTGATATTTGTACTTGAAAATTCAAGTTTCTGATTAAAAAATAAAAATAGATATGTAGAATGTATCAGTAAAAAGAAAGATAGCAGTGAAGAAAAATCTAATTGAAATCCAATAATTAATTTATAGTTATATGACAAAGTTATTTAACTTAAACAATATCCCCTGCACTAAAAAATATATAAATTATTTTTCAAAAGTTCGCAACTTTTGTATAAGTGATCTAATAAATTGTTTCATGTTTTGCAAGCATATTTTATCACATAATCTTTAAAAAACATCGCTATGATGTACATAACATATATTTATAGCTGTATATATTAGCTATACCAGTGTTGGTTGCTTTTTTTAAATTGTCAGTGCTTTATTTTCCTATAATAACTTACTAATAAGGAAGTATGTACTTAGACCATCGTGTTACAAGCACTGCGATACCATACACCATTCTTTACAATTACGTGATGTGTTAAAAGGATTATATATACACTACCATTGCTCACAGATCGTACCTGTACAATGGGAAACTTAATTTGTACTTTTCCAAGATGCGAGACTATCTCGTCAAAGTCAATAAACTTAAAAACAATATTAGTGACAGTGTTTGTTGCTTGTTGTCCCCAATTTCGATCAAAAGCATCAAGTGAGCCACGACCATACAAATATAAAGTTTCTCCTTCCAACTCCGCAAGATGACATATAGTAGCATCCAATGTTTCTTCTTGACTAAAAAATCAATATTTAATATGTAAGGTTTGTAAGGTAATATATAAAGTTTTCATTAAAATGGCCTTTTCATAAATTTGAAAATGAAAAGCAAAACATCCCCAACGAATTCTACTTGTTGAACTTTATCAAACAAGGCGGAAGGTAACGACAACGCAACGAAGGCAGCAGATTGAATACAATAACATCAACAACCACGAACACAGCAGCAACGATAACAACAAAAGCAAATAAAATAACAAAAACAACAATAATAATAAAACAACAACATAATATGGAAGCACGGCAAACAACAGTAACACACACAACAACAACATATAATGGTAACATACCTTAAAAGTTCAGGTGTAGTATTCTCAGGTGGACGTAGGCTAAAAATAAAACAACGTGACAAAGGGATAGAAATGAATATGGTAATGTTGATACTATTATAAAGTGAACAAAGGTTAATTATATAGAGAGTAACGTAAATTTTCATAAGATGGACATAGGGTAGATATACACAGAATAATGTAAATTCTCGTAAAGTGCCATTTCGGCAAATTTTTTATTTGCGATATTAAATTTAGATATGATTTTTAACTTATCAGTGAAAAATGAAAAAAATTTTTAAGTTTGTAAAATCATTTCATTTCTATGGCTGTTCTAAGTTGGCAAAAATGCTCATTTTAATGGATCTTGTCCGTCGTCCGAAAAGTCTGAAACGACCAATGGTGACGTCATGCTAGGGACTCCTCGATACAAAATATATTTACCATCTTCCTTGGATGACGTCATAATGTGGCTAGACCAGACTTCATGCAACGACGGACAAGTTCCATTGAAAGGCAACTTAAAACTCGCCATAACAAGAGGAGGAATTGACCAAAATGAAAAATTTTTTCACCGATGCGTTTCAATACTACAAACAAACGTTTTTGATGAAAGCAGCACTTATACAAGGTGGACAAAAGCTAAATATATAAAGAGCAATGTAAACTCAGTTGAGGTGGATTTAAACTAGATATAAATAGGTTACTATAAATTCTTTTAAGGTTATTTTGCCGCAACAACATAAAAACATCCGTCGGACAATTTCACTACAGGTGGTCTACTGTACCTGTTTTCATCTGAGTGATTTTTGATATGAAACATATTCCATTGCTTTTCAGCATTGTCTATAGCCATCTTTTTTCTCCTTTATAAGCCGAACAAATCAATAAAATACTAGTTGATAAATTGTTCAATATTTCATTTTTCCCGTAATACCTTAAGATTAATCAATCGACCTATCTCTTTTTTCTTATCATTTTCTTTTTTCGACAGGAAATTTGCTAACCTCTTTTCTTCTTCCTAAAATTGCAAAAACGCATCAGAAACTTTTATCCCTTGTTCACAAGAGTTCCTCTAATAACATTGAAGAATAATATCCAAGGATGCTGCAATGTTTCAAACAACTTCTGGCTTTCTTTCTGACTTCTAATTGAAGTCCACCTTCAACATGTTTTATACATTTTTCATTGGTTTATATCTTCCACGAATTTACTCTCTCACTTACTATTTTATCATTCATTTAATAAAAGCAAACCATTCATACGCTTCATGGCAAACTAGGATTTTCTGCTTTGTCTCATTTCATGTTGAAGTAAAGAAGTTTTTACCATGATAGCATTTACTTAGACAAGCCATTTTTTAGTTTAAATTGCATCCCATCACTCAATGATTTTGTGAAACTTTATATGTATTTATCTATTATTGTCATGTAATTGACCTTTGTTTCGTTAACCTTTAAAGCACAGTTTTTTTAGAAACAATGCAGTTCACGTTAGATTTAATAGAGAAGGCATTATGTACACACAGCTTGCTGGTTATATTTTTATACATGCTAAATTGTTTCAAATTTTATCTAAAATATTTATAGAGTTCCAATATCGACATTTGTCGAACATACAAGTTTAAATCAACATAAATTTTTCATGAAGTTGTTTCGATGTTTTCAACTGATATAAGCAGGAGAACGCTTTAAATTCTTATTTAAATCAATAAACAAATGAGAGGGAGGGGAGGGGGGGGGATGGACAAAAGCGATTTAACAAATGATAAGTACGTACACAAGTGACGGAAGCAAAGCAATGATTTACGTAGCTAGATTAAACAAAATATCTGTAATAGAATGCACCATGGGCAGAGTGTTGAGATCTGAAAGAATTTTTTCATATATCGAAAATGTCTGTCTAAAAAGTTGATGCAGTCTGGGCCGGTTGAGCGAAGTCTGGATAGCGTTATCCATTGGATAGGAATTTTTTTCAAAACTTTTATAAAACCTTTTAAAAAGCAAAAAATATAAGATTCGAACTGAGCAATCGCTGAAATAAAATATTAAGAATAATAGAAACGCCTTTTTCACAAATTTGAAAATTTGTGCTATCCAATGGATAACGCTTATGTATAATTCTCATGCTAATCGCTCTATGCATAATGGTGCAAAAGCTGCCTAGCAATTCAGCACAAATAAGCAATCGGAACTATTTTACTTTTAGTTGTGCATTTCTAAGCTTACCGTTATTCTACGCATGTCAAGTTGTCGCAGACTTGAAATATTCTTTAGTATAGAATGTTTATATGACACGTCAAAGGCGATAGGATTTCCATCGAGAGAAAGTTCACACAGTAACTTACATTGTGACAGAGATTTAATGTCATCAAAACTAGAAAAAATAATGTCATTTTATCTTCTGTGAATGAATGAATAAATAGACTTTATTCATCAGAAGATAAATGTGGCATGCAAGCACTGATAAATTTGTAGCTCTCACTACGCAAAGTCCTAACTATAATAAGAGAAAAAATGTTTTATACATTTAAGCTGAGAGTAAAATCATATGGTAAAATAATTTATACTTTTGTATCCATCTTATGTAACCAGACGAAACTTCATATATACCTTTGAATGGAATTAAAGCTAAGAAACAATCGCTGTAAGTTTGGCAAATGTTCCATCTCAGCCTATAAAATAAAAACTAAGAAATTTAAAATTCAGAATTAAATATAAACGTTATTGTTACGTTATTGTTCATTTTTACATAATACTTTTTTATCATTCTTACCACAGTAGATATTTTATTTCGTCTCAAATTAAGTTCAGCTAGAGCCTGCATTCCTTGAATGTTTCGCACCTCTGTAATATCATTTCCAGCGAGATTCAAAACTCGAAGTTCGGTCAGATGACTAAGATTGCTGATGTTTGAAAGCTATAAATACAATATGCTGTAACTTGTAGGTCATCTATGGTTGTAGCTTATGCATGGCAGCAATGCATGGTGGGAATAAGGAAGCAAAAGGATATTCCTTAAACGCGTGATTCAAGACTCGACTCCTTAGGAGACTCGGAGTAAACTACTACGACAGTCATATGAGAAATATTTTGCCAACTCAACCAATAGTTATTTCCGTTACCATTTGTGTATTAACAAAATATATGCACGTTATCAGGACTACTTCTCCCATAAATTTTGACACAATATTTATATATGAGCAATTTAAAATCCAATACACTTTAGAACAGGCATTTTCTCTAGTGTATGAACTCTTGCAGACAATGCCGCTAACCTTGTTGCCATGGAGATCTAAAACGTCTAAGTTAGTCAATGCATCTAAGTTTTCGATTGTTCGTATCCTAAAGAAAAACCAGAAATGTTCATGAGACCCAATCATTTGCAAGAGTCTTATTCCAAAGAATGGATTTGTTTTGTGAATTGATCATAATGGTTTATTACAAAATCAAACATATGCAAGGTTAGCAAAGGAGAAAACACACATGTTAAATCAAATCATAGTCAAGAATACATATAACTGCTGATTCATGAACAAATACACTTGGCACGGTGGATTTCGGTAAAAAAACCTCTCGATAGGAATGAAATCAGAAGAGCAAAGAAAAATTTGATTACTTTGTTTCGACTTCTCCATACCATGGCTGATTATATGCATATCGTAGAGCTGTCGGGAGCAAAGTATAATACAATTGGGGGGGAGGGGGTGAAATTTAAATATTTGAATTTTTTCGTAGAACTCGAGAAGAAAGTTGAACAAATGAGAAATTGTCACAACAATTATTGAGCGAAAGTGACTGCAGCTTCATGTAGAGAAAAGACTCTGGGACTAAATACTCTAACGACGAATGTTGACCATTTTTGATTATTTGTATTATACCTGTTTTTACCCAGCATGAGAACTCTGAGAGATGTCAACGCAGATAAGCCGGATATCTTTTCAAGATGGTTATCATAGAAATCCAGGAATATCAATCGTTTCAACTGAGACAAATTTTCCATTTTTGTGATGAAGTTGTGCTGAAAGTTTAGAAGCCTAACGCTATCCTCGCCTTCAAGGACTGGACACATAGTCAGTTTCCTCCTGTTGATTTAGAAAAAAAAACACTGGAAATATATTTTCAATTTCTCATGTTGTCCATAATTTATTGCAATTCACTTAATGTGACAGTAAAAAGTATTTTTGTAATGATGAACTGGCAACGCACTATTTCTTGTAAAATGTTTCTACCGAATCTCCCCTCGCCATTCACACCCACCAACACCACTAAACGCAACATAAGTTCATTAATAATTGTTCTCAATCCATTTTCGTAAATCTTCGAGCACCTAAAATCTCCAGAACTGACAATCTTCTTTCAGACAAACCAAAGATTAATTAAAAGCCCCGATCACGATAAGTGTAAAAACTTTCACGAGAATGAGATTATAAAAATATCTATTGTAACACTAGGTACGTGCGTCTGTAAAAAAACACCTCTTAATTTAAATAATTTACTGTACATAGCAAAATATGTACAGTGGTACTTTTGATGATAAGCGTCAAAAAATGTGCATTGCAATGGAGAATTGGTAATATGTAGAAACAACGCTCTCTAACCACTGCCTCGTACTGAATAATTAGCTCGTGTATTTTATTTAAATGATTGCAAGTAGAGCATTACCTGTCTAAATTAAGGCGATCAGGATTCGTATGTCGATCTTCAGGCAAGCGATATACGACAGGGATGCCTGGATTTGACGGATATTCAGTGAAGAAAATACGGTCACCTGCATAAAATGAAGTCAATGGGAAAATATGGACTTAAAATGGGTGGAAATATTTCAAATACATTACTTAGACTGAACACATATGTAGCATATCACACTAGAAATAATACTTTTTTGTGGTGATGTCGATGTTGTAGTGGTTTCTTTTGTTTGTTTCTTTGCTTGTAATTTAATGGTATATATTTTCAAGCCTTATAGGAAAGGGAATTATTGTTTATTATAATTATTGATTCTTTTGTTTGTGAAAATTTGCACCATCTAAGCTTACTGTACAGCTTGATGAACTTTAAGAAGGTGATGAAAGAACAATATCAATAGTATGGCGTTCTATTTCTCAAGCTACAAAATCATTGCCCAAACAGTAGGAAATTTAATAAGTACTGTAGAAAATTTAGATATAAAATATAAGGTATTATGCTCAGTGCGACCAACAAGAAGCTCATACGTAGATGTGTTACATAACAAGTTACAACCGTTACAACGCTCAGTACAACATCGAATTATGAAGTAACAAATTGGAAAGAAAATGTTCAAAAAAATCCCGTTGAGAGACATTCTTCAGTGGATGGATAAAGGGGATTATATATGGATGGCGAAATGGAGCGAATACAGTACTATTTAAGCTAAAAGAAAAACGTCATGAATTCAAGACATTCACAAATTTACTGTTGATTCGTAGACAAAGTCATTTAGTACCAATACAGTTTTAAACCAGTGCTGTAACTTTAGTTTCATACGTACGTAGACAGGGTTGCTTGGTTACCAGTGTAGTTTCTAAACATTCTTGTTTGTAGAAATTGTCGTTTTGGTACCAATGTATTCTTACACTAGTGAACGTAGGTTCGTAGAAAGTTTTGTTTTGTACATACGAGGAAGTTTAACATAAGTGGTTGACTTGTAAACAGTGCAGTTAGCTATCAAAGTGTAGTTTCACACCAGAGGTGGTTTTTGTCGACAGTATCCAAAGTATTAAGTAAACCGTCGTAAAAACTAAAGTGATCGTAATTTTGAATTTCGATGTAATCAAATTGTGCAGGTTCTATGCCGGAGAAGTTTTTTCGTAGTTGTTCAAGTTACATATTTTCCAGAAAATGTATATTTGGAAAAGAAATGTTTTACATATGTATAATTTGAAGAGCAAAAAAACTTTTTAGATTGTGTTTTAAATCAAGCAATATAAACAAGCATCATAGCAAATTAAGATCCACGACGCATGTGCAAAGTACACTTAAATATTACCTAATTACATATATATATGTGTTGATTGAGTTAAGTCAACAATACCTGGTGATTGTACATCACGAAAGTGTTTAAAATCATGAAGTTTTCTTGCTGGTAATCTAGGTACAACATCCCTATGCTTAGCAGGCATTGAAAAATTCTCTGTCATAGCAGCTGGAACTGGACGCATGACTTGACATTGGACTTTATTTAAATCACGAAATGTCTGTAAACTCTGTGTTAGCTCAGGAGGGTCAGTATTTTTTGCTAAACCATGTACTGACTCTACAAGAGGAAACAAACAATTCTCTTACAAGGAAACTAACATGAATAGCTTATGATATGAGCATGAAACATGCTTCGATTAAGATAAATTTAAAAACATTAACTCTTAAAAATTCCCTTGCATGTAAATGTAATCTTCACAAAATAAGGTAAAAAATCTTTTCATAGAAAGTGCATTTTTGTCTCTTTTTCAACAAATTTAATAATATAAATTTTTCAAATATTGTACAACCAGCAGCTAAGATAACTAATACTCCAGTAGTGAGAGTGTTGTTAGACCTTTTATAGCATGAAAGCTTAATACTGTTATTAACAGCTTGTACATTGGACTCAAGCTGACTCTTACAATATTTCAAATGATTTGGCCACAATTCAAGTAATGAAACCAGTTTTACTACCTTGCTCTGAGTTTGGCGAGATCCTTAATCTAGCTGAACGATGAATTACTGAATTGGTGACTGATGGCATGATCAGACAATCATTTTCAGGTGCACTTTTCTGATCACCAGAATTCTTAAAAAAGTAAAAAAAATACTTCTTTTCAATACAGAGATGGACCCAGGATAACTTGTAGAGCAAGGTGAGGGTGTAGTTTAATTTAGATTTTAGTAGTACTTGTGGGATGTTGCATTTTATCCAAGGGTGGATATTTACTCTCTCACTCCAAACTCCACCCTCAAGTAAATTCATCACTGTTTATGCATCGGAAAACCTCCCCAGCAGTGAAATTAAGATATGAAAAAGCCGAATTGGTGACTGATGGCATGATCAGACAATCATTTTCAGGCACTTTTACTGAATTGGTGACTGATGGCATGATCAGACAATCATTTTCAGGTGCACTTTTCTGATCACCAGAATTCTTAAAAAAGTAAAAAAAATACTTCTTTTCAATACAGAGATGGACCCAGGATAACTTGTAGAGCAAGGTGAGGGCAAAGGGGTGTAGTTTAATTTAGATTTTAGTAGTACTTGTGGGATGTTGCATTTTTATCCAAGGGTAGGAGGGATATTTACTCTCTCACTCTCCAAACCCCACCCTCAAGTAAATTCATCACTGTTTATGCATCGGAAAACCTCCCCAGCAGTGAAATTAAGATATGAAAAAGCCACATTTTAAATTTAACTTACCTGTTTAGGTGCAGGTCTTTCATTGACAGATGTAGCACGAGCTTGAAAACTGTGTTCCAAACCCAAGTTAGCAGACTATATCATTCAAAAAGATTATGTAAATCTAGTTGTATTGTCGATGTAAATGTATGAAAACATCCAAAATAAACCATCCTATCTCACAGTGTAACTTATTTGCTACAGCTTATTTTCCTACGTCAGCGAACAAGAATTCTTACATCTTTCTGGATAACACGGCTAGACCTGGATCCTTTGCTTGAAAAATGAAACATTCTTTTTCATGTCATTGTCTCTAGGTAGCTCTGTGACACCGAAGGCGAAGATTACCGAACCAAGTGTAAACTATTGGCAATGAACCACTCATAGGAAACCTGTTCTTCTTTTCGCAATGAAAAAAAAATAAAGACCTATTACTTCACGTCGTTTTTGAATTACGTTAGACAGAAATTACTTATAACAAAGAAACAAGCACAGGGCCACAATGCCAACTTTGCACTCCAAACTCCGAACACAATAAACAATTTGACTTCAATTTTGGCTTTCGTTTGTTTTGCCCATCGGTCCCAAACTTGGTGTAATACTAACTAAAATGATCACATGCCGTACATCCATATATGTGCTACTGCTATTTCTGAATCTCTTCACACAATACACAGTCTCTAAACTTTACACACGCTATGATCACTCACTTTTTCGATAAGCAATTTATTGGGTTAAAAGAAGCATTCCACAATCCACGTACAAATTACAGAGTATAATTTAGTCTGTTCTCATGCTATCTCCCCAACCTTAGTGGGCTGAAATATCAACTACAAGAAAGTCACACAAGAAACACAATAACAAGTCGAAAATGTACAGAGAACAAAGTATTTTCCTTTTCAGATCACGTTCATGTTGTTTTGCTTGTATGCCTTATTTTTTATTAACGTCAAAAATACATTTTTTTGACAAATAAGTAATAGTACATTCAATTAACTGAATTGAAAACAGTAATGCCCAACATTATGGATGTGTTTTAAATTTCATTTGTATTTTGACACACATCCACTAAGTAATTGAGGCTCACATCTCGCAATTCGGGAAATGAAATGCGAAACGGAATGAAAGTGAAGTGGATCAAGGAGAAGAAGTTCAAATTTTGTAAACAAAATTGTATATATTGCGAAAAGCTCAAGGCGTTTGGTGCTAAGCAATCCGATGTATGGTTAATCAAAAGAGCAAAACTGACAAGATAGGCACAAAACATACATAAAATATCAGTGACACTCGCAAGTCCTATCTATCCAGGAAGCTAACGGATCCTTGTGAAAAATAAATCTATAGACATGAAATACTATAGGTATGAAATTTATTATTAATATCATCATCAAGATACAGCATAACTGCATGACACAAAACAATTGCATACATTACGGACTTCTAGCTGCACTTAGTTACATACACTAAGCAACTGAATAAAAATTATAACTTTCAAATAACTTTAGGCCGGTTTCGTCACAGCGAGACTGCCCACTTACGTAGACATTAAGCCATTGCCATCACATATGATGTAGCTTATCACCAGTAAACAATGTTCATTATATGAAATTTCTTTAATTCAGAAGTTTTACGTCACAGCGAATCAAGTGCGTCTTCTGTCAACCAATAGTTAGCAAACCTTTTTTTCTGTTAAATCAAGTGGAGGTTTGGTGTCAAAAAATATTTTAACAGCTTTCCTCACACACCAAATATACGACCAGCCTGTCATAGCATGAATATCTTGAGCTTGCTGATTCAAAATTGAAAATATAATACCAAAACCTTGAAAAAATCCGAGCACCTTGAACAGAATAAAAAAGATTATAAATTGTGATACTTGCCAAGTAACTTTGTGATTTTAATTCATTTGTTACGAAGTTTATATCTAGCCAAGTTTGAGTCAATTTATTTACCACTAATAACTAAGGTTGGGTCAATAATACAAGGAACTAAATAAAATATGAATACCAACTACACTGACAAAACAAAATACCTTTATAGCGCCAAGTAATCCTCCATACATAGCCCCAACTACAGCAGGTGTCCATGCATCTTGTCCAGCCATATAAAGATTTTCTATTTCTGTATCAGGTCTCATAATCCACCTTGCATTTTTGCGATCGGTAAATGCCAAATTGCACCTGGTACCATAAGAACCACCTCTATAGGATTGAAGGAAGTTTGAATCTGAAAGTGGTGTACCACATTCGTACCATAACACCTTGCCTTTGATTTGGGGAACCTGAAGGATAGAAGAGTATAAATATGTTTCAATTGAGTTTGACTAGGTCAAATCATCTAAAATGTCTTACATAATAGCAATTTATACCTTCTCGTACAAAATCTCCAATAACTTCTCGGCAAATTTTTCTTTGTATTGATCATATTCATCACCACGTTTATGAGTTCGCAAATTCTCCCATTTCTCAAACCACTTGAACTTGGCATCAGAAATTAGAATACAATTAGAAATTCCGGGAAACCTCTCTTTCCAAGTCGGATCCTATTAAAGGAGAAAGAAATTTGTTTAATGCCTGTGTCTGTTAAATCCCAAGTTCTGGGATAATCATTGATACTCATAACACTGGGTTTGACCAATCAGGAAACACATGTTGTACACATTTTATTTCATAATAAAAGTAATCAAACGATCAACAAAAGTATAAATGCTTTACTTTTGTACACGGAAATCCAAGATAGCAGGTTGGTGGACGATGTTCGGTTGGATTTTCAAAGTATTTGTTAAAACAGTCATCTGTATCATAACCATTAAAGTACCATGTGTTTGTGACAGGAATACCAATTTCATCTGCATCACCTACAAAAATTAAGAAGCAACGCTTTCTAAGACTGAAAATATTTCTTTAATAATCTGCTCATCAGACTTCTCTATAAAAGCATCACGATGTGTATCCTGTGCTCTACCATACATTTAATTAACAAAAATAATAATCTACTCTGCAAAAAGTTGAATTTTATAATCTAAAAATGACATTCGCGATCTCAACCTATGGCCTACGAGTTAAGTATAGAAATATTTTTTGTAGCTAAATCCACTCCAATATAGATTTTAAAAAAAGGCGAGTTACGAACATAACATGTTCCCTGTTACCTTTGATTGCAACAAATAGATAATTGTGCCCAGTAGACGGTTCACTTGTATTGATTTTATGAAAATCTTTAACAGCTGGCAAGTCTTGAGGTAACAGTTTGTTGTACAAGTTGTGAATGCCAGTTGCATTTATTATAATAGGTGCATAAATCTCCGTCATTGCAGGTTTTCCTTCCGATGCCTTATCACTATCTAATGATGACGACTTGCATACGCGCACGCCAACAGCTTTGTTATTCTTCACAATAATTCCATCAACATGAGCGTTCACAAAACATTCTCCACCATGCTCATACACTATCTAAGGTAATAAACATGTTTATAAGAATATAATTTCGAAGATCTGGAAACGAGATTAAGATTATTACTACAAAGCAAAGTACACGAGTTCCATTATCGGTTTATTCCAATAATCACAAAAAATAGCTTCAGTACTTTGTAATTTCAGTTAAATATTTCGGGTAGCTAAGTCGTATTTCAAAATCCTGTATTTTGAAATGAAAAGACCAGCAAGTGTATTATAGACACATAATCTAAGCAGATTGATACAAACACAATCATAGAGTAGTTATGTACCTTAGCACAAGAGTTAGCTACATTCTGCGTTTGTCCATGAGTATAAGCAGCACCATTCATATAGTACAAAGCAGTAAGAGAGTGCGCAATAACTGTAGAATCACTGGGTTGACACGCATAATCTCCCAATGGATGAACCATCACACCTATAAGAAATACGTGACTACAACGTTATACCAACAAAGCATAGGCCTTAACATATAAATCAACATGATTCAACACTTTCAATATACAAGCGAGCTATACCTTTCAAACGTTTCCACGTGTTTGGTAAATCCACGTCAGGTTTTTCTGGTAAAGTTTTACGGGCTAACACTTCTTCATGAGAGAAACCATGCTCGAGCATTGCATTCAAAACATATCCGGTTGTTATTTCTCCATATTTATAGTATGGCTCAGTAAACCTGTGTAAAAATGGCTCTAGCCATCTTGGACACATGCGAACAAGCCACATGTTATTTATAGTTTTACGAGCAGCATGACAGAAAGACAAAAAGTCAGTTAGCCGTTTTGTTACCAGAGGCTCCTGAGGATTTATTTGGGCTGAAATCTTTTTAATAAGACGGTCTTTTCCGCAAACGAAATCGTAGCTGTCATTATTAGGGCATCCAGGGTCAACGTTAGGATCATATGGTAGGACAAGATGATCATACGGATCACCAAGATCGTTCCACTTTGAATTACCACCGGTTACAAACTTCATCACAGCTCCCGAGCGAGCAATTGGTATCGACGTATCAACAGCAGTGTAATGACAGCCTGCGAATAAAATTAAATTGTCACATTATTGAGAAAGATGAGTGCTGCTTCATCATTGTCACAAGAATTTAACGAACTCACATTTTTACCAGAAAAAAATTATTTAAAAAAATGATAAAAATTTCGAGTTTATTATTCCTCCCAAACGATGGCCTGATCGTTTCGTTACTTGTTTTACAAAAACATGTAGAAGAAATTGTAAATCCAAATGAATAGCAAATACAGATCATGAAAGTGCATTAATATGGAGAACACGTGTAGTTATTAACAAAAGATAAAAATTTTAACACCTACGCAATAAAACGCAAAGGGGGGATTACAAATACGTGCCACGCAATCCTCTTTACTGATTTGCTTTCAAATTTTAGGGAAAAAAAGACAAAGAAAGAACACATGAGTTATATAAAAGAAATACTGAAGAAATCAGTGTATGTCATAATCAGAAAACATGCAGCAATTTTGTAGCTTTCTCGTAGTTGGCTTATTCACAAAACGTTTTCAGCTAATGCCCTAACCGTAAGTCAACCACTACAAACTACTAATAAGGTATTTGTCACTTTTCCACACAGAGAGTGAAAATATAAAAAATCTAAATTACCAAACCTGTATCAAATTCACAGGTCGTATATCCATCTTCGTACATGTTTTTACGCGACCACGAAAATGTGTGAGTACATCCACCTAGCTTGTCGTGATGCTCCAGGACAACCACTTTTTTCCCCCACTTGCTCAAAATGGATGCCGCAGCTCCGCCACCCATTCCTGAACCAATAATGATGACGTCGATATCTTTTGGCACTTTGGAAGGAAGAAAGCGACTCTTCGCGTATTGATCTTTATTTTCTGGTGCCTTTCTAACTATATTGACTTTGGGTGGAGAAATGAGTCGCCAGAGAATGAAAATTGTGATACTCGCAATGAAGATTGTCCAAAGCACGAGCGTCAACAGCATAGTAACGTTTCTATTACATAAAAAGGCAGAAAAATAAATTTAAGAGCATTGACAATCTATTAATATGTTGCAAAGGCAAAAATCAGTAAAGAATCACGAACAAAGACATAATCCAGTAATTTGACTCAAATTCACAGTCACGTGTTTATCACTCACAGATCAAAAGAAGCGCATGACTCAAAATTCGACTGCATGCTGCATCAACTGCATTCTCTCGTCACGCATGTGCACAACTGTACTTTCGACGTGAAGCTAATTCCCATTCACTGGAATATCGCGCGATTAATGATCACATTCTTTTGAAATGCACTCATTCAAGTGAAACAAAACAATTTGAAAGAACGCTGAGGGAAAATTCGATAGCACAAAATTTGAACGTAAGAAAATCAGCCATTACTTCAATCTACAAGCATACTCCGCAGAGCCTGAGCAGACTAATGAATTATGTCAAGTTTCTTCAGTACCAAACAACCTACAATGTTCGTCTTCACAATTTACTACAATCATTAGCTGCGGGTCGAAATCATAGCGCCAATTTAGTAGATTGAGTAACAACAATACTGCAAAGCTTGCGAGAATAGCGAATTCGAAAGGCTTCACCTTTCAGCCTTATTATCACATCGACCGATTTTGTCAACAAATTACAAAAATTCACATTACCCTTAAGGCAATATAATTTTATATCGAAGTATAGTTAATGGCCATTAAACTATCATTAATCGAGATGTTGTAACTGCACATACAGGAGACATAAAAGCTTCTTGCTTGTGTGTTGTTACGGATATTTAAAATTTTTCATCAAAGTAGGGTTGTATATAAAATTATTCCACAAAACAGTCGATATTTTTTTACAACATAAGGGAACTACATGCATTTTAACCAAGCATTAGATGAAAATGTTTATATGCATCACCACTCATTCATTTGCTAGATTCATCGCCATCGTAGTCTACTTTTAACAGAATATTTTGGAGAATACACAGATAAATATATTCGTTTGTAGCAGAAGAATAGCAAATGTTTTATGAAACGTACCTCAATCCAAAGCTCGGAAAACAAAATTACAATGAAACTAGTAGACTCGAAATGCACAATGTGGACGTGGCTGCGACAGAACTATTATACTAGCAAATCATAAGCTGTGCTTGTACTTGTTTGGGATTAGTGGGTTAAATATAATGCGGAATCGGACAAACGGAAATCCAAAATTAACGCAACCTCGTTCCCAGGGATTATTTTAATGGGCAGTTGCCCTGGGTACTTGATTAAAATAAAGAAGGCGCGACGTACAATTATTTTCTCAATACATAATAACATACTCGTAAAAATCAAATAAAAAAAGCATTGAACACATCGTAGCATTTTCGAAGTTTCTTAAATTAATGCCTGAACTGAAAAACAACTACATCTTATGTTGTGTCTAATTTGTCAATCATCTTCAAACCGTAACCCTGATTGCTTATGTTAATTACAACATGATTTACTTTAATATACTGGATATGCGGTTATTAGCAAATTTTTAATTCCCCTAAGGGTATGACTACACAAAGCGCTAGCAAAAGTTATCTCGCCCAGCCCAGAAGAAAACAGTCTGTATTTAAGACAAGTCTGCTCTCCCGAAGCTCTATTCCTACGTGACCAGTCAGGAAACTTAGACTAATATAACCAGCCCTTTGCAATCGTTGTATCGAGCGTCAGACCCAATTTCAAATTGTTCAGCACTAATTCATAGTTCAACTTTTCTATTCTTAAGGGTGATCTTTAATCTATCAATAATCATCACGCAGTAAAAGATGCAAATTTTTCTTGGGAATAAGCATCGGAGGCCGAGCTGTTGTCTATTGATGTTACAGAGTAAAATGCCCTTATGCTCAGTCTTATTTTACAGTTTTTTGACGATGTAATAATAAAATAAAAAATAACCGAAAGTACGCAGGTCGTTAAGAAATTTTTCTTGAAGGATGCAATAAGATTTTTGGAATAAAAGGAACTTTGTTTCTCGCATGTTTTTTTCTATTTAGACTAACCGTATTCTTCATCTGTACAATCAAGTTTAAACATAGCGATGTTCTTCAATTGCTTTTATAATGCAATTAGTCGGTAATACGCGGTGATTATCATCATCTTAAAAAAAGGCAAGGGGCAAGAAAAATATGAAATTTTAATATATGATGGTGAATTATTGCTTGTTCTAGTTTGTTAATGTTTCATTACCATCTTGATACACTTCTCATAAACATGAGTATTGTAGCATTTCCACGGTTGGATTTAAAATCAAAATATTTAAACAACCATTAGAGCCTTTGGTTGTGAATTTTATGAACATAAAAGCTCATCCATCCACGTGGGTGGTTTAAAATGTTTTGTCTACAGCTGGAACTATAATTGCTCATAGTTAAATAAAAGCGTTGGGTATATATTGCCTCTAAATAGGGAAGTCAATACACATGGGCAAAATGCTTAGAGTCCAGTATAGCGGTTTACGAGCAGTCATCATGGTAGTGTAAAATACAATGGCAGATACACATCTTATGCAAACAGCCAATCACGTTGGAGCAGCCTTCCTCAAGTTAAGATATCCACCAATAATATCCATTGTTAAATTACGTATTGTTGAGAATTCTTCACTTGTGCTATAGAGCATTCTTGTTTGCGGATCTTTATATTTTGCCTATAAAAAATAAAAATATGAACTTAAAAAGAAGCAATATTGATTTTATTAAATCACATAATAACCTGAAATTTTTCCCTAATGCAAAAAAATTAATTTCATCAAAATCTCTCACTATCTATCATCAACATCCAAATACATTTCAATCACATAAGCTGATATTCAAATAATTGTCACGATGCATAAATAATAACAAATTTAGGTAGTTTCTAGTTCATCACTATGAGTTTCCTGTTGATTATATGAGCAGAAACATGCATTGAAATGTATGATCAAGCTCAGTGAGATTTTGAATTTCAAAGGAAAACAATGCACAACCCTTGCATTGCAAACTCTTGCATTGCAAAACATAACACAGTGTGCGAATTAGTTCAAAAAAACGACGTGCAATTTTTTTGACAAAGTGTTTCTTTATAGGCATAATCAAATCGATATTACGTTAATTATTATATAGCGCTAATTGCTAAATTAATATTTTTAAAGGTGAACAAATTCATATGATTTACGACAGTGTTTTTCGTTAAAACTGCTGATTTTTGCACATCGTTTGAAAAAGTGATGTGCAATTGTTTTCATTTTAGCTAAAACGATGTGCAAATTGCACACCGTTAATTCGCACACTGATAACATATAGTTTTTGCTAAAAAAATATCATTCAGACTAGCTCACCCACCTGTAGTCCTGTTATATCGCAGTATTTCTTTGCTGGTTTAAAAGATGGTGGAGCTTCTATTGAACTATCTACGAAAAAACGTTACTGGCAGTGAAATCCATTTTACTGAATCATTTAGCAAGTAACTTAGGCCTGATTTAAACATCAAACTTTACATGCATCAAATAAATTAAAAAAAATAGAAAACATATTTGGCTCATGAGGTTTGAAACATGCCTCAATATTTTCATCGTGCCTATGAAAATATCACAGCTTTTGCTGATATTTTGAAAAGACTAACAAGTTGGATCATCTTGTCTCCAAGGCAAAGCCCTTTCTTGTGAAATTATTTGCTTTAAATTTTTCCACAGACGTTTTTTTGAAGAATTGACACCAGAATGCTAAAAATTACAACATAAAATTAAATCTTTCCTAAATTCTTAAAATGAAACATATTTTTTTGTGAATAAATGTACTACGTACACTATAGTATACTTATAAAAATTAATCATACAAGAAACTTCGAGAATATTAGGCAAATTTATGTTCAAAGGTTACTTAATAATCATTTAGGTACCTCGAAATTCGAATCTTTAAAAACATAATTTCCAAATTCATTGTAAAAGCTATTGTCTGCTGTAGTAAAAGAGCTTGGACTGTTTGTTTGATAGTCAATGTCTTCCACAGCCTATAATGAAATTTAGTCAACGTTTCCAATGTTTGATACATTAACCTTGAGGAGAAAGATTATGATCATGAGTATGACCACTTCACAAAGTTTTCACTCTACATTTTAAAATTAGACCTTCTATGCCTGCAATTTTAAAGTAGGCCAAATGCACGGCCCAATTTATGCAAAGCATAAAAGCATACTTACGGGTACAATTTTCTTTTTTTTAGTCCCACTAAAGGAAGATGCAGCGGCAGAACCAGCAGGACTAAAAGAACGTTTATTATTTCTTTTGGGCCTACTTGCAGCCATTGTGAATGAAAATCGAGCCCGCGTTTGTTTTTTTAAACGTCAGTGGTAACTATGGGGCATCTCTATGACGACCGGTGAGGGTGACAAAGCCATAATCACTGAGTCATAATAAATAAAATAAATTTATGAAATAGATCAAGTTCTTCTTGGATTACAACGTTGATTAAAAATAGAGTTTATCATCAAGATTGGTTGGTATTTGGTAGTGATGCAATTATACTCATTTTTCGCTTGTAATTTAGTATACGCAATTCATTAATACATAAATACCATACCAGTCGTGACTAGTGTTTGGTGAGAGTCGGGGGACTGTGTGGTTATTGTACTCTCTTGTATGGTGGTATGGTGTGGACACAAAATTTGCTAAAGTTATCCAAAAAGTTTAATGAGTGGAAGAGACTTAAGAACATTTGTTAATAACCACAGATGTGCTATTGGTGCTGCAGGTAAAAATAAGGGAAGGGTCAAATATACGTTTCTGCCAAAAAGATGTCAATATGATGTCTGTGGGAGAGGGGGGTTTTCAGACATGATTTTTTTTTTTTCTCGAAGTATCAAAGTTCTTAGTACTCATAAACACTGAGTACTAAGAACTTTGGCAGCAGTATGACAGCAAGTATGAGTTAATTACCACAAAAATATTTCCAGTTTTGAGTGTATTGAATGCACACATGCAATTAGCGACGAATGTTAAATAATTATAGTGGATAAAGTTAAACTATTATCCACTATTGGAGCCTGACGTCTTTGGTAGGGGGTAGGTCATATTGATGTCTTTTTGGCAGAAACGTATATTTGACTCTCCCCTAACAAATTCAACAGCAATTGCATGAATTGAACATTATTAATAAGACTAAAAGTGACAGGTTGGAAAACTTTCACTCTCTTGCAGCTACACAAAGCTACATTATTCACCTTGATTTCGCTTGGCTTGCTCTAACCCAATGTGTATCACTTACATAGTGACACTTACCATATATTATGCCTGATGTTCATGTATCAAACAATACTTGCAGCTGAAGTTAAAATAAATCTCGCCAGTTTGTTTGAGAACACTTGCCGTTTATTTTGGATAAAAATTCACTTGCATTTGATTGACTTTGCTCTTGGCAATGTGTAGGTACTTTGATATAAGATTTCCAACCTGCAACAGCTAGCTACCACTATGAATGACCACAACTCTAGTCACAAACTGAAGACTCATCCAAACTCACTGCATTTGCAATTAGGTATTGAAGTACATACATCCATGTAACACATTTCATTAAAATATATTGATTGAAGTGGGTAAGCTCAAATTATAGAAGTCAATCCTCTGTTGGATAATGCTGTCTCAGGAGTAGTGAGTTTTAAAATGTGACAATAAAATAAACAATTTTTTAAACCATAATTAATATCTTTTTACTAGGCATATGGGCATTATTTCATAAGTCATGATGATATGATGAATAGAAGGGAAGGGTATATCACAAAATAGAACATGAAGAAAGGGATAATAAACCACTGAGATTCTGAAACTATATTTTTGTGGAATGCCAAATATTAATACTTACATACTTTCACAATTATATAAGTTTATCAAATAAACTTAACTGTTTATTTGATACTTTTGAGTGTATTATTAATTGCTTATAGTATACAAACAACAAACAAACAAACAACATTTGTATACCGGCCAGTATTAATCCCCGCCAGGGGGGTTGACCGGTCCATGAACTTTTCTACGCCAAACGTCTCTATCTCTCGCCATATCTCTCGTTATACCCATCGCCTTCATATCACTGTTCACAGCATCCATCCATCTCCTTCTCGGTCTACCTCGTTTGCGGACTCCATCAACATTCATATGCAACGTTCTGCGAATTTCAGCACTTTCTTCTCTCCTTTCCACATGCCCAAACCACCTCAAACGCTGGCGCCTTACCCAATTCTCGATACACTCAACACCAACTCTTTCTCTAATCTCTTTCTTCCAATCCATCCTATTCCATCCACACACCACATCCTTTCTCTTTCGCTCACTTCCTCCATTTCCCCAATCCTTTCATCCCCACACACTCACATGCCTTTCATTCTCCAACTCTTTTCCACACACATGCCATTTATCACTGTCCTTCACTCCACCTGCCTCGACATGTCGTCTTTGCCTCATTCACTTTCAGTCCCTTGACTTCTATTGCCGTTTTCCATTCTCGGTACCATTCCATGACTTTCTGCTTCGACTCCGCCACCAAGACAATGTCATCTGCATACAACAAACACCAGCATCCTTCTTTTCTTCTCTTCTCTGTCAGTACATCCATCACAAGCAAACAGTAACGGCGACAAGACTGAACCTTGATGAACACCAACTTTTACCTCAAAACTTCAGATCTAACACCTTCCTCCACCGCCGCTACACCTTCATAAGTCTCCATAACCCTGTTACTGCGTCCATAATTATTAATTTTGGTTCTATTTCCACGCACTGAACCAGTTATATTTCTTAAACAATTTATTTCAACGCGTAAATATTAAAAGTAGATAAGTGTCTTAATAATTATATCAATAAGTTGAGTCCTCTCTGTCCTTGAGTCTTTTTCCATTCTCGGTACCATTCCATGACTCAGCTTCACTCCGCCACCAAGTACTCAGTGGTCACTCTGCATATATATAATATCTAATCAGCATATTGTCTTTTCTACATCCCATACGCAATACAGTATGTTACAGCAAGATATAGTTAACCACAATAACAACAAATGCGGTTGCGGTTCTAAAGTGTTTACGCATGAAACCAACTTCTACCTCAAAAGCTTCCAGATAACGTTCTAATTAATTCCTATGAAATTATAATATGACATTATGATATTACATGATAAGTCTATCATAACTGCCCGAACCATATTCTCTGTCACACCTTTCTTACGCAGCGCGTACTCGATCACCTTTCTCGGAACTCTATCAAACACCTTCTCCAAATCTACAAACACCATATACAATTCTCTGTCCTTCTCCAAAAATTTCTCCTGCAGCTGCCTCAACACAAAACACGCATCCGTCGTTCCTCTCCCCGGTATGAATCCATACTGCTCTTCCCCCATCCGAACAACTTCCCTCAACCTTCTTTCAAACACTCTCTCTACTATCTTCAACGCATGCTCCATCAGCTTAATAGTCCTGTAATTCCCACATACCGTCGCTGCTCCTTTTCCTTTGTTTCCTTCGTTTCCTTTGCTTACAGTATATGACTAGAATATTGCTTCTGGTTTAATGTTTGCTATCTGTGAGTTTGTGCGATGCAAAAATTTGAATTTAAGCCTTTGTGCAGTTGTCACTCCATAAATATCTTTGTTTTTTAGATTATCAGTTGGTGTCTCGTATTATAAATGGCCAAACTACTGGTAGATATAAAGATGTTAATTATGACAACTTAAAGGCAATAACGAAACTGAAGAGTGTCTCTGGTGAACAGTCATTAAAAAAAGTTGAAACAATTTCTGATAGGAACAAAGAGAAGAAAAATATTAATTTCCTTAAGCAGCATAGAAAATGTTGGAAGAAAGAGTTAGTGCGCTTAAAAAATTTCTATGAAAGTGTCGTTCATGAGTTAAATCTGATAAAAGCAAACCTTCCTTGGCAAGACAGTTCTGTAAGAGATTATTTTGTTGGTGTTAAAGAATACGAGGATGGTATAAATAAAGATTTGGTGACTTTCTCTTATAATTCTGTCAAACCTGTGTGGGATTTAATAGAAGATATTCGTGATTGGTTACTTCAAGCGAAAGGTAGTTATTCGCTTTTTCCATCTACAGCAGCAGTGTTTGCTTTAGAGGTTTCTGTCAGTTCCGCTAACTACGGGGTGCAGGGCAATGTTTGACAATAATTAGTGTTGAGATTTGCTCAGCGATTAGTTTTTCCTTAAAAAATCCATAAGATTTTAGCAAGTTGTGACACACCTCTCTTCATTATTAACTAAGATAAACCTGCCTCTGATGATGTGTCTGGAGTTCTTTACGATGTAAAACTGCAACAAAAGGAAATCCTGGATCAATTAACTGTAGAGGAAAAGAGACTTGAACATGAGCTTGATTGCATGAGAAAGGATTACTTCATAAACGAAGATGATTATCCACAACTAACTCTTGGAATTCCTGAGGAAGCTTTATTTTTATCTTGTCCTTATGATGAATTAAAATCCACGATTCTCAATGAGTTTAAGTTGCTCGACAAGCGATATTTGACACATCGTGATTATTTGAATGTTAAATATGCTGATTTTATTAGGTAAGTATATTATACTTATTTAGCATACCATTTAAACATTTAACTCATTGATGCGATTTTTGTCCTAAAGCAACGAAAACGTCGGGTGGGCAAGTGATGATCATCTTCGGTTTGAATACATATTGGATCAATACGATGCTAATATGCCACAAAGAAGAACATTATACATTGACAGATTGATGAGAGAGCTACCACATTTATCTCGTCATGATATTGTAAGCTTGCTATTTTTTGCAGACGAATGTTAAAGTTTGAATTTTGAAATTTTTCCGGTCATTCACGTATGAGTTGGAAAATTAAAACGCCACTATTACGAAGACATGTTAAAAGTAAACTTTGAGTCATTGCACCTAAATATCTTTGGCATAGTTTTAATTAGAAAATATGTAAAACAGCCCATGACCAGAAATAAAGTCCATGTATATACACGACTATATTATGACCATAATATTTAGGTAAATCATGAGACTTGGTGGTTTTCACACAAGTCTTATCAAAGTCAGTTGACTTCATTATATTCTTCTTGGGCAAAAGATCGCCAAGATTTATTGCTTAAAGTCAAGGGAACATTCTCTGAAGCTTGGGTGGAATATGAAAATGAACAAGAACGTCTGCAAAGTCGAAAGCAACAATTGGAAACTTGTAGAAAACTGCATGAAAAGGTATCATGTTTATTGTCATATAGAGTTAATCATCAAACCTTAGTTTCTCTATTCGTTACGACGGCAATTGTGAAGAGAGATGGTAGTTAAGTTTACTTATCTTCACGTTATCTGAGACGTCAATAGTTTTATCGCTGCATTTTTCCATTTTTTACAGGTTGCCGAATTTCAAGAGCAAAAACGTGAGGCATTTCGAATCGAACAGGAAATTGCTATGAAGATTTTAGAGCAGGAGAGTGAGAAAATGAAATTGCAAGAAGAAAAAGAAAAACAGAGAAGAGAAAAAATACATACCAAGGTTCGGTAAAATGTTTGCTTTTTATTTTCTTTGTCGCTTTCTTATAGAAGTTTTTTATGATTTGCAAAAAGTAGCCAGCTATACGTGCGTGTATTGAAGTTGTTGCGGCTTTTTATAATTTATAATTATCTTTATCTTTTTGCCCCACTCTTATCAGATAAAACAATATCAAGATAAGAAATTCGAGGAAGAAGGTAAACGACTGGAAGAAGAGAAACGAAGATTAAGAGAAATTGAAAAAAGTTTGAAAGAACAAGCTGTGCGAGATGCCGACAGGTAAGTGAGAGTTGGTTGATTATCATTGAAAGCAATAAAGAAATAACAAATCCTATTACGGAAATCAACAGTCCAACCTCTATGTACGTACAACCTAGCTTTCGTCCGCACTATCTGCGAAATGTTTTGTAAAATATTTATTTTCTACATGTAAATATTACAGAATATTAATTCTGTCTCCCCTTTGATTAGAGTCAGTTATCGTGAAAATGAATTGAGGAAACGCCATGAAGAGAAACGTATATTAGAACAACAAAAGATCGAGGAGGAAGTAGAAAGGGAAAATAGACTTGAGAAGTTAAGAGAACAAGTAGGATGATTTTTTGTTAAAATTGTCAACGAAACTTGAAATCTGGTTAAACTCTGTCGGCAGCAAAGATTGAAAATTCTTTTTTACAGTGGTTGCTTGAAATATAGTCATGTTTGCAAGTTTTGCGATTCAAAGACGGTTTATCACGTTTCGACATTTTTCCTGTTTTTCCTGTGGAAAAATTACCAACTTTCCTTCTGCCTTTACTAGACTTGGGAAAACCTTTGTGAAAACTGTGTCACTATAAAATTTACTTTAATATTAAAGTGGTCAACAATTTTCATTTTAGATGGTATCGACTTAATAAATTCAATTTTCTAGGTGAGCGTGAAAGTAAAGACCGATCCTTTGAGGGTTCTTCAATCAACAGAGGTACGTGATTGCACAACAGAATTTTCGTCTTATTGACAACGTTTATTTAACTTGACATATTCCTGTATTTTGTTTAGGCGTCGCGATGTCACACAAAGAAAGTTAACGACTTACAACAAGAAGTTGATTTACAGAAACCTTTATTTACATTAAATACATTCAATACAAACCAGGTGAGACTTTGCCCACTGACATCATAAGTTATACAATTTTGTTTAATTTACGTGTTGTTGCGTATAAGAAATTAAATGTTTGTCTTATTTCAGATTATTTCCGATCCTCGCCATAAAGTAGAGCTTGCGTTGCGTCAGGCTGGCCTCCACAACTCCGATTATGCAAGACAAGTCATGGCAAATGTTAAACCACTTCATCCATCAAGACCTGATCAACATTCAACAGTTTTTGAGAAGTAAACATTTAGCAGGTCAATTAAATTTTTTAGAGTTTTGGAAAATATTTTATGCTACTTTGGACATCCTTCTATGTCACAATAAAATGATCAAACAGAATCTGTAGTTGAAAGGACTGCATATTTTCAGAATTGCTATATTGTTCATATTTCAATACTTATTTTTTACCAAATTCAGTCTTAACTGGTTTTCCAAGTGAACATTTGTTCATTAAATGTAATGAATATCAAATTGTTCATTTTGAGCTTTGAGATTTTATTTTGTAAGTTCTCCTCATTTTAATTTGTTTCTCTTCATCTTCCAAACTCAGATTGAAAGGTGCTGTTGCTGGAACAGAATTAATAGTGGCTGAGAATTGTTGTTGTGTTCTCTTGAATAGATAGCATAGTTTAGAAAAGTTCCCAGGCAAGATAGGTCCAGTGATATCTAAACTGTAATGCTATTAAAACAAAAACATCTGAAATTAAAATAAGTTGTATGTGGTAGGTATGGCAGACAGTCAATTTGGTTAGGCCTGATACATATGTTATGTCTCTGCTACACATTCATTTTATTACAACAATTTTCTTTGAGAAATTCCTTCATGCATAAATAATCAGTAATTTTTTACCTTTTCTAAGCTCTTTCCTAACTTAACAGTGCCAAGTCTGGAATTTAACGACTGTAAGGTAGCTCCTTCAAAAGCCACTGGTGCAAGTAAAGTTGGAGGTAGGCCAGCATGAGACCCTGTCTTTGATATTAAGGTTTTGCTATTGAGTAGGAAGTTAAATAAAGCTTGTGTGTGATTTCCATGGACTACAGCAACAGATGAACTCTGGTGATCAATATTTCTTAGTTTACTAAGTTGCTCACTGATTTTACTTTTTTGAAGTTGAGGAAGAGTGTCTTCAGCAACACCCATGCTTTCTAACCAGCACTTTTCATTCTCAATATCATTACTTACAAGATCATCGTCACCATGATTAAGTGGTTTGCATGTAAGAACTGGTAAAACATACTTAATACCTACAAGTGAAAGTTTAGAAGATGTGATGAGAAGTTAGTTCATGATGACTCGATACTTTAATGAACAAAGTTTGGGTGAAAACATTTTACCTTCTCTATCCAAGCCCTCTCTCATTCCCTTTGTAGTTGGAGTTATATAAGCATATGTTGTTTGTATACCAGCAATTGTTGCAGATCTAAACAACATGGTAAAATGCGCAGAGCAGAGATAAAAATAATCACAATATCCACAACGCAACAGGTTGAACAAGGAATGAAAACTTTTGCACCAACTTTGGTGTAAGACATCACGGATATCTTCATTCTCGGCAACATTAGGTATTTTGCTAGTCAATTTGATTTCTGATGCCAAACGAGGAAATAGAGATACCCAGGGTAGATTGGGATGAATCCAATACATGCTATTTCTTCTAAAGCATACTGTACTATCATCATCAATGTCTGGGTTATAGGACTTGACAAAGTTACATAACCCTTTGCTCTCTTGCTTTCCTAGAACTTTAGCACAACAGGTAAATGGTTGAGGAGATATAAACCGAACTCTTGTCATTAAACTCCAGTCAAATGGTAAGATTTCACCACGTAATTTCACACCATCTTCTTCAAGTGAGCTCAAACCAGGTTTTGTACATCAAATTTACCTGAAACTCCAATCAACTCTGAACAAATGCCCGAATTTATGATACTGTTATCCGTACTTCTCGAGGCTGGTGTTTCTAAGGCGTTGAAAATTGTGTTTTCTTCATGAAATTTATCCTCTCCTGTATTAATTCTCTTGTTTAGTGAACAGCCAAACGGATTCTGTCGTTTTGTTTGTCTAACAAACTGCGAATCTTGTTTCGTTAAATTCAGATTTTTTGGTCTAATAATTTTGATGGTTTATTCGAATTACTTCTGGCTCGTTTCTTGACTACCAATTTTATACTTGTAGCTGGCTTCCTCCAGTTTCCTTGTGGTATATTTTCTTTATTTTCAGACATATTTCAGTCAAAGTGATGTTAGTTCATGCCATCAATAATATTGTTGTTTGTTGATGCAATTGTTCATTCAATATTCCCGCCAAAACGATTACTGCAGTGCTTCCGTTTTTGTAAAACTGGGTTTCATTTTCATTGGTTTCATCATTTCATTTCATTTCATCCATTTACTTCACGCTGAAGTATCAAATTGGGCCTGAGGCCCTGAATATTGCTCCTGAGTGGCCTGAGCTACAGTATAGACACAAGCAGTAGTCTCACTCCATTGTCCATCTTGGTGCTGTATATTTAATTAGATTACTGGCTGCCGATAGCCACCTCAGCGCTCCCATTGGCCAAAAAAAGCAATTGACTGTCTGCCACTATGCTAATTAGATGCGTAATAAGACATGCGCTATACAAAAAATTTCAATAGAATGGGACTACTGTTTGTTTCTATACTGTGCCTGAGCAGTGTTCTGAGAAGAAGGACGTTAATTTAAGTTCAGTCGTATGATCTTTCTTGCATGGTATATACCATTGAGTTTCTATACAGTTATTATAGAACTCAATGGTATAGACTTGCAAAGTTAAAACCATAAAATAGTGACTTTATCAATATTATATTAGATAATTTATTTGAGAGTTCATGTGTGAAAAGAGGATGATCATCGTAATCTGCTAATTAGTGGATTTCAATTGGGCGAGCACACTGGATGAGGGCATTTCTGTTAAAGAAGAGATTCCCAAATGTCGTGATACTCTGTAAAGTATACAGGATGCAGGCTCCAAATCTCAGAAACTTGGGAGCTCTGTCTTAGAATGGAAAGTAAGATGAAATGTGTGTAGATAAACGAAAAACATGCAAAAAACAAATAGAACGTTAAAATGAGGAAAGGCTGCATTCAAGAGTCTAGTGATTTGGAAGCTAATCAGAAGACGGGCAGGGGGAAGCCCTGTCGGGGAAAATTTGACGATTTGTCGGGGAATGAATAACGAAAAAATGTTATTTCCAATGTCGATTATTGCCGTTCGTTTAAAGTAATGTCAGCACTCAGCATCGGCAATAATTTTCATACACGCCAGCTATCCGACATCAACCGACATCAAATATAAAAAATAATAAAGTTACTCTGAAATACTTATTTTTGAATGTTCATTAGAAAGCAGATATGCAAATGCGACATGAGATATATTTGCATATTTGTAAAAAAACCAAAAAACTTTGTTGTTTGAGTTCCAAACCAGTAATGAGCATCAGATTCTGACAGTTTTACATTTATTGCAGCTATTGATAAATCACCATCAAGCGTCTGGACAGATTATGATGTTAGGAATTCATTGTGGTCGAGGGAGAAAACTGGATTTGGTTACCGTAGTGCAAAAGTTCAACGCTTGTGCTCGTGCATTATTAATATTACCTCTTATGTTTATAAATTATTTTTTAGTACACCACTGATTCATTATCTACATGCAGTCAAAAAGAACTGCTTACCAGCAAAAAAGTTTAACAGGGTAACATTGACATAAAATTGAAAAACATAAGATTTAAGCTAAGCAAGACATAAATAATAATATCTAATAACTAAAGGATCCTCGTTTTACTTTGATTACAGTTTTGTATAGGTTAAAGAAGATGTTCAATATGTTTATAAATTAGCGTTCTAATTGGGGCTCTCGCAACAAGTCGAATAAATAGTGTTAATTTTTCATGTAGATGTATTTCCAAAACAAACCATATGTTTCAACGATTTAGTTAAAGCGAGGATCGATAATAATTTTTGAAAATTTTGCCTGAAAAAAGATTTGCATGAAAAGTGCATAGTCACATCAGCCTAGTAAGTCAACACCCTGTCGGGGATCATAGCCCCTCCGTCGGGGAATTCTTGGCGTCACCCCTGTGTAGACGTGTAGTGTAAAATTACCGTAAAAGAGAAGCATAAGTACTAGATGATTTTCTTAAAGGCTATGTGAATAGCGACTCTGGTATCAAAGATATTGTTGAGGAAGTGGAGAGCGCGATTAACAGTGAATATGTAAGAGTGGGGTTAAATCATTTCAATTGAACGATTTTTTCCAACTACTTTAAACTGAGCGTGAAAGATGTTTTCACTAATGAGCAACGTTAAACTCTGTGTATATTTTTGGATATGCAAATTAAGAACAAACACACATTACACAAGTTATGAATCAACCCCACAACTCTAGTAAGTAACTCATGTTGTTTGGCTCCAACTTCAAGAGTACATTCTAATCATGTGCATGGATAAAACATGGTAATGAAGATTTCTTGTAAGCATCAACAACTCCATATAAATTGTTTTGTTGATAAACAGAATTTGTGCTAAGTTGCTTGAACTTGACTAGAAAAATATCCATACGCAACCTCCTACATTTTAGTTTCGCGATCTGTAACGATAAGACAGATTTTATTCGGTTTTGGGTTGATCTTTCATGTTTCAGTGCAATTTGTACGATTTTATGCGCATCTTTCGTTAGTCTAAAAGTACATTAGTAGGTAGTTGACTTGTCTGTGATAACACGGATGTGTTTCAGCAAATGGTGTTCCTGGCTTGATCATGTGATGATATCATTCATCCCATTGACGACTAGGCAGTGCAACATTGCTCATTTGCTATAATCCAACCAATGGGTTTACTGCCAGCTACCCACGTGACTCAATTTATAATGTTTAAATATAGAAAATAATATTCAGAAAGGGAATAAGGTAGCTGCAGCATCTTTTAATAATATTTGAGGAATTTTATCAAGACCAGCTACAATTAAGGGCTTTGGGCTTTTTTGTGAATTTGAGTGAACCTTAAAGGGATAAGTTCCACTTTTTACTCAGTCTTACTGTACAATTTCCTAATTTCTCCTTATTTATCAGCTCTGTTTCATCTCACGTTTTGTGCCAATTTTAACTATGGGACGTAAATACTTCTAACTTTTGGGTTTTGATTGGAGAGTTGACATTAAAACAAAGTAAAATTTTTTTTAAATGATTCCATAACTGTTTCTCCAATGTTATGGTTCGATGTATTAAGAAAATAGAAAGATTGAAAATATTGGCATCATTGTTTTTTTTTAACAGGTTTGTTGTGAGATATTGATTTTTTTTAAGACTGTAGTCACTAATGCCTGTGAATCGACATCTTAGCGAACAAAAAGTTCGCAATACCTGTATCTTTTAACTATGATATAATTGACTCGTAGTCAAAGACAGATGAAGTTCATGGCCTGAAGGCAAAAGTAGTTCGTCTAGAACAATCCACGAACTGTCAGCTTCACTGCTTAGGATGATACGAAAATTTCTGCTAAAGACAGTGCATATTAAAAGCAAAAGTGATCACCGACTTTAACTGGTGGGCAACTGTACTAAGCCAATATAAGAGCATTGGAGTGATTCTTGATCAGAAAAATACCATTTTTGCTATTGAAACAGATACATCGTTCTTAGGTTGGGTAGCAATTTCTCAACATCAGAGGACATTGAAACTCCCGGAATGGCAAATGTATATCATTATCCTGAAAATGAAAGCATCCTTACTTGCCATTCACTCAAACTTGAATATAGACCAACACCTCACGGGAAAACAAATTCTTCCACAGATGGACAACTCGACAGATGTGGAATATATCAATAAATGGTGAGGAACCAGATCTATGAGAAGAAGAGATGAATACTGGGATCGATCGGAGAAGAGATGACGGAAAAAGCCCGCATAATACTTGCTTAACGAGAACATCTAATTTTTTAATAAAAAAAACTGATTTAAAAAATACTGGTTTTACAAGTATTTTTGTAAATCATGTCGTTCCTCCTTTTTTTACTTAATATCACGCCTCTACTTAACTCACACTCTATACGTACATAAGAAGATAACTATCAACGTGTAGATACCAGTTCTCTGCAAGCCAAAGATCTGCACCACTATTGCCTAGTCATCTCTTTCCTCAAAAACGTTTTATATGTGTGTCTTGATTTCCAGCGCGAACGATTTCTATAATGAATTAGAACCTTATTACCATTTTTACGCAGACATCCAATCCAGTCCAGCTTTTTCTTCGATTACAACAACATCACTCTAAATGCCAAACATAAAGAAAAGACTTTGCAATTGTGCCGGGTAGGGTATTGAGCACTTTGTATGCCTATTATCTCAACAACCATCGCCGACTACCAACCACAACAGTTTCTTTTCTACAAACAATCTGCGGTCTAAACCACACACCATAATTAAACAATGTTTCCTATAAAACGTCAGCAATAAAGTTTAGAAGTTACTTACAAACCTGTCATTGTAAACCATGCAGATATCTCTGCCAGAATTACCTATGTGACCTTGGCAAGTCGTCGATGCATATTTTTACATACCATTGTGGAAGAGAGTGTATATAATTGTTCTCTCAAATCTCGATAAAGTTAACTTTAAACGCGTTATTTTCATATTACAGTGACTACACTGTATATTGGACGTTTTGTAATAAAGATACGATTATTTGTAAAGTAAAATAGATGTAAAGTTATAGAAAAAATTATCGAGTAACCATAAAAGCCTCAAAGAACTATTAAACTTGTATTTTTTTAATCTTCTTTCTACCCATCATTTAATTCTTCTCATTAAAAAGCTTCATATTGTTCTTCTTAAAATAGAAATCATATTTC